AAATTGGGAGGTAAACGCATGTTTATCACCACGTGTTGAACTAATTCACGTGCAGACATAACATATAACCCAATTAATGAATGAGTGTATATATAAAATTTATATGAAAGAGGCAATTTAATCATCATCAATGGAGATGATCATCATTTTCAATTGTCATCATCCTAATAATTATCAAGAGATAATCATTCAAGTGAGGAAATGAAAAGTTTGCATTATTGTAATTGAAGGAAACAAGAAAAAAAAACAATCAATGAAACAGAAAGTTAAAGTTATCGATTGATTAAAATAATCAACTTAAATTGTTCACTGGGAATTGTAACATTTGCTTGATTGTCTCTTCAATCAGCTTCATTTTAATCACCATCATCAATTGTTAATTATCGAGAGTTGATCACAAGAAATTGATTGTTACCAAATAACAGAATTAAAAAAGTAAGTTTTTTTTTTCATTTCATGGTTTATTGATTCTTCATCGTGATGATTAACCCTCTACACCCATTGAAATTAATTCATCATTAGAATCACTTAAAGGAGGGATCAACAACTTCATCTTCATCATCATCATTTTCATCCTCATCCTCATCTTTTTATTGAGCAACACAAAAAGTCATAAGGTTACCTGTCAAGGTAAGTGAGATGAAGTTGATTAATCTTGGGTGAGTATGAGGATGATGAAGATTTGAAATTTTTCATCTAATGATGATGATTTACAAGATGAATTAACATCATTAATATAATATATGGTTTAAATTGAGATCGACATAATCATAATCATTAATTCATCATGTAAATAATCAACTGAAACTGTTTCACTTTGACTTGCTAAATTGTGATTAATAATGTGAATTAACAGCTCTCAAATTGCAATTTAACTTTTTACTCAAACAATTTATTTGTCTATATATTCAACAATCAAATGTAATTAATGATTTAATACTATTGAGAAGCAACAATCAATTAAATGAATGACAATTGAATATATTAATAGATGAATTTTCAACAACAAAAACAACAAAAAATGAAACAAATTATTAATACAAAAGATTTCCAATCATTTTTGATGATTTATTTTGATTGTGATTAATAAATTGTCTCGACCACCCACAGGAAACTAAGTTAATCATCAAATAAATTGCGTGATTAACTAATCATATACTATAATATGTATACTCGTAACTGGTTTGTTTGTTAATTTAAATTTTCGTGAGCAGATTAAATAATCAAATTAAAATAAATGATCATCTTGATAATCAAGCAAAAAGGGTTGATTATATTACCATAATAACCAAGCCTTTCACATTTAAGGTTAGACAAAAGTAACAATTAACTGATTTACAATTAGATCCCTTTAAATACTATGTAAATGATTAACAATTAACGACCACCTTGATATCATCATCATCATCTTCCGTGATCATCCAAATGACAATGTTAATTTAAAACAATAATAAATAATTTGTTTACCATCAATCAGAAAAGTTTAATTAATCCTTGACCAGTTAATTAGATTAAGATGATTCCCTCTTCATGAGAGATCAATTAATTGTTTAATTAACATCAACAGAGGGAAATCTCACCTTAATCTTTATTAACGAAAAATCTCCTCCCACTCATGATAGTTAAACAAGAGAAACAATTAACAGGTAAGTTAATCATCTTCATCTTTTTACCGGAAATCTTTAAATTTCCCACCTTCTTAATCTTTATCCTCTTAACCTTTTAAAACTATAAACTCCTTTTAGGGTCCACCCAGTAAACTAACCTCCCACGATGTGACCAAAGGGTGTCCACTCATTCATATGAAATGACACCAAATGGTCAGTGGATAACAAATAATCAAAGGTTACCTTTAAAATTGTTTGGACATTCAAATGATACTCATTACAATGATAATCAAGATAAACAAGATGATAATAACACCTCCAAGGAAGACATTATCATCCTTTAATCTGTATTAATAGTTGATAATAATACTATTGACATTTGATTCAATGGATGAGGAAGATAAAAGATGATAAGTAAGATAATGAGAGAGAGAAAGAGAAAAAGGTGATTGAATAAGATGAATTCTGATGATGAGAATTGTTTGTTTTCCTTTTTTTTTCTTCCTCATCTTTTCTTACAAAGAGATAAACAGATTGACTATAATAAGATAACAATAAGAAAGAAGAAGATAAAAGATGATGATCATCTTCAAAACGATGATAATGATGATGCGAAGAATTTTTTTTCTCTCTCTCTTTGGAAAGAAAAAAAATTTTCTTCTTCTATTATAAGATATTAAAGATCCATAAGGAGATTTGGTCAGTATTACAATACACTGACCAGTGGGAGAGTTGAAAGGTTAATTTGATTGTTATTCAAATTTTTACTTCTTTACAAATAATCAGAACAAAAATCTTCAATTGTTGATGTTTAATCTGATTAGAAATCAAATCTATTGGTTATGTTTAATTTAATCATTCTGATAATCTCGAGATTTTTTCACATTGGAAAAAAAAACTTTGATTAACTTTTACACAATTAAGGTTATGTGATTAACTTTAATTGTTATTAAAAACAATTTTTTTCTCTTGCGTTAATTTGATTGATTTTGGGCAGTCCAATTAGTTTAACTATATAAGTTCATGTATATTTAGTTCATCGCTTGATTACTAAACAATTAATTGTGATAATATAACTTGAATCGCACATTTCTGACAGTTATCAATGTGTTTACCTTGATTAATGATTAAGTTAATTTTTTATTATTTCTTACTTGTTTCACCTTTCTTGATTAGTGTATCATTAATATCATCATCACCATCATCATCATAATGATAATCATGATTAGGGAAAAGGTAAAAAGGTTTAAAAGTCAATTAAAGATTACAATTAGCCCTGAGGGAAGATTTAAATAGTTAATTGTGGACATGACAATTACCAAAGTTAATTGAAAAAAAAAATAATAACAATTCATCTTGAAATCAAATTAAAAATAACAACAATTTTTTGTTTTCTCGGTGAACAATTTACTTTGGTAAATTAAATTCACACAAAATAATCAAGAGTTAAAAAAAATAAACTAAATTAAGTGTTAATTTAACGTAACTTTCACGTTGAAATCATTGATGTCAAGAAGATGAGGATGAGAATGATGAAGATGAAAAGGAAGAGGAAGGAAGGAGTTAAGATGGAGATAAAGATAAAGATGATTAAGAGGAAAAGTAATTAACTCTTAATCTCTTTTCATTATAAAATCTTCATCTTTTGTGGTTCCTCTTTAATTATTGTTACAATGATTGTTTCCCTATTCCCATTGCTTGCTAATCATCTTGTTTACCTGTTGATTAGCATCTCTTGTCATCTTATTGATCATCATCCTCATCCTTAAATTAATAGTTGATATTGTTACTTTGATTGTTGTATTATTACATGAAAGAATAGGATTTCCTTTGATTAGATCTGTAACAATTAATAATATTCTTGTTATTGTTTATGATTAAAATGATGAGGATACTAATAAAATGATTAATGAGTCATAATGATTAACAATTAACTTCCTGTGACTATTTTACAGATGATAAACAGTAAATGAAAACAAATTAAATGATTGCAAGTCATTAATATACAAACAGTATCAATCTAATTATATAAGTTGATTAAGTTATTATAACAACAATCAACTGATTGTATATATAAAAAAAAAGGTTTCAATCTTTAAACTATCACAATTAAGAAATAAAAAACTGATTGAGAATCTTTTAATTGCTACAATAAATAATAAATAATCGTAAATATCAATCATTCAATTAGTAAATTGTTGCAATAATAACTAAACAATTATTTGGGAATAATAAAAAAAAAGTTATAACAATTAACGAAACTTTAATTACATACAAATTGATGAACTAAAAATCCTTTAATTGTTATTATCCTGGACAATTAAGGATGAAGTTTCTAGCTAACAAAATACATGTATGTATATAAATGTAATGGTAACAATTTATAAATTGTTTAAGTGTAAATTCAATTAAATCAGATTACTTGAAATTCATTTCCATTACAATCAATCTGATGAAATCATTTTATTTGCTTTCTCCCCATAACATGTTATCTAGAAAGCAAAAAAAAATGTTAACATCATCTTCATCTTCATCCTCATCACATCATCATACAGCATCACCATGAAGGATGAGGATGATAAGGGATGATAAAAACAGGAAAAGTGAGATTCAATCAAATAAATGGTTTTGTGTCCATCAGTTACAGTCTTAACTATTACCATTGAAAACATAAGACCTCCATTTAGCTTAAAATGTTACAATTGTCATCCTTTTAGATGATGAGGATGATGACGAAGAGCGAAAAAAGAATTGAGGTAAAGTGAGATGAGAAAGAGAAAACCATTTTCATCCTTTATCATCATCCTCATCATGTGAGTGACAGGGACTGAGATATAATAAAAACTCCCAGACTTGTACATTCCCATAAGTAAGAGTATAAATGTAAATCAAAAGGAGGATAAAGATGAAAATGAAGATGAGGAGGAAAAAAGTAGGAGGATGAAAAGAGGAGATAACTATTTCTCCCTCCATGGTTCTCTCTCTCTCTCTCATATTCTTACTCATCCTTTTTATAACTCAAATTATCCTCTGATGATGATGAGGAGGAGGATGATCAAGAAGAAAAATCTTTTGTTATGAACATAATGATGATAATTTCAGTCTAATCTGATACATAATATGATTTCTGGTTGAGGGTTTTATCATTAATGGTGCAAGTTATAATCAGAATTAATTGATTATCATCATTGTAATTTGATTGTAATTAAAAACCATCAATGTCATTGAAAGGTTAAGAAAGGAGGATCAAGTAAAGGTGGGAATTGGGTTGATGATAATGCAAGACAATAAGATGATGAAGATAATTGTCTTTCACTGATTATTTTATCATCTTTTTTGTTTCATCAACCTTAATCATCTTTATCATTTTTCATCATTATTATCATCTTTTATCTTCATCTTTGATTTACTTTGCATGAGGATGAAAAATATGATGAATATTATCACCATCAGTAGGAGGTCAATGAGATGATGAATTTTCATCTTCATCTCTTTTTTTTTGTCACCTTTCCAAGACACTTTTTCTCATTCATTGTTAATAAATTGAATCATCATCATCATCATTTGATTGTTATTTTTGGGTGTGACTGATTAGGATGAGGAGGAGGAGGAGGATGTTGATAACATCATCATCTTTATCATCATTGTGTCTTTGATATATTCAAAGACAAATATATTAATCATCTCCTGATTAATATAATGATAATGAGAAACTTTTTGTATGTGTGTGGTGTGTTAGTTTGTATTGATTAGTTTTAATTACAATTTAATCTTCTTGTGATTTTAATTAGACATCAGTTTGATAATCTTTCATTTGATTGATCCAGAGATTAAATTGTTTCATGACTTGAATCTTGATCTTGTCACTTAATCTTACTGATATTAAACAGAATCACACAATTAACTTAAATTGTAAACATTGAATTCACTTTTTGCTTGATGTTAAATTACGTTGATTTAACTTAATTATCGTTTAGGAAAAAAAAATAGATAACAATCAGAGTTTGTGTTGTCTGATCAATCAATTGAATCTTTTATAGATTATCGTGTTAATGATAATTACAAAGAAATCAATGTTAATCACTTTTTGCTTTTTCTCATCATCAAAGCGATTCATTGTATCATCATTCTCATCATCATCATGGATTTAATTGAATTAATGTTTGATTAAATTTTATGTTCAGTTCAGGGGGTGAGATGAAGATCTGATGATTCAGCAGCAGCATCGTCTTTATCTTTTTCCTTTCTTTCTCCTTCCTCCTCTTCCTATTTTTCATCTTCTCGTGTCAATGATAAGGGAAACGGGAAACGGAAACTTATTGACAAGTTGAAATGAAGATAAAAATAATGATAATTATGCTAAAGAAAGAGAAACAAAAGAAACTGAATAGTTGAAGAGAGAGAATAAGAAAAATCATCTTCTTCATCATTTCCGTTTCTTTTTAATAAGATATTATCAATTTCAATCAACAATAAAAATGTTCAATTGATTGACAACTATGTCAGTTGATTGTAATACCATTATTATTGTACAAAATTTGATTTGATTTGATTACTTTTTTTTATCATGTTTTGCTTCAACAATTTAGACTAATCAATGACAATCAATTTGTGATCGTCATTATTATTAACAAATATTACATGATTATGATTAGTGGACATAAAACAGAGCCTAGAGCAATTAATTTTGTTAATTTTCTTCTTGGTGAACATAATTTGTTCAAGTTGATTAGTTTAATGATAATAATTTAGAGTTAATTTGAAATGATTAGTTGATTCTGTAGGCGTTAATAAATATATTAATTTGGTTCATTTTTTTTAAATAACAATTTTGTTTTCTCAAAGTGATAAATATGACATCATTTAACTGATCATAATGATGATAATCAAGATGATTATGATAATTAACGTCCACACACATATATAAACTCAAATAATTCACTAAAGTTAATTGATTCAATGTAATTAATTCATAGCACCATGAATTAAAATTAAAACCATCATGATGATAATCAGTTGAAGAAAACAAAAATAATAATCAATGAGATCAAGTCAATTAATTCAATTTAAAGATGATTTAACATCTTTATCTTGTAATTTGTGTTACTTATCCTTCATTGAACAAGAAGATGAAGAAAGATAATTAAGAAGATAATTCTGATTATTGAATTATCTCAATCATAAATATATAATATTAAATATATATTATTATCTAAAACTAACCTCACCCAGATAAATTACTTGATTGTATCAACAACAATCAAGTAAAATGGTAATAGTAAAAACAGCTCAATAATATTCAAACATTTTCAAAATATTATTGAGATGATGAGGAAGATGATGGAGGTGATAAAAGATGAAGACGATAATTCGAGTGGATCGATAAAGCTGATTTTGTGATTTAACTTTTTTTATCTTGAGCTTTTTTTGTCCCCGTAGGTCCAAAAGATGTGAGGTCAAGAGGATGTCCAAACCTCATCCTGTGCTTGTGTGTGTGTATGTATTTGGTAGTAGTGGTGACCTTTAACATCCAAAAGTTGATACTTGACATTTTTTGTGTCATCTCTTTTTGGTTCCTTCTTCATGAACTGTTGACCTGTCATTGAGAATGAAATATTTGAATTAGTATTGAAAACGATTTACAAAAAGCTTTAAAAACACCCAGAAATCATTGGATTTTTATGTTACATTCACTTTCACTTACCTTTTTACTGAATATAATTCACATTGAAAGCTATGGGTTTTTTTTGAGTGTCAAGATGATGATGATCAAGAGATGATGGTGAAGATGATGATGAGAGAGAAGAGGAGGTGGAAGAAAACAACGGGAAGTGGGTTTATCTTTCTTTTCTTCTGCTTCACTTTTTTTTCTTTCTTTCTCTCTCTCTCTCGTTGATTCTTCTAAGTGATTTATGATTAACCTTTACAATTTTTTTTCTGCTCTCTCTGAAGAGACATAACAACAATCAAACTTATGTTGTCGTTGTTAAATCGTAATCATTTATTATATTTAATCATGATCATGGTTAACCAATGGACAATTTATCAACCTCTCTTGTATTCAACAATCAAGTTGATACTCATTATTTGCTTATATTTTTTTTTTGAAAAAAACTTTTCATTTCATTTGATTAACTATGGATGTTGATCTTAGTATACAATTGAAATGACTTTTTTTTCCTTATAATCAACAGTTAGTAAGTTAGTTAGTTAATCATCTATGAGTTATTATTAGAAATATTAAATCAGCTGCTCTTCACTTTTATCAACAGTTAACTTGTTGAGGATTGGGTGGGATTGTTACTACAATGATAACAATAGTAATCAAAATTTAATAATAACAATAATCTGTTGATTCCAGGTGAGGAAAAATGAATCAATGAAATCAATCAGTCGATTATTGTTATCATTATCATTTGATGGTGTTATTATCTTCATTATTAGTGGTTATTGTTAGTTATTGAATTATAAACTGAGAGTAGAATTGAAATTAACTTATATTTTGTTGACTTTCTTCCGTAATCACTGCGATTTGATGAAGTTGATGATTGTTGTAATTAAATATTGCTCATGTTCATGATCGTTGTTTTTATCCAAATGATTTAAATGTTAATCATATTAATAGAAGTTGATAATCTGTCGGCTTTAAAGGAGAAGCAAAAAATGAGAGAGAGAGAGAGAGAAAAAGAAAACTAAATTAAGTTAATGTGAAGATTAAATGAATTTCATGATAAAAATGAATAGATAACAGAGAAAGATGAAGATGGAAAAGGTGAAGATGAAGAGAAAAATGATGATGAAAATTAACTTTTTTTTCTTTTCTTTTCTTTTAAAATTGAGTTACTCTTACATATACAATTATAGCTTCTTTTTAAAAACTTATCATTACTATTAACATTATTATTACATTTATTGTTATCATCATCATCATTTTTTTCTTGTGGTTTTTTCGCCTTCCTTACCTGTTAAGTTACTTTTAGTTGTTTCATTTGCACGCAGTTGTTAATTTCACTTCTTAACTGACCTTCATCAATGCCATTGATCTGACCTCTTCATCTCCATCTCTTTTCTCTATTTCTCTTTAAATCTATGGTACCTCTATCGCTGTATTTCTGATACTGTGGTGGTTTGACCCTCCTATCATCTGATATAAATGATGATGATGATGAAGGAAGATGTAATACCAGTAGCCGTGATTCTTTGTGAATTCATCATCTTTGCCATCATTTGAAAAGGTTTGCGTGAAAATAGAAAGTGAATCAAACATTTTCTTTCCTCCATCTAATATACACTTTTTTCTCTTGACTGGAGGAGAGTTGATGTTGCTGTTGGTGTTGGTTATTATTTACTACTCATCTTCTGCCTTTTGTTTTCATGATGATATAATTGATGAGAGAAAGATGTTGATTCCTTTAGACGATGATGATGATCTAGAAAGAAAAGAGAGAAAGAGAGAAATGGCAGGTTAAAGGTCAAGTTAATTACAATTGGATTCCAATTAATTGTATATCCTTTCCCAACACAAAGATGATCATTAATCTTAATACAAGGAAAGACAGATAACAAGAAATGCGAAGACACATTGGAAACATATACCATCCACCACCATCATCATAACCAATATTGAACCATCACTATTTTTCCGAATTTTTAATTGTAACCTTATCAATCATTCAACAGAATTACTGAACAATCAAGATAAAGCAAAAAGAAGAGATGAAAAAAACAGATGATAATTTATGATGAGAACATGAAATCCAAGTTGAGACACCGAATAAAAAAAAAACCTTCAATCCAATAGCAAAGAAGAAGATAGCAGCTGACAGAGGAAAAGAAACCTGAAAAAAGATAAAGAAATTACCCAAAATTAATTAATCTAATTAACCAAATCCATGGAAAGATAAAGTCAATATATTACTTAAATACACTCAACAAAAAAAAACAAAAGAAATTAACTCAATTCTGATAATAGAAAAAAAAATAAGAAAAGAACAAAAAAAAATTCGATTTTAATTACCGACCCCTTTTCTCTTTCCGGGCCAATAACCGTTTTCGCCTTCGCCCTTGTCGCTTATGTAATTTAATTGTTTTCCTTTTGCAAGTTTAATTTCTTGTCGCTTTTAATTTAATTTTAATTCTCTTTAATTGTTCCAAATTATTGCAGGTTAATTGGTGATCATTAGGAAAACAACACAACTAAATACAAATGATTCCTTGACGTTAATATACATCATCAACTTGGGAGGTCAGTTTTTGTTGTTTCTAATTTTTTTTTTCTTTTCTCTTCTTCTATATAATATGTTTGTTTAATATGCATTATTATTTATGTATTAAAATGGCCTTAAGGCTGTTAACACTCTTGGTGTCTTCTTAAGACGCTTCTCGTATCGTTTGTCCCTCTCCCCTTGATTGTTGGGTTATTTAAGCTTTTCTAATAATCTCTTTTTCTTTTTTTCTCTCTCTCTTTAGCTTAATCTTTTTGATCCATTTATTGGTGTGATCGCCATCTCAATATATTAGGATGATGATGATGACGCTCTGATTCTTAGTATCTTATATCAACATTGTTCCATTGATGTCAAATGTTCTTCAGCTATTTTTCTTCACTCATCACTGATTTGATTATCTATCTACCAATTAAGGTTTTACCCTCTTCTCTCTCTCTCTCTATCTCTTACTCTGTGTGTCGATTTGTTTCCCTTCTCAATGTTGTTTACACTTTTTGTTTTCCTTATCTTATGGCTCCTTTTGTGTTTAATAGTTGTTATTAATTCGCCTTCTAGGTAAATTGACATCATTAACCATTATTATTATTATTATCTTGATTATCATCTCCATCACTAAATTGCCGTTGTGTTGTTTAAGCATCATCATCAACAGAATCATCATTATCTTTATCATCAGAATCATCTCCTTCTCATCATCAGTGTCAACCTTTTAAGCTTTATCAATGTTAATTGTTTGAAATCGATAATATTAATAGTGAAAATGTTTAGTAAATTAATACATCATTTGCAATTCTTATTATTATTACAGACACATTTTCATTGAATTTTAACTGTTGCAACAAATTTTTAGGTTAATTTGATAAAATTGTAAAAACACCAAACAAATTAATCTCTAATAACCCAAGCAATTAGTTGTAACTTAGTGGTTAGTTAAAGGTTAAATTGTAATTATATTACAAATTAATCTTGCTTTCTCTCTCTCTTTTATAATCATCATTAACTTATTGTCCTCAAAAATCAGAGGGTTTAATTAATGGTTACACTTAGAAAACAACAAGTAACAGAAACAATTCACTTGATAATCATTATTATTCATAACCAGAATCGAGAATCAGTTGATTATCATCTTAATTCAGTTTAATTTATGTTAAAATGTGTGACCAGGATATAAATTAATATGATGAGCTCAATGATATAATTGTGATTATAATTTTCTCTCTTGATTAAGGTTAAATTATAGTTTTAATTATGTTTCTCTTTCAAAATCAATTAATGATTAATTTTTCCTCTCTCTCTCTCTCTCTCTCTCTCTCTCTCTCTCTCTCTCTCTCTCTGATTAAGATTAGTTTTCAATTACTTTTTAATTTTACTAAACAAAGTCACTCTAAGTGTCAAATGAATAGTTAAATATGAAAGAAATCAAATGTAATAACATTTAATTACCAAATTAAATGATTATAAATATGATTACTTACTATTTAATTTCATTTTTTTTTCTCAATTTTGATGATGATTATCAATAACATTTAGGTTTGTGTATTTGATTGGAGTGGCTTTTTTATTAATAGGTTTTAAAATGCTCACATCAATCACATTAAATGATGATGATTATGATGATTTTAATCAGATAATAATCGTAATCAAAATATACATAATATGCTCAAGGAAGATGATATGAAATTTGTATTGAAAAAATGAAGAAAAATTGAAAATTTTCTTCAACAAGTAAATTCAATACCTGGATATTTGTTTCCATTGAGACAAAAAGCAAAAAAATAATAATAATCAACAAGAGAAAAAGTTAAATACCATTAACTTGATCTTGATGATGATTAAATATGTTGATATGTTATTAAATATATTATACAAGTAGAATCAAATTGTTGATAGTTAATCCAATTAACTTTTTAACTTGTTAAATCAAAAGGAGGTTTGTCAAGGTTAAAATTGGTTGAAAATTTCATATTATCAATAAATATCTAACTTATTCTTGTCTTTTCCATATTCAGATAAAAAACACCATTGGAATCCTCAGTTGGATATCTCATCATCATCTTCACCTTTATCTTCATCATCATCTCTCTGGATACTTATACAATCACAGGAATACCTAAAGTCGTGCTAGGTGATTGTTGTTTAATCAACTCTCGTCATCATTTTCATTCTCACCATGATACTTATCCATCCATCTCAATAGTGTAACGAGTAACACATTCAGAGACTCACCCATTACCATTAAATCACCAGTAACATCTCATCCTCATCCTCATCCTCATCCTCATCATCTTTATAATCAATGGAAACAACAAACTCTTTTAACTTTTTTTCCATCCATTCTCATCATTCTTTCACTTCTCTCTCTCTATCTTTCTATGTATTATTATCATTTTTTTGTTCATCATCATCACAATATTTATGGTGATCATGATTGAGTGTACTCTGTATGTATATGCAGTTTCTTGGTTGTGTTGATTATTATCAGAAATATATACTGATGATCAGTATTACACAATCAAGAAAAGCAGTAACGATGATAATACAATGATAATCATATAACAATAACTCTGCCAGAGTTGTTGTTGTTGATGATGATGAAGATAATAATGATAATATTACACCAAGAAACATACACAATGAATGAATTGAATGATAACAAATGAATAAAAATGTTTCTTTCCTGATCTTATTGCTTTTCATGATATCTACTCAATGATATCATGAAGAGAAAGATCTGAACAGATAACTTTCTGATTCTTTCATGTGTTTGACAATCGTTTCTAATACTTTATTATTTATCTTTCTTTATATTTTGATTTAGGTTTTTGTTGCTGTTGTTACTGACTTTTAATCATTTACCATCTCATTGGATCATCATCAAGACTTAATCATTATCATAATCATGTTGCTGATCATCTTCATGGAAGTAGAGAAAAGTCAACAAAGACAAATTTAAATGGGTTGGATGATAAAATTGGCTGATAGTTGAGGAAAATATTAAAAAAAAAGAAGCTCGGAAAAGATGAAGAAAATAAAAGGAACACCTTTTTTAATGGAAATGCCCTGGGGCAAATCTAATAAAGAGTATAATTAGACTTATGCATCTTTCTCATCATCTGTTATCTTCCCTTCTCATCTTGACGCTGATGGTGCTTGACATGGACCTGAAAAGAGACAAAAAAATCACGATCTCTTGTGAAGATAAACGCATTTTCTGTTAAATCTTATCATCTTTATTTCTCTTCTCATCTCTCTTTTGTCATCTTCTTGCAATTTTTGCTAATATTTATTTTCTCCATCATCATCTTCACCTTTTCAAGGTACATTCAACAATTAACTTACAATTGTTAAAATCTATTCAAATTAATGGATAAAGTTAATGATAAACAAAAAAAAAAGGATTCACCTTGAAAGGAATTGAGATTGAACCAGGAAATATCACCAATCAAATTGTTCATGATAATTGTTATCATGTTAATCCTTTTTTTCTGACACTATGATGACTTTTAATTGTTAAAATATTTTATTTGTTAATCAATTGTTAATCGTTATTCAATTTGCTTCCGATTCCTTATTATCAAGCAAATTAATGATGATCATTAGTATTATTATCATTTGAATGGCTGTCAAAGGATAAATTAGTTTCTCCTTTTTAGTTTTAAATGATTTTACAATTTAAATTGATCATCATTTTAATTAAAACTAAATCAAGTTTTCCCTGGTAATCACAATCAATAATACAATTAATTACATTGATATTGATGATTGTTATTATTTAGGAAACATTGAAATGCTCAATGTATCAAAAAGCTTTAAGGTAAATTGTTTATTCATTTATTATTTTAATTATTTGATTTACAATTTGAATAAGATTTACTAATCATGTTTCAAATTAAACTAAATTAAATCATATTATCTTTGAAATGTTAATTACAATGAACCAAATTAAAACTTTTCTCATTCCTCTTTTTGTTTTCAATTGATATTCGGCAACAATTAACCTAATCACTTGTTTCTCATTTAATCAATTCTCTGAGAAATTAATTTTTATCTGAATTAGTTAATTGTAATTCTGTTTGTGTAATCACAATTAAACTCTAAATTATTTATGTATTGATGTTTATTATCATTTCACAATTAACCCACAATTTGATCCGATTGATCCAAACTCTCATCAACTAATTAATTAAATACCCGTAAGGTTATTTAATTAATTTTTCCGCTATCATTTAAATTACTAATCATAATTTTTAATCTAATTGTTGTTGTTGTTGTTAATCATTTTGATGAAAATCTTATTACTGTTATTGTTTTGATTAGCTGATTAACTTGTATAAACAATTTAATTGTCCATATGAACAATAATTAACATGTTTTCATTTCTTTACCCAGACAATTAAATCTAATCACAATTAGATTCATTTGATTATCATAAGCTCAGAAATTAACTATTATCAATCATTATGAAATATGATCTGACAATTAACTTGGATAAACACAATAGGAAACAATAATTAAACAATTAACCCTTTGTGTTTTCATTAGATGATAAAATTTGATTTGATTGTTACAATATTAATGCTTAGTTAATTAACTAATCATCATGCAATTATTTTCATTCAATTTGATGATTAACTGATCATTTCATTTGCAAGAAAACACATCGACTTTTTGATTACTATCAAAGTTAATTGTTCAATTAAATTGTGTTTTTTTTGCGCTCTCTCATCTGATTGTAAACAATCAAATCAATTTCCATTGATTATTTACAATTTAATAATATAAATTGTCTTATATTGTTATCATCAAGATCAAATTGTGATTGTGATTCAGTTGATTTAAGACTTTGACATTATTGTTATTTTATATTATTTACCCAATGGTAACTTCATCACCATCATCAACTGATTACTTTTGATTGTTGATTGTTCAACTGTCCTTAAATCACCAAGCTTTTAACTTAATGAACCAACAATTTGTTAATAGTTAAACTGGTTAACCATTAATAGTTACATAACAATCAAGACAATTGAAAATCACAAAGACAAATAATAAAAGTTTTCTGACCAACTGATTTTTTGTTTATTATATTTTCATGTAAATTGTTGATTGTTGATCATTTATATTGCTTTTGTTGACAATTAACTGATCAACAAAATGTTAATCTTTCAAATTAATCTAATCCGATGATCATTATTTAGTTAACTTTACATTGAGAATACATTTTTATTCAAATATTAATATTTTTCTTGTTATTTTATCTTTGATTTTTATTACTTTCCACAACAATTAGCTAATTGTTACAATGGTTTATTTATTTTTCTTCAATGTTTTATCATCAGTAATCAAATAAATGACAATTATTTTGATGAAACTTTGATTGTTTGATTGTTAGGGTTATAAATAGTTTCACTTGACCAAAGTAAATTGTTTCAAGTGGTCAGTTTAATGTTACCTCTTTATTATTGATTGTTTTTCAAGTTTTTTTTGACCAAATAAATTGTTGATCAATCATGATTACTTGATTGTTGTTTTACAAATTGATTGGAGAAAAATTTATTCGATTGTTATTAAATTGTTGTTATTTTTATATTAAATCATCGACTAGATCACTTGATGACCTGAGGATAAACTGAACAATATTGTAACTCGGAAATCGATTAATTTTTTATATTATTGACCAACTCAATAGACTTTATTATTTATTGGTCAAACTTTCAATCATTTTGAGTAACAATTAATTGATTACAAAGATGAAATTGTTTTTTTCCTTTTAATCATTGGACAAAAAGCAACATTTACAATCAACAACAAGACGACAATTTAATGTTCTCACCAGAAATACGATAATAAACTTATGGATTTATTATTCCTCGTTAAATTGGATTAAATTAATTGTTTATGATTAAATTGTCCTCCTTTTTAATCGTAACAATTTACTAAAAGTAAATTAAAGTTCAATTGATTAACTTGTTAGATTTTTCAATCGATCGTATTTACTTGCCTCTTTAGCTTATAGCAATTGTTTATTACTCTGTTGATTGACATTTATAGTTGATTGTGTTCGTAATTTATTTGATTGTTTACATTTGATTATAATTTTCTTAATTCTCCCAAAAGTTAATTTGATTTTCAAATTTTCGTGAAAAATAATTCGTGAAACATGTGTCGCCATCTCTCGGGAATTTCGGTAACTTTTTGCTCTTTGCCGCCATTTTTGTTTCTTTGTTTTGGTTTGATGATCAATCGGTTTAATTTTTTTTTCTGTTAATTAATCTGCGTTTTAATTGTTTAACGACCAATTGTTTTCTTTTTCTTTTTCTTTTTCTTTTTTTATTTGAAGGAATTGCCGTTGAAGAAGATGAAGAGTAATTGGAGGAAATAAAAGGAATAATTAAAACTCTGGTAACAGTAAATTCTTGTGACTTTTGTTGACAATAGAAATTTTTTCTTCTTTTTGATTCTTTGTTTGTGTTTTGTGATTTGGTTAATTGGGTGATGGATTTTAAAAATTATTTCCTTGATAATTCAACGCGTCAATCTAAATATGAGGACACTTTGCCTGATCTAGGAATCGAGGAGAACCAGGTGATACCTCATGAAAATCATTCCAGGAGAAAAAGATTCTTGCTGATGAATCGAAAAATTTTTTCACCAAACTGTTCACCATGTTAACCAAAGGTTATAATGTTGTAGTTTATGGTGTTGGATGTAAACGACCACTTTTGGAACAATTTAGAATCGAAAAGCTGGACAAATTTACCACTATCGTTGTCTATGGTTACAAAGATAATGGACAGCGACAAATTTTGACCGCATTTCAAGAAGCCCTGGACTGTAACAAACAAGACGAAGAATCAATTTTAACAAAATCTCTAAATCCAAGAGACCAATTTTCCTGATGATCCATTCAATTGACCGACTTTTCTTACGAAGTGAAAGGATCAAAGGTCTAATCAATCGTATTTTAGTCTCACCCATAAAAAATGTTCATCTCTTAGCCTCTGTTGACCATATCAACTCATCTCTCCTTTGGACCTGCCGAGAAGTTGATTTATTAAACTTATATTGGATTAACTTTCCAACCTTTGACGATTATTCATCTGAGAAAATCTTTGCCCAACTAAGTACAAGCCGATCATCTGGTTCAGCCAAACAACGATCAGCGACAGCAACACTGATGGCGGTGTCCAATGTTTTCGACAATTTACCAACCAATTCCCAGAATATTTTCCTTCAGATTTTAAACTTTTACCAAGATCATTTTGCGGCCAATCAGTTGGATCAACAATCAAAATCAACTGGACGTCGGAACAATAAAGCCCATGAAACCGATGAAAGTGAAACCGATGAAGACGATGAAAATGACGGACGAAAAGGCCAAAAATCGAGTAAAGGTTTTGAAGGTTATCCATTCACAAAACTTTACCTTGATTGTTTGGAAGCCTTTTATGTCAATTCGGAGGCCACTTTGAAAGCCCAATTAGTTGAATTCATTGATCACAAGTTAATTCGTTCCCGATCAGGAAGCGATGGCTCCGAGTTCATCGAATTGTTAATTCAGCCCAAATTAATACCCAAGTTACTACAAGAATTATCTCGTTAAAAGCAATCAAAGACGAAGTCTAATTGTAATTAGACACATTTTTTAAAATCTTTTTAATTATTATCATTAATAAATGACCATTTCAACTGAAAATAGATCAATTTTCTAATCATAATCTTACCGGTAACAATTTAAACGGGAAAAAAATGAACGCGACCATGATGATGGTTTGAAATGAGTATTAAATTTCAAAAGAATTGAAAAATGATCCTCACAATTAATAAGGAATCGTAATTTAATAATATTTAAAGATAAATGTGACAGAAGAAATAAAAATTCAGAACAATTTAGTCGATCAACTGTTTCTGCTTGCTTAAATCACAATCAGGTATAACCTTTTTTTCATTGGTAATTAAAATCTCTTTAGGAGTCTCTTTGATTTCTTCAATTGATTTCATAGTTACATCTTCATTTTCATCATTAAGACCCATTAACCATTCCTCGCATTCATCACGTTGTTCATTGGTTACTGATTTTTCCAACCAATTTTGATGGAACTGGTCAAACTTGAGATGAAGTCTTCTTGAAATATTTTTATGGTTCTAAAAGGATACAAGAGAAACAAAATTAATTAAACGAAAAAATCAATAAACTAATAGATTAATTATTTTAACAATATGATGATGATTTCTTACCTTTCTTGCTCTTGTTAAAGCATTTCTTTTATACAGGTAACTCTCACTTTGTACAACAAAAACCATTTTAAACGAGTTTACATTAAATTTACATTGAGTATCATCGACAGCTTGAAGTGAATTATTTGTTTCTCCTGCTTCGTCTTTTGTACCTCCGTCGTCATCACCACCACCTCCACTTGCCGTTCTACTGTTGCTTCGTCCTCCAGTTGGTGAACTTGACAAAGGTATTACTCCTAATTCAGCGGCGGCTCTTTCCTCCTTTTCCTTGCTTTCTTTGTACCTCCAAATTCGGAGGTTTCTGGGCAGAAAAACCGGCTTCCGTGATAACTTTTCTTTCAGCTCGTCGCTGATATCATTTTCAACTTCTTTTACATACTTTTCAACATATTCGGACCATTTTTCCACTTCCCCTCCATCTTCACTTTCAACTGAATCAGGACAAATCAGTTCAATGGTCACTTTACCCTCTCCCTTGTAGACAATTATTTTGAAACAATTTTCTTCAGCTAATAGTTGCTCAGCCTTCTTTTGATAAGCCGCTTCAAAATTTGCTCTTAAATGGTGGGTTGAACATGGACCTCCAGTGGCGTTATTTTTACTCTCCTCAATGAACATTTCGTTACAAGTGATACAAGTTTCATCACCTACAATATGTTGCAATTGACGAACAATATTTTGAACAACTTTATCCAAAGTAAATGCAATGTAAGCATGAATACCAAACATTTCTCTTAGTTGATCCTCGAATTGATTAAAGTCCAGGTTACCATCCAAAACTTGTTTAACCATATCAATTAACGCAAGAAAATATTCCTCCACCTCGTAATCATCTTTAAGAAAAACTAATGAATGATAATCATTTCCGAACAAAATAAAAACATAACAAAAGCAAAGAAAACAATCAACACTTTTTTCATTTTCTCTCCCGCGCAAAGTTCACAATAGACGAAATTCAATCAATTTTTAGCTGATTGAAATGATATTAACCTGACTGAGTTTTTCTCATTAAAACGCTAAATTTTGATTACTTTGTTTTCTTTGCTTTTGGCTTGTACTCTTCTCGTAAATACTTACTTTTTGGCTTTAATCTGAGAGCTGCAGCAGTTGATTCTTTTCTCAATGTTTTCTCTTTTTCCTCTTCAGCGATAAGTATCATGGTTCTATCGTGCATTTGAGCCAAACGGTCACACAGAATATAGTGAAGTCGGAAAAACAAGTACCAATAATTATTGACGAAAAACAGTGAATAATTATCATCACAGTCTTTGTTTAACATTGGATTAACATTTTTAGATTGACCACTGGGATTACCATTAACACAAGATTGACCATTGTTATTGTTAGTCGTTGTAGCTGTTAGTGTGTTTGTTGTTGTCATCGTTGTGGTTGCTGTTGTTGTAGCTGTTATTGGAGCTGTCGTTGTTATTGTTGTTATTGTTGTTTCTGATGTTGCTGATGATGATATTGATGTTGTTGTTGTGGATGGTAATGATGATGAGATTGGCGGAACATTATTATTGAAATTATTTTCGGTGTCACTTTTGGTTTTATTATTTTCATTGGTACCATTACCATTATCATCGTTATTATTATTACCATTGTTATCCTTTGTGTTGGTAAAATTTACAGGTATACAAATAACCGAGTTGTTGGTATTGTCTTTATTTGTTGAACGATTATTATTATCACTGTAAGTGTCCATCCTTTTATCAATCTCAAAGTCTTCAAGTTCATCGTCACTTAGGTCACCTCGTTGAGTGGCAAACATATCAGGGATAAAGTGTTTCAATAATTGTTTTATCTTTTGTTTATCCTCTTTATGAATTGAGGTTTGTCTTTTTACATGATGGATAATCAAATTACATGCCTCCTCTATCATGGATTTATTTTTATATGTTAATGTCATATGAGGTCCAGTTGTTAAATTTTGACCATTAACATTATTGTTATTACTTGATGAATTGTTTCCGGTTCCAGATGAAGCCATGTTTTCCTCATTTTGTTCATGTCTCTCCTCGTAAAAAGTTTCAATCTCATTAATTAGACTTTTTGACCTTATATATTTAATATCATTCTGCTTAAATGATATACCTTGATGATCCAATGATTTAAGGTAATATTTTTCACACTGTTCACGCCAAATTTTGTTAAATTGTTTCTGTGCATCTTTCCATTCCTCTTCTTTTGTTTTTAATCGTTTCAATACCAATGGAACGGCAACAACTGGATTCTTTTTCAATCCGTCAATTATTTCATTCGATTTATCTCCATAGATTCGTCTGATGGAACGCTGATGAATAATAGCCGATGTACCGCCGAGACATTCGTCAAGTTTAAATTTTGCTCTCTCCTCAGGACCCATTCGAGATAATCTTTTCTGAACAGCTTCCAATACTCGGATTGTTGATAAATTGGTTTCGATGATAACATCCAATTCAAATCGTTCGTCTTCACATCGATAAATAAACTCCTCGTATTGGGTTTTCTTGGAGGTGACAAAAGTTGAATCTTCCGACCAAGAAGGGAAAGAGACCCAGGTATCATTTAGAACTTCTTTAAAAAGTGCAGTTCGACCAGAACATTCGGGTTGTACATAATTCTTGGGTAGAGCTCTGTAAGATGCACCATACCTTTTACAGGTCGCATAATTAATTTCTGCACCTGAACCTTCGTTCATTCTTTCACGATCTCGCTCTCGAATACCAACAACCCGTTGGGGTAAACCTTCCATGAACATGTTATTATTGTTAGCTGAAGATAGTGAAAAATTGTAATAACTGTTGGAAGTTGTATTACCATCTTTGTAGCCGAGAAAATCTTTGAAAAATTTCAATAGTTCGGGAAATTTACCCAAAAAAGGAGTAACCAGAAGTACCAGTTCATTACGTGAGACAATCTCATGATTATAAAGAAATAAACATCGTAGAAAATTTTCATAAACCTCTTGACTTCGAAGTGCTTTACGAACCTTATCGAAAAACGCATACTCATTCAGGCTACCATATTTACCAGCTTCGGCAAGACTAACATCCCGTAATGAGGTCATTTTAGGTTTATTTGGTGAGGTTTGAATGCTAATTATCTGTTTACGCATTTGGTTTCCCATTGGTGAATTAATATTAGAACCAAGAAAAGTACCAACTGGTCTGGCCAATGGTTTTTTAACAATAGCACCATGATCATTGGCAGCAGCCCGATGAGCAGCAGCTAAATTGTCCACATGATGAGCCGCAGAAATGGCTGTAGAAATGGCTGAACCAGCTGATGATCCATGGTGTATATTTGAATTAACATTCTGGGAGACACCAGAGAAAACTGAATTAGATGAACTCACAGCAGCAGCATTGGCATCCGGTAAGAATTGACCAAATTCTTGGAGTAAATCTTCTTGATTTTGAAAAAGTTTCGCAACCTGTGCATAGACTTGACTTTCATTAAGTGGCTTTGAATCGGGTTTAATTCCCTCCTTTAAACATTTCTGCTCCTTTTGATAAGCATGAAGTATCTCAAGAAATTGTTTATAAACCTCTGGTTGACCCTGGAAACGATTTTTGATCTTATTCACATAATTAATGGCATGATTAAACTCAACAGGCTGAGCACTGGTTGAATTATTATCACCACCCGGACCAAGAGCACTGGTAACATTTAAATTTGATCCTTCGATGCCACTACTACTTGTACCACCACCACCTCCTGTATTACCTGGACCTGGTCCAGTACCAAGAGAGCCAATAATACCTGGTGAAGGTGATATATTAACTGGTATCGGTATTGTTTGTATGTTAGAGGTTAAATTTGAATCAATTGAAGAACCGGACAATTGGGGTGTCACTGTTGTTGAACCATGGGTAATGTTGGTATGGTGAGGATCAGTCGAGGAAACAGATCTTATTGATGTAGAGGTATTTTGATTGTGTAAATAGGTTTGTTGGGTTGATGGTGATGAAGAGAAAATTGTTTTACCAATTTGACCTGGTAAAGCATTGGCTGTGGTCAAATGGACTCCAGTATGATGTGGTGTTGAATGGACTGTACCTTGAGATGGTGTAGACGAGGGAAGGGCCAACATTTGTTGTGTACTGGTAACTGAGTTGGCAGTTGAATTATGGATGATTAGAATGCTTGTGCTAGATGGCATACTAACATTAACCTGATCATTTGATTGCATCTCAATTTTATAACCAGGCGGTAAAAAGGTGTTGAAACCAACAATCAATTCTGGATGACCTCTAAATAGATTGGAAACCCGTTGAATTACTCCAGGAGTATCGATACTTTGTGATTTAAATTCTTTCATTATATCCAAGAAATCATTATATACTTGAGGTTGATTATTGAATTTAAATTTAACTTGATCCAAATAGGATAAAGCATCTTCCACTTTTAACCTTTGAAATTGTTGCTGTTGTTGGGGTGTTTGGTGGGTCGTTGCTGGTGTAACAGTTGTTGTTGTTCCTCCTCCACTTAAAACACTATTTGAATTACCAGTTCCAACACAAACAACACCACTACTATTACTAATGGTAGTATTACCACTGGAGCTACTATTACTACTTCCACCACCACCACCAACAATCGTATTACCAACAATTGTTGGTGTTACAGTGGTAACTCCTGTACCAGTAATAGTCATACCAGTTGCCACAGCACTGGCAACACCAACAGTCTGTGGATTAGGTGTAATAGATGTACTGGTATGATGTGGTTGAGATGTAGATGAAGAAATATGTACTTGATGTCCATGAGTTGGAGCAGGATGAACAGTTAATGTTGTCTTTATTGTCTGTTCTTGAATAATATTACCAATATTAGATGAAGATGCTGCTGCTGCTGCTGCTGCTGATACTACTGCTACTGATGATGATGAAGATGATGATGATGATCTTAAAGATGTTGCTGTAAGATCAGCTGTATTAACAGTTAATGATTGACCACTATTTCCTGCAGGTATGGCTTGAATGTGTAATGAACCAGTATTACGATTAGGAGCAGTTAAAACAGTTGTTGTATGTGAACCAATACCAGAAGAATCAGCTAATTGACCCGACAATGAAGCTTGTACTGGCGCTTGTATTTGACCAGGTATGGGTCCTTGAAGAAGATTCGGATTTTGTATTGGATTAGCAATCCAAGATCCAATTGAAGGTCGATTTGTATTCATCCTCCACACTAAACTTGTAATAAATAATAAAATCACCAGATTAATAAATTTAAATAATTATTTTCAACAAAAATGACACAAACATATCAGATTGAATGCTTTTGTTAACATTTGAAGATGAAGAAAAAAATGGCTGCCATCTATCAGCATCTATGGCAGCTCGTTCGAATCTTCTTTTTAAACTCTAGATGGCGACACTTTTTTTTCTTCTATTTAACTGATCACCATGGAAACGAAAACAATTCATTCAATTACTTTTGGCGGTAAAAAGCATAAAGATAATTTTCTTGTCTCATTGAGTGAATTTACATTTTTCCTTTTTTTTTAATTGTTTTTCATCAATTCTCTTTGTTGCATTTTAATTCCTTCAATTGTTGATAATTTTAAGCGTTTATTTGGTTAACTGTTAAGGTGAGTTTAATATTTTTTGGTTATAATTATCATGAAATGTTTATGTGAATTTTTCATGTTGATGTTTTTGTCAATCAATTTTCCAACCTTTGATTGGGGTTTTCTTTTTTGGTTTTAATTAATTTCATTTTTTTTTGTTCTTGTTGTTTCTCTGTTTGATTTTAGATTGATTGAGACATTTTGTATTCATAATGGGTGATTCAGATGGCTTGGAAATGTTACCTTTGTATTATCAATTACTTTTTCCTTCTAAACTTTTCTGTAAATGGTTATCCTATGGAAGTGAGTTCTTACTTTTTTTCTTTGTTGTTTCTCTATAGATTTGATTTGATTGTGGTGAGAAAATAATTAGACTTTTTCTTTGTTTTATTTCTTCCTTTTTTTTTTGTTCGCCTATATTTTTAGATGATGAAAGTTTCCTTAATAGAAGAGAATTTTCTTTTACCTTACCTGGTGATATCTATTTACGTTATCAAAGTTTTAAAAATTCAGAGGAATTACTGAAAGGACTTGCAACCAAACTTCCTATTAAAATCGATATTGGTGCTGTTTTTGATAAAGTACCAAAAGATAATCGTAAAACATTGGAATCTCTTATTCCACAGGAAAGGGAATTAATTTTCGATATTGATATGAACGATTATGATGATATTCGTACCTGTTGTAAAGGCGCAGTAATTTGTAAAATGTGCTGGAGATTCATTGTTATTGCTGCTAAGATTTTAGATCGAGCCTTGAGAGAAGATTTTGATTTTAAAAATATTCTTTGGGTCTATTCTGGTCGTCGTGGTATTCATGGTTGGGTCTGTGATGCTCGAGCTCGTAAATTATCACAAGATGCAAGATCTGCCATAGTTGATTATTTATCTCTAGTTGAAGGTGGTGAATATAAAAGTAAACGAGTTACCCTTCCAGCCAACAAAAATCTTCATCCAAGTGTTAAAAAATCATTGGACTTGATTAAGAGTGAATTTGTTGATTTCATGATTAAAGATCAAAAATTATTCGACACAACGGAAAGTGCATCAAAGGTGATCGATCTATGTCTTGATAGCGAATTAAAGTTGGCCTTGAGAAGTAAAGTTCTAAAATCATTTCGTACTGGTATCGATCGTTGGGAAGTTTTCGAGAAAACCGTTGAACTTTTTGTTCAGGAAAAAAATTACACCCGAACTCATGCAAGATACTATTTAGATGAAATTAAATTACAAATGTGTTATCCTCGTTTAGATGTAAACGTTTCCCGAGGAATGAACCATTTAATCAAATCTCCGTTCTGTGTTCACCCTAAAACCCATCGAGTTTGTGTTCCCGTTGAAATGGATAAGATTGAAAAATTTGATCCATTTACCGTTCCAACGATTGATCAACTTTGCTCCGAAATTGATGCTCATGATGCCGCTAATCCAGAGAAAACCAATATCGATGTTTATGATAAGACAAGTTTGAAAGAATTAATGAAATTTTTCCGTTTATTTGTGTCCAAGTGCGAAAGAGACGAAGCGATCGCCAGAGCAGCCGAAGCTCGAGCCACCGAATCACTTGATTGTTAATCACCCAACCAAACCAATCGAATCAATCATATCTTATGGAGAAGAGAAAAAAAATCAATAGTCACAATCAATAATCAATCTTGAAAAAAAAGTCAATCATTTCTATTACATGAGCAACGATGGTTAAATCTAAATTCTGTCCACAAGTAATTAACACAATTAATCAACACCTTTAATTACAATGGAAATTTTCAAACTTGATTGATATAATTTCTCATGTCTTTCTTATTAATACAATTTGTCCTACAACAAACAATGATATTGATCTATTTTTGATTAAAAATACAAATTGATTTTACCATCTCTTTCTAATGATATTTTCCAACTAATCATTAGAAATGTTAAAATTTTCAAAAGCAAAACAATTTAAACGTCAACATTATCAACACAGTTGAGATCCAATCAACATTCAGAGTTGTTTTCATTTCTAATCTCACAACTTTTCATTTATTTTCCTCTTTAATTGTGATAATCTTTTACTGTCACCAGTTAATTGTAACAATTTACCAACTATTAGTGTTAGAGTAACATGATTACGTTAAAAAAATCAACAGATAATCAAGTTAATCAACTAATTAAATGTTTATTTCTCCTTGTGTTTACCTTTAAATTGGTTAATGCAACTCTCACACCAGATGATATAGTTACTAGTAAACAGAAGGTAATTGTTATTGTTTTGCTTGCCATTTTCTTAATTACTACTAATTAAATGTTAATTTTGTTTACAGAAATTGGAAACTAGTGGATTAACTAATAACTCGCTGGTTTCTAGAGGTTTAATTGTTTCTTCACCCAAAGTAAAAGACATTCTGAAGGAACATTCAATTTACTCTGAGGAAAATGTTTCCGATCGTTTTGTTAATGGAACCGTTTTAGGTTATGTTACTCCGGTTTGTATTCTAATTTAATTGTAGGTTCAATTGTTCTATTCTAAATTGTTTTTCTCTTGTAAATTGTTGTTATATTTCCAGTGGAATGGTGAAGGTTATGATATTGCCCGAACCTTTGCCAAAAAGTATACCCATATATCTCCTGTTTGGTTACAGTTGAAGTTGAATGAAGATGAGGAAACCACCAGAATTGAAGGAACTCATGATATTGATTCAAAATGGATGGAAGATTTAAAGACAATTAATCCAAATTTGAAAATAGTTCCCAGAGTTATTCTTGACAATTGGTATAATTCACAGTTGATTGTTTTACTAACCAATTCTAAATTGTCCTCATATATTGGAAGGCAACTTGCTGAACTTGCAAAGGTTTGTCTATGTTTATGTTTACCTTTTTTAAAAAAGTCTTTAATCCTTATATAAGGAGAAATTAACTAGATTAATTAATTGTTCTATTCTATTATTAACCATTTGATTGTAATTAGAAATGGCAATTTGATGGATTCGTATTGGAAATGTGGTCTGCCTTTGCTGCTCAACAAAAGTCGTAAGATATTGGCTTTAAGTGTTTTGTTTTATATTCAATTTATTTGAATTTCTAGACAATCAATTGTTTATTAGGATATTTTAAAGTTGAAATAATATAAATTTCTAAATTGATTGGTAAATTATACTGTCATTAGAATGGTCAAAGTGATTAAGAAAAATGAGACAAATGAAATTTATTGATTGGTAACAGAATCAAAATCTCATTTCTTTTCATGGTTCCGATTATATTGATTTTTTTATTTTCCTTTGAAATCAGTTGATCAATTGTCACCATAATTGTGACTAGAAAACTTGACATTTTAGAAAGTTCAAAGAATTGATGATTAACTTTCATCTAATTTGATTAACTAATTGTCTTCTCTTTTCTTTTCCAGTGATGTAATTGAAATCATCTCTAAAATCTATGCTCATTTCAAGAAAAATAAAATTCAACTCATTTTGGTTGTACCTCCACCGATTCATTATGGGTAAGTGATTACCAATTAACTTTTAAATGGAACAATTAATTTTGATTTAATTCTATTCCCAGAGGAAGAGTTGGTTTATTTGTGAAAGAAGATGCTGAAAGACTTGCTCCTTATGTCCATGGATTCTCATTGATGACCTACGATTATTCAAATGCCCAGAGGTAAAATGTTGAAACTCCACAACAATTTGATCAAAATTAACTTTTCAATTTATTTACAAACAATTAAGACCAGGGCCAAATAGTCCAATTAAATGGATTCGTGAGTGTGTCAAGTTAATTGCTCCAAAAGCTACAAGTCCAATTAGAAAGAAATTACTTGTTGGATTAAATTTCTATGGAATGGATTATTCACCAACCGGTGGATCAGCAATTCTTGGCAAACAGTAATTATCACAATTAACACAAACAATTAACCCTCGAAGACTAAATTATCTGTTGATTTGATTAATTTTCAGATATATTGAAATATTGGAAAGATCTAAACCTAAATTAATCTGGGATGAAACTTCATCTGAACATTACTTTGAATACAAGTGAGTTAATTGTTCCCTTTATCGATTTCCGATAATTTTTAATTGTTATCTATTAATTTGTTCATTAAGATCTGGAGCTGGTCGAAATCGAGTATTTTATCCATCACTTATGTCCATTCACAAACGAATTCAATTGTTAAATGAACTTGGAACTGGTTTATCAATTTGGGAAATCGGCCAAGGATTAAAGTATTTTCAAGATCTTCTTTAAATTGTTAACCTAAACAATCAAAATTCACCGAAAGCACAATCAATTGAATCATAATCATAAAGGATCAATCAACTCACTACACCAGTTTAATTGGTATGAAATTGACCAAACATTAAATTCCAATCCATTTATTTTACTCTCAATTCAATCAACTATAAACAATTCAAATTGTTTCGAAAAGTTTTTACAAACTAATTGTAAATAATTGAAAATCTAGCAAAATTTTATCAATTGATAAACAAGATTGAACAAAGTTAATTGTCCGTTTTATTTGTTGATAACAAGATTCATGAGATGATTCAATGATCGTAATTGTAATTGTTCAATTAAATCCAATAACCATTCTTGATTTTATGTGGAAGATAAGTTCCAATAACATTTTCTATCGATTGTATTTCCGCTTTTCGATTTTTTTTCAACATGAATTCCACTTGCTCCATAATGAGCTTATCACTTGTAATATAAGGACGATGTTTGAACGATTTAATCATTTTCAGGTCATCTTTACTAAGCGGCATCATTTGCTCATCAGGGATGTTAAATTTTTCCAACTCCGTGGGTAAAAGCCCAAACCATTTGGCCTGAGTAACGGTACAATTATGAGCCTCATGAGCCATAGATCGTGACCCAAAGCGATAAGTCAAGAAAATTGCTAATCCATGAGGATTACAATCAACTAATACGAAAACAGGTAATTGTAATTGACAAGAAAGGGATTTAACACAACACCTTGTATCTAAATCAGGATAACCTTTCCCAGTGATTAGAATGATCGGAAATTTATCAATTATTTTCTCGTCAATTAAATATTGAAAAGAAGCGTCTTTTTCAACGACAAGAATAAATTTCGCATCGCTTTTCAAATCCTTCATCTCGTTTGAATCTCCAATCGATACACCCTGAAAATGGAATGGAAAATGATTAGTGAAAGTGATTAAATCGATCATATCAAGTTAATTAACTCACAGATTTAAAGTCCATACATCGGATCCTATTGTTTTCCGAGGTGAATTCAAGTCTCCCATAAATCAGGCCTTTGGCAGAGGACAAGATATGTAATTGTCGCCTTGAGTTGTAGGTGACACAGCACAAGTCTGCAATCAGATCGTCACAAATTGATTGAGTTCCATACATTGACTTGTCACGATAATACAAGTCTCTGAGAAAGAATAGAAAATAGAATTTAGATCAAAATTCGAACAAAAAAAACGAAAAATTCAACTTACTTTTTACTTGCGAATTTGTTTTGGCGTAAAAGTAAATAAACTCTACATAGAAGGACAACCATTCGGGCTCGACGTTCGGTCTCAGGGAAAGTAAAGTCTTCGATTTCATCTTTCAGGACAATTCCAAGTTGAGTGTCAACTGAGAAATTGGTCCATGTTCTCCTATTAACTATAGCAATTGGTTTTCGCTGATCGTTAAATGCGTCGAGTATATTGACAATCCATTGAATCATCTTCGATTTATCAATTTGCTGTTTTCCATTTTTATTATCACAATTTTTGAGAAACAAAATCAATTCACTTTTCAATTGATTCACTTTACTCCAATTTGGATCATCGTCGCTCTTTTCATACCATGATTCAGAGATTACACCTTCATAATCAAGATCTAAATGATCAGAACAAATCATTTTGGTTAATTGTTTAATCAACTCACAAAATAAATAACAATCAAAACTATCAAAACTATCAACTCAAAGTTACGCGCATTTAAATGTACCGGATAATTAAAGTAAGAGAATTACTTATCTCTTAGTTTTACATAGACAGAGGAAAATTCTAAATAGACAGAGACTTTTGTAGTGACATCTGTCGGTTCGATTAACCGGTTTTCCTCTGTTGTTTTTGTTTTCATTTGTTTTCAAGCTTTTCAATTTAAAATTGGATTGATTTGAATCTAGTAAATCTATTAATTAATTAGTAATTTGTTTGTTTTAAATTGTTCATTTTAGAAGAATTGATCTTTCAATTGATTCGTGTTATTTGAATGCTGCTTCTTATTTAATTTGTCCTTGGTTGCTGTTGGAAACTCGGTTAATCAAAACAAAGAGAGTGAGAGACTTGAAAGTGTAAACATTAATCTAATTGATTTGATTGGTTTGTGTTCGAGTTTGTTAATTGTTATATTGTCTCTGTTTCCATATTTGGTGCAATCTAATTGTTAACCTGATCAAAGGATGGAAACATCGTTCAAAGGATTACCAGATGATCTTAACAATATACCTTTAGCTGATGAAGATGCTCCAGATGATGAGGAAAGTGATGATGAAGGCAATTCTGGTCAAATTGATATAAATCATAGTTTCGCCCAGGATCCAGGCTTTGATTCATTAGGCTCATCTAATGATCATCAAACTGATGTTAATTGTAAGTAAAGAGATTAACAATTTCGATCCTCTTGGTTCTTCAAAATCGCCCATCACTTTAGCGTCAAAACTAATGATCAACCTTTTCCTTTATTTGAAGAATAATTTTCCTTTTATAGAAATTTCGAATTGCAAATGATTTAATTTGATTATTTTTCTTCTCTTTAATTGTAGCTTTCGATCAGGAAATGAGTAAAGAGGAAATCGAGGAAAGAGAAAGATTAATCCAACAAGTATTGGAACTTCAAAATACCCTTGATGGTTAGTAAATTGTTCACTAATCGATGTTCAATCTTTACATTTACTCATTCTAATTGGCTTTTTTTGGCGATTTTTTTTTCTATTCTAATTTAGATTTATCTTTACGAGTTGATAGTGTCAAGGAAGAGAATCTTAAATTAAAATCAGAGAATCAAGTTCTCAGTCAATATATTGAGAATCTAATGTCGGCATCGAGCGTTTTCCAATCAACCTCACCAAAAGCTTCCAAGAAAAAGGGTAAAAGATGATCTATTGATTGAGAAAACGAAATCAATACAATCAATCATCTCCCAAGATCGATGACAATTATCTCTTATTGACATAATTACCTGACAATTAACCAACATTAATCTCGCTGTTAAAATCATTAACTTCCTTCTCTCTTTTATTATCAAGTTAATTTGCTCCTTTTACTTTTCATCTTCTTCTTGTTTGTTTTATCTTTTGGATTACAATTTATTTACCTAATTATTGTCATTATCGTCATTAAGAATTAACTTCAATGTCGGTTATGCAATTAAAATGATCTCACAATTAAATGTAAATCTATTTGCAATCTCGTGTCAAATAATAAATTCAATCAGATCAATAAACATCTTTCACCTTTAATAAAACATTGTTTTCTTTTAATTGTGACTTTTAATTGTCATCCAAAGGTTTTGTACACTGGAATTGAATACATAGAGAAATTAACAATTATAATTTTAACTGAAAATTAAGTTGATTGTTAATCAACACTCAACACACAGATTTAACATACGTACTTTTTTAACAAGAAATATTTTTGTTTGTACAACAATTTGATAACTTTCCGTTTAAATTAAACAGATTGAGTGACCTAAAATTTAATATACTCACAACTAATTAGTTGTCTACTTGTTGATTATCACAATTAATTGTTGACAAGAAACTTCTTGGCACAATTTAATAACTCGGTGGGTTGAAAGATGTTCAAAGTGAACATATAACTTTAAGATTAATCAATGATCACAATCAAATCAATTCTTGATTGTTGTTTACACCAAAAACATTCATCAACAACTAGTAGATTTAACAATTTAACCAAAATTGGGAATCTTCATCCAATCAAATGAAAATAGTCATCACCAAATCTTGGTGATAATTAGATTTATAAATCATATTCCAAATCTAAATTTCCCTTTGATTGTAATCTTTTTTCCCGATTTCTTTGATAATAAATCAACTGGTTGTTGTTTTCTTTTTGAACAATTAAAAGTAAATCATTGTGGGCATCATGGATTCCACTTTTTGAATTGGAATACGATGGAAATCAGTTATGTGAAATCGAACATCGGAAAATGATTGATCACATAGACGACACTTTCCTGAGGTCGGTAAAGAAGAAAAATCAATTCGTGAATCTTTCCGCTGATTAACCATCGATTGTCCTTGGTGATTTAGTCCACTGTTACTATTAACACCAGTCCCAGTGGTTGTTACTGAATTAGTTTGATTAAGATTAGTTGATTGGTAAGTGTTGATACCATTGAATATTTCCTGATTGGGCAATGATGGAAGTGGTAAAACTTGAAATTGAATCTCTGGTTGGACAAATTGCTCCAAAGGTGAAAGACTTTGCTATAATTGGGATGCGAGAATAAGAAAATTAGTAAATTATATTTCAATCTTTTCCAGGAATCATCTAAATTGTGACCGATTGTAACTAGTAATTGTGTCTATTAAAGATCAAAGTTATCTTGCTTCTTTCTCTCTCTCAACTAAAGAGTAGTTTTATCAGTTCAATGTAATGATAACAGTAAATACTAAATATTAAGAGAGAGAGAGAGATACATTGAGAGTTATTAACAATTAGTGACTAAATTAACCTGTTAGATATTAATCTGATTCTATCTTGAAAAGAAACTTGAATGGTTTACTGATTAATTCCAAGAATAAAAAGATAAATTAACTCTTTCAATCATCAATCTGAATTCTCACATGATGATTGATTAAAGATCTAAAGTTGAGCATAAATCTAAAAATAGAATCAGCAAAATCGTTACAATTAAATTTACCATATTTTGCTGTTGTTGCTCCATATTAGAATGGACATTAACGGTCACTTCTTTAGAAAATACGAATGATCCGGTGTTTGAATTGTCTTGAGATAACGATGATTGTTATTGGATCGACGAGAAGTTGAATTGGTTATATTGCTTGAAGAAGTAGTTAAGTTATGGTTATTATTATTTGGAATTGAGTTAATTGTCATGGTTGAGGTAACGGTGATTCCTGAAGGGTGAATAGCATGACTACCACTCTCACTTAAACTGGACCCATTGTTAACGGTAGTTTGACCATTGGAAACAGGTAGATTACTTTCAGAGGTGAATACAATATTATCTACATTAGTTTGTATTGATGAATTGTTGATAAGTCCACTTGATCCACTGATTAGTTTGTCACCATTTGGATGTCGTCGTCTAATATGTTTTATCATATTACCTTGGAATAGAAATTTTCTCTCACAATATTTACAGGTATGTCTCATTACTCCTAGATGAGTATCTTTGTGAGCCCTGAAAGCGGAACAACTTTTAAATTGTTTTGAACATTGTTGACATTTATAAAATTTCTCATCTGAATGAACTCTCAGGTGACATTTAAGCCTATTAGACATGGTAAATGCTTTGCCACAGTGTTCACAGACGTAAGGTTTATCTCCGGTGTGCTCTTTCCTCCGGTGACTGACCAACGATGAGATGGACACATATCGTTGACCACAGATATCACATTGAAAAGGTTTCTCATGATCGGTACCATGAAATGAGACAAGATGACGAATTAAACTGTGCTTTGACATTAATATTTTACCACATTGATCACATTGGAAGGTGTGATTATAAATTTTCGGAGGAATATTATTATTACCACCGGTGGAACTTGTTATATTTCCATCTTCACCTCCACCGTCAATCTTTTCATTGTGTTTGACAACTTTATGATGGTTTAAACTGCTCTCATAGAGAAATCGTTTACTACAAATTGAACAACAATAAGGACGCTTTGGATTTAATACTTTCCAATCTTTGCCTCTCACATAATGATAGTCTTTTGGTTTCTTTTTACAATTAGCTTCACCCTGTAGAAGCAAATAAACAGAAATTATAGAGAGAGAGAGAGAAAAATGTAATGAATTTAGGTGGTGATTAGTGAAGATTAGCTAATGGATTAACTGGGATAATCCAAGTGATACTTACATCTTTTTTGTCCTTTTTTCCAACTACGTGAACATCTCGTATGTGATAACCGAGGGCTTTGTCGGAGTTGAATTTTTCTCCGCAAAGTTTACAATCACAGGGTAAGAAATTAACGGAGGTCATTTTACGGCCACGAGTTTCTGAATCATTGACATTAGAAGCTTCCATTGGATTGTCTTTTCCCTCTCCATTGTTGCTTTTACTAAAGGTGACATTGGATTTTGTATTTTCTATTGTATCGATCGTTGATTTTGTAGATGATGATGGTGTTGGTGTTGGTGATATAGTTTTGATCGGATTAACATCAAGAACTGTATTGGAATTATTTGTAGAATTTACCTTCAGGGCAACTTCGTCATTTTCTTTGGTTACTTTAACTCGACTAGAATCAGGTTCAGAGGTCGATATCTTGACATTGTTTTTATCACAATCTTCAAAAGGCTTCATTGTTTCATCAATTTTACAGAGACCAATAAGTGGATTTGAAACAATTATCAATGATTTATCAATCAATTAGTGATCAGCAATGGAGACAATTGACTCGAATTGATAACAAGAAATTATATTCACAGAGAAAGAAAATGATGAAAGTGTGAACTGTTGTTTCCTTCCAGGGTTTGATAGTAACAGGATTAAGGAAATGGATTATGTTACTACAGTCAAAGCAATGAATTGAAATTCTGAATTAGAGAGTAACACAATTAAGATTAACAATTGTTAGTGACCAGATTAACTAACCAACACAATGAGTTAACGATGTTGATAGGCTTTGTTGATACGCCTCCAAATCACTTTGACGGTCGACATCGAGGTGAATCAATAAATGTCTTCCATTAAAGACAAAACAGTCACAATTAACTTTATAACCAATAATACCTCCAAGTGATTAATCAATTATGCCTATGAATTGATGAAAATTTACTCAAGACAAACAACCATAGACAAAATGGTAGAGAAAACCAATGTAACCAATATGAATCACTCGATTCAGGTCACGATTGACTTTAAATTATTAGCAATTGGTTAACTTAAAGCCAACAGAGTAAAGAGACAATTAATCAATTATAATATTGTATCTCTTTAGATTATTATTACAACAGGATTATAGACAAAAAAAGATTATAAAATCACATAGGAAATAACAGTAAACCACATTGAAAGAAATGAAATTAATTGTTGTCTCCAAGGAGAGAAGTTGATTGTTAATGGAATCAGTTACACTTTAGAAATGAGAATTCATCTTACAATTGAGATCAAATGAGATTAGACAATTCAACTAATTACAATTAGAAGAAAAAAATCAATGAAAATTAACGAGAAACAAAACAACAATTAACGTTCACTTTTCTATTTATTTTTCTCTCTCTTTCTCACTTAGAGAAAAAAGAAAAGACTAAAAGTCACACTTTATCCGAATAACTGTTAATTGTTGGAGAAAATTGATCGATAACAATTAATAGAATTGACATTTAAATTGTGTTCATTTCCATTCGAAAATATTTATTTTAATTAAGAATTTAGTGAAAATATAGAAATTTAATTTTGTTCGTTCGTTGATTTAACTTTGGATGGTTGGTTTTTCCTTCTTCACCTACTCTTAATTACTTTGATTTGGAATTGAATTTATTATCATTTTTTATAGTAAAAATTGATATCTGGCACTTTATATTTTCTATTATGTTTATGGATTTAATTGTCTCCATTTCTTATTAGATTTACTGATTATTTTAACTGGAGAGAATCACAATTAGAGATGGAGAAAGATTGGAAAGGTAATGTAATTTTTTTTCCTTTCTTTCATATTGATTCTGATAATCATTTTCTCTTATTGGATGTTTTGACTTTTCGCTGATTAATTTGATGATGAAAGTGAAAAATGAAAAGAATCACATGAAAAACACCAGATAGTAAGTGAGTTCCAAAGATTGAAGATTGAGATTCCAATCAGGACAATTAGTTGAATTGAAAGAAATTACAATCGATGAATTGAGATCAAAAAAGAAGGAAAAAGAGAAAAAGTTTCCTTGTTGATTTTTGTTCTATTCTTCTTGAATGAGATTAATTGTTACGATTCTCTAATTGTCATTCTCCTCTGGTGGATCAAAATCTGATACTTTGACATCTTGTTCCTCGGCCCATTGAAGGACATCATCGACCACAGTTAATACATCGGAAATTAATTCCTCTTCATTTACACTGAAAGGCATGAATTTCACCAAACTGTATTCTTCAAGCTGAAAATAGAAATGGAAAAGAATAAAACTTGATTAGAATTCACCAAATTATACTTCAATTGTTCCTCAGGTTTATCAATTGATTTGGGACCTTTCAAGATTTAGACTCAACTACTCACCACCGAAGCCATTGCCATGGTTAATTGTCGATACTTTTTGGCCCATTCGCTGTTTAAAAAATCGTCTCCCTGTAACAATTCTGGCCCGAGGTCGAAAAAAAATTCAAGTTCATTTCGTTGAGTTTCACTTAGAAGATCAGTCTTGGATAATAGATTAACAAATGAAACCTCGAGATTGATCATCGTTGAAAGAGATGCAAAAGAACCGGAGAAAAATTTAGATAAATCGGTAACAAATTGCGAATCAAGTAAAAAAACACCACACAGTCGAAAGTCAAGATCATCTTTAAGAAATTTAACCAATCGAGCGATCAAATCAAAATGTGTAAACAATTCAATTTGTCCTGGAATATCAAATAAAATGTATTCTTCATCACCTTCTTCCAATCTTTCATGGAGCCAATCTAAATTATCCATTAATTGTTCCATACAATAGATCAATGCTCCATTTGGTCCAAGGTGTAAATCTTCATCTTCCATCGGTTCATTAACTTGAATCACCTCTCGAATATCAATAATCGGCTCATAATCAAATGATTCCGCCGCAGGGTCAAGATTAACCACATGAGCTTTCCGACGATTTGCCTCACAGTGTTTAGCAACCGCCGAACAGTATGTTGATTTACCAGCACCAGCAGGTCCTAAAACCAATTGACCAAATCTCATCTCAACCAAACAAAACAATTAAAACCGAAATACAATCAAATTAAATTAAAGAGAACACGAAAAAAAAAAAACCAACAGAAAAACATGTGATCATTTATTTACTTTTCTTTTCTTTAATTTCCAAACATAGATGGCGACACATGAGAAGAAATAAATTTAATTTTCTAAATTATTAATAATTGAATCTCTTCAAACAATTACAATTAAATTATCTAATTGGAATAATTTCATTCGAAACAAAAGTTTAAAGTTTAATAGTAGTTGAATCAAAGGTCAATTGTGAATCAAATCCAAGTTTCTCTGGAAAAATGAATAAAAAATTTGGTTATAACAAAATCGATCTGTTTGTTAATTGTTTGTAGTTTAGATAAATTTCAATTGTAATTTATTGATTAAATTGATTGATACTTATGAAGTTTTAAAAGTTTAGATCTACAATGACGGTAATAATTTTACTTTTGTTAAAATCAACCTTTTTGTTTTTAAAATTATCGAGATATAAAAAGAGAGAAATTGAGAGAGAACAATTAAAATAGATTGTTATAATTAGATAATAGTAGTAATTGTATCACAATTAAATGTTTTTCTTGCTTCTTTGCTGTTGATGATTGGATGGAATGAGAGATTTTTTTTCTTAAAAACGAAACACTGAAGAGATTAATTGAATTATTTCCAAATAAATTTGAATAAATTGAAAAAGAAGAAAAAATCGAACAACAAATTAAAGGATAAAACTGATGACTGAGCATTTTGTGTATATAATTGTTGATTAATGGTGATGATTTCAATTGATTAAAAATAATTTGCAGGCTTTGGTTGAGAAGGCACCAGTGCGATTAGTATCCACATCGAGATGGCTGAGAAAAGCGCAGTCAATGGGACCGTTAGAATCCAAGCCATGGCAATGTTACCAAATAGTTTCAATCAACTGATTGTTTGGGTTGATCATTGTAGCCCATTAAACGGGCTTTAAAGGCACCAACACAGACCACTGATCCTACTTTACAATGGGTCGTACTGATCGGTATTCCCGCTTTAGACGCTAAAAGTACCGTTGCTGCGGAACCAATTTCAATGGTAAATCCGGTTGATGGTGTAATTGTGGTTAAATCAGAGCCCAAAGTTTTAATTACTTTACTACCCCAGACAATAAGGCCAACGGAAATACCGATTCCACCATAGATCATTAAATAGTACGGTGATTGACCTCGTTGGAAGACATTCCCTTCATTTTGAATTAAAACAACAGCAATTAACGGACCAATCGCATTACTATCAATTATTAGTAGAAAAGAAAAAATAGAAATTAAATTAATTGTTACAGAGAAAATCGATAAATTGTTATAACCATTAAACAAATAACAATCTCTCCTAATGGTTATTTATTTAATTACTTTCATAAACAAAGGTTATGATTAGTTGATGATCGTTTCAAAGTTTTCACAATTTTGTTTTCGCCAATTATAAGTTGATTAACTAATATCATTTCTAATCATGTAACTCATAAATCATAAATGATAATCTTTATAATTGTCTGATGCTTTTAAAAGCACATATTTAGCTAATTGATTATAACCGTTGAAAGTTAATTTCTTTCATCAGAAATACAATTAAGCTGATTGTTACCTAACATCATTGGCTCCATGGGCAAAGGATCCAAAACATGCTGTTAATATTTGAAGATATTTAAATAAAGCTGCAACCTCTGGTTTCTCGCAATTGTAACAATCAGTCTTAATTGTCGAAGATAAAATTTCACCATTAGAATTCATCTTCTCATTAACTGGACAATTGTCATCCTAAGAGATGTGGAGATGTGAGGGAAACAAACGTGATCGAAAATTAGATTATCATTTAAAGAAAATTTTCAGATGAGAATAGATTAACGTTAATTGTTGAGAATTAATTTTTACCTCCAATTTACCCAATTCCACATCATTGGAGGATTTAAGTGTCATTGATTCCATTGCTATAACAGTTCCATTAGTTTTCTCGGTACTAATTGTATCATCGATTGGCTGTTTTTCCTTGCAAATTGAATCTGTGGTAAGATAATTAACCAGAAAGAAATTAGTCAATTTAGATAATAAAAGATGATTAGCATGTTAATTGGAAATTGATTGCATTTAACTTGTCAGGTTAATCTAAGATGATGCACTTTCATCATCGTAAACAAAGTTTATCCCCTGAGGCAACGAAAACAACAACTTAGAGGTAAATAAATTTCTCTTTCTATTTTTCTTTCTTTTCCTTTTTCATTTGTGATTGATTTCTCATAATCAATGATTCAATTTCTGTCAAGTTTCAGTAAACAAAGTGAAAATGTAACTGCAACTCTTACGACGCACCCTTTACCTTTCCAAAGGGTTTCTAACAACTGAAAACCCCTCAAGGAGTAAAATGTTATTCTTATGATGATAGTTGATGATATTTGGTGATAGTGAAAGAGATAAAGTCACCAAGAAACGAGAATTGGGAATAAAAGTTACAGGGTAATAACCTTTTTTCACCAAATTAGCAGCGTCTTGAATTGTTTTTCTTTGAGTTGGAACCACGAAAAACCAAACAACAAGAGCCACCGAAATGGAAAAGAAAGAAGCAATCAAAAGAGCAGCCCACCAGGTAAGTTGGTCCAGGTAGAGGAAGGATGGACCATCATGTAGAATAGTAAACAAATTGACCAAAATTGTTGCTCCATAGAAAAAGGGTAAAGACATGAGACCAGGTTCCAATGGTTCAGGCTAATTAGAAGAAGAAGAAAAAAGTAAATTCAAAACTCTATCAACAGATTATATATAAGATAAACACGAATTAACTAAGAGATTATATCATTAGAGAGAAACCTCAACCTCGAAAGGAGGGAAAACATTGAGACATTTGTTTGATTGTTGGATAAACAATCAATCATCTCACTGGAGAGAATGACAATTAGAGATGGGAAAAGATAAATTGTGGAGATTGGATCAGGTTTTAATCTTTTTTCTCGTTGATTGGATGTTTACCTTTTCGGTGATTAATTTGATGATGAAAAATGAAAGAATCACTGAAATGACACCAGATAGTAAAGGTGAGATAATCCAAGATGAGGTGACCCAGAGAAGATTATCCCATCTCATCCCGTCGAAACCTTTGGGAACGATTGTGAAACCAAGAACAGCACCGATAATACTGTGAGTTCCAGAGATTGGAAGACCTAAAAATGTAGCAGCCAAATTCCAAATTGCACCTCCTAAATAATTGACAAATCGAAACAATTAGTAAATTGAAAGCAAAACACAATCGACGAAACGAGAAGGAACAAAACAAAACAAAAGAGAAAAAATTTCCTTCTCGATTCTTATTATTCAACTTTTTCTTTTCTTTTCTTACAAATACAAAATAATAACAACGATCATGAAAATGACACTTAATTGTAAACAATTTACTCACCAATTAATGCTGAAAGATAACCTAACATTAGAGTTATCTCTTCATCCTTGTAAATCTCAATATTGAAAACACCAAGTCTCACAGTTTCGGACACTTTGTAACCTAAAAACAGCGAAATTTGGATTAACCAGAAAGATCAACACCAGAAGAGGATAAAGGGTGAAAAGATTTACTCATGTTCGGGATTAATTGTGAACAGGAAATGAGATTATTACCTAAAAGCGCAGCTCCTGATATCTCAAAGATTGTCGCCAAAAAACACGCTTGTCGTATGGTCAAAACACCCGAACCCACGGAGGTACCAAAAGAATTGGCCACATCGTTAGCACCAACACCGAAGGCCAAAAAAGGCAATTATATAGGAAAAAACAACGATGGCGATAACAGTTGAATCAATTTCAAGCATGATGATTACAATGAATTTCGTAAATATAAACAAATGACAAACAAAAAAAAGAGTCACAGAGAAAAGATGATTTTTTGATTGTTCCAAATGGCGAATTAAAAAAATCAAATTAAAACCAAATTAAAATGGAGACAAATTTACAACGTCTATGTATCCAAATGAGAAGAGAAAATTCTGTAATTTAAAAGACAAAACGTGATAACAATTAATAGAATACAAAACAATCAACTAAACAGAAAATTGATTGAAAATTTTCAATAGAAAATGAGTTAACATAATCAATAACATTCACTATTCACAATTGATTAACATGTTTGGTGATTCAGTTGAAGATGTTGTTTAAAAACCGTTAACCAATAAATGGAATTAATCAACAAGGTAGATTGACGATAATATCATGAAGATAAAGATGAAGATAAATTGTAGAAAGATAATCAACCTAATGTTGATTAAAAGACTCTCTCAGTGAAAGAAACATATGATTACCGTTTGGACGGAAATGTTTACATTTTCATTTTCATTTTCATTTTCATTTTCGTTTGTGTTTGTTTTTCTCTCTCTTGACAATTAATCATTTTAAGTGATTAACGATCAACAATTATGGATAAATTGTCGTGATTTAATTGAAAGAAACTGATTAGACCAAGACAAAGAAGGAAAATCACCAAAAAATAGAAAACCTAATTGAGTAAAAAAGGTGAGTAGAAACCATTTTGTTTTCCTCTATAATTTTGTTATCATATAAACTCAATTATCTAATTGTTTTCTTTTCTCTCTTTCACATTAATTAGATTTCTTTTTCCATTTAAATTAATCTCTAATCAACACTTTTACCAATTACCAATTAATCAACACCAATTCCACTTTAAATGGATCTCTATGTTTTCCTGATTGTTGATCAATAACAATTTCACTTTCTTTTTACAATGTAAACATTTCCAATGTTTGTGTCTTCCTATTTGATTGTTTCCAATCAAATTTAAACCATTTACCTGTTGAATAATTGGTGTGATATTACCTGTTAATCAACTGGAAGGTGTTAATTTAATACAATTTAAAAGTGTAAAGGAATAAAAGTTCACCTTGATATCGTTCTGTTCATCTTAATGTTCATTTCTCTTGGTGGTAAGTGATTAATTCTTGTTTCTATTACCTCATCCTCTTAATTTTTTTTTCTTCTTTCTATTAATATGATTTCTGATTAATTTACTTCTTCTTTCCAATTTCCCCTGTTATCTCTGATTAACTCACATGTTTCTCTTGATTATCTAGTTGAGAGTAGAAAATGACTCATAATTTCCTTGTGTCATATCACCAGATAAGAGAGAAATGAGTAAACATTATCATTAAGGATTCTCTCAGAATTAATTCCAGTTCAATTTTCCCTCTTTCTTTTTCCTTTCTTTTTCAATGAAATGAGAATTTCCCGCTTTTTTCTCCTCTTCTTCTTCTTCTTCTCTAATCTACTAATCTAATCGATTAAAATTCTAATTTGCTCATTTGATTCTTTTCTTTCTATCAGTAGGTTCACAGAATTACTATCACCATGGTACCAAAGACCTGTTTCTATCCATAGACGATTCTCTCTCTCTCTCTCTCTCTCTCTCTCTCTCGGTGGGTTTTGTTGGTTAATCGAATGGAGGAAAAAAACTTAACCCTCTTGGCGTTTAAATTAATGGATAGAAACACTCATAGAGAAAGAGATAAATTAAATACTTGTTGGTGTTTTGTTCTGACAAGGAAATTACATCGATTCTGAGGAAAGGATTCCAAGGATTTCATTTAGATGGTAAAAAATGATACACTTTATATCATTATAACGATCATTTGAATCGTCATCATGACGATCAACCTGACAACTTGTTTCCTTATCATCATCATCATCCTCATATTACCTGGAAAAAAAATTATCTCACTAATTTATCTGTTTACATGGTGGCGGTTTCACTTGGATTCAGTGACTATTTTTATCAGAAACCAATATGATATTAATATCCAGGGATCGATATTAAAACTTTTATCACAATTAAAATCTACCTGATGAGGGTCTCGTTTTATTATTGAAATTACCTGAGAAAAGGTGAAAAATAATCTACTCTAAGATTCCCATCATCGCAATTAATTATTACACCAATCTTAATCACACCAGTAAGTGATAAATACTAATCACACAATTATATCAAATATTGACAATAATTGTTAACAACTTTAATAGCAATACTATTAATGGTATTAGAGTCTAGTCAATATTAGATAATTATTACAATTGAAATTCAATTGAGATCAATATTATTATATTTATATGGAAACTTTGGTTGTAACATTTATTATCCTTATAACAATTAATGTGATTAGTTGATTGTGATAATATCAATTAGAACCTTTAATTACATGTATACATATAATGTACTTTGATTGATCAATGGTTAATTATTGTATTCATATTATCATTAAGATTAAATTTCTTATTATTATAAATGAAAATGAATATCGAAAGTTGATAAAAAATAATCTCTGTCAATATAATCACAATGATGGAAATTTGATAATAAATTGTCAGGTGAATTTACAGTTAACTTGACACAATTAGAGAAGAAGTTTTTTCTTCGAATTGAATTTCGAAACTTTTTTTCCATTTCTTTCTCCATCCTCATCATCATTATAGTTTCTCTCTCATACGCTCACTTAGTATGTTCATTATCATGTTAAATTGTTTGCCAAGTGTTCCAATTACAAGAAGAACTGAATTAACTGAAGAAAAGAAATCTCTATGTTAACCCAATAATCAGTTAATTGTTACACTAAAAGATTAACATCATGTCAAGAACAACGAGAAAAACAAAGCAAAACAAAAGTAAAACTCAGAGAAACTTAATCACAATTTAATTTATTCTCCTGGCAATTAACAAATAACATAATTTGTATCAAATGATCAACTAAAAGTTAATTTAAATATTTAATCTCTGACAAGGTAAATTAGTAGTTACCAATAATCATAATACTTTTAATTGTTGATTAGTTTTCAAATCAAGGTCTTGAAAATGATCAACATACAATTAATATTCATGTTAATCATGAATCAAAAAAACAAATAACAACAATACAATCAAAATATAATGTTTACTTCAAGTTAAAAGCCCTGAGGGGTTAATACATGTGAATATTTGATTATTATTATTTAATCAGATAACTGAATTTACCTCCCAAATAATGAAATCAATTGAATCTCATGTTTTGCTTTAATTACATGTCAATAAACAATCAATTTGCTCACTAATACAATTAGAATGAAATTAAATCAATAATTTCCCATGAATTAATTTTCAATCGGGTAAACTTAATTATCGTAATATTTTTCTCTCTCTCTCTCAAAATCATTAGAATGATAATTTTATCCAAGTCGATATGTTATTGATTTTCTTTGATTGTTTATTGATAAGAATCAGAATTGATGATTAGACAGAAATGACGCAAGACTGTTGCAAATCTATGGAGAAACAGTTCGAGGCTCGAGAGAGAGAGAGAGATGATGGAAGATGATGAAGAATAAAAATAAAAGAAGACAGAGAAAAAGAAAGAGATTCAAGAAGATAATCTCATCATCATCATCTTCTTTTTTTGGGTCACCTTGACTCTAAAGATCATGACTTGATTCCGATGGAAATATTTTCGTTAACTACTGTAACTAAAATGTTATTTTTTTCTCTGTCTATTATTATCATTTACAGTCTCCAATTGGAATCTCAATTGAACCAGAATAGAGATGAGGATTCAGGGAACACCCTGAATTTAAATTTCCATTCATCATGTTAATCAACATTTTCTATTGCCGGTTATCCTAATCATCGTCATAATTATCGTTAATCTTTCCATGTATACATATAATTAGACTGATGAAACGGTCAATGGACTTGTCAGTGGACTCAACTAATTAACTCTCTAACGATTCTATCATGAGGTTTACCATGAAAATGAATCAACATTCAGGAGAAACTGAGTGATCAATTTACTCAACCATGAGGATCTCATACTGAGCCAGACTGCGACTGCCAATTGAAATCCTCCTCATGGATGTACAACAATTAATTATATTCAATTATATTGTTTCATTAGTACATTTAAATTAACCATAATTCTGATTACTGAACTAATTTAACTATCATTATTATTGAGAGTAATTGTTCAATTCTGGTTAAATATTGTCATTGATTATATTGGGTTAAAGTAAATTGGGTTGGCGGTTTAATTGTAGCCATGTGATTCATTTAAATTGACGACAATTTATTTATGACAATTGATGTTAATTAAATTTCATCTTCATCATTTTATGTATTCAATTGTGAATAGGGAATTGAATTGATTAACCTTTAAAAGGTTACAAGTTGAATTTAGATTTGAATAATAATTCAACTCTAACCTTTGTACTATGTGTTTGAAAGGTTAAATGTAATCAGATTTAATTGTTGAAGTAAAATTTTAAATTGCTTACCTTTGATTGTTACGATTCAAGTGAAGTGAATTGTTGTTGGTGAGATAACGGTAATTGATGTAATGGTTAATTGTGATGTTCATTTTGTGACTGAATTGTAAACCACGAGGTACATTGAACACATAGTAGATTGGGAGATGAGTACTCGAAGGTAATTCAGTTTGATGAATGAAAATTTGGTGAACAATTAATGAAAACTGTCAATGAAAATGAGAGAAAATAAAAATAAAATTAACGATTAAAATTAAAATTATTAAGAGAAAATTAACTAAACTGAAACATTGAGTGATTGAAACACCATTGAATAATGTTCTCGGATCAAGCTCTCTCTCTCTCTCTCTCTCTCTCTAACATTATTTCTCCATCTTTTCTCACTTACTCACTCACTTATCTTCCTCCGCATCATCATCCTTTTAGCTGTTTCTCACTTTTTCTTTCCAGTGAACCCAAAAAATATATAAGATTCATGAGTCTGAGCAGAAATGAATGAAAATTGTGATGAAACTCAAGGTTTCGCCGGTTCAGACCGGTCATTAAGATAATGATGATCATCCAGCGGATCAATTAATTGCAAAACTATCGAGAAGGGAAGTTTAATTAAATATTTGTTTCCATGATCATATTTAGTTAATTATCATCACTTTCTCATTTTCTTTTCAACTCCTAATATCATCAAAGAGTCTTTATGGTTATCACAATTGAGATCCTTTCGAATGCTTGAAAAATTCCTTCATTTCTGAACTTTTTCCGCTCTCGAATTTTTCACCAAATCATCAACAAGGTGAGAGAGAGAGAGAGAGAGAGAGAGAGAGAGAGAGAGAGAAAATCTGACCAAAGCGATTTCTTTTCCAATGGAATCACTTGAACTTGTCAACTCGATTTTTTTTCTTATCGACTAATAATTCGTATCATGTAACTGACATTATTTGATTACTCAGTTTCTTGATTAGCACAATAATTTGATCATTAGATAACAACAGGTAATTAACAACAATACTTGAATTTCATTGTTTCCATGAATAAAAAAACAGAGAACCAATCAAATGAAACGAAACAATTATCTAAATATAATTAACATTTATCACCCAAGGTAAATCTTAGTTGATTGTCATCAATTTATCAACTTATTTTGCTCCTTAATTGCTTTAATTTTGGTATCTTTTTCCTATTGATTGCTTTTTCGTTCCGATTAGTTTTCTTTTTTTACAATTAACTGCAGAGATGATGAAATGTTATAAAATTTAAGGTCTTCCGGTTTTTAGTATCTTTGTAATGATGAATAAAAAAAATCCAAGGATATCCTCAATGAAGATAAATCATCAATGGTAAAATTAATGATCAAGAGTTGTAACAATAATAACATTAGTGTAAAGATGATGTAAACACTTGAAGAGGTGATTGTTGATGATTTGGTTGATTACTGTTGGTAATTTGATGAGATGATTATCACTTTTGGCAAGTATTTAATTAATTTGATTCCCTAATCACCATCATCACCAATATCCTGTGGTAATATAAACATATGATAATTGATATTATTCAAGTTGATATTTGAACAATTTTGCTGGTTACATCAGCGTCGAGATAAATAATTATAATTAATAATATATGTTAACAATCAAAGTGAAAACAATATCATAAGAAATTGAAAGAAAACAGAATCACAATTGTTTACCTTGATCAAATTGCTAATTGTAAGGTAAATTGTGATAGTAAATATAATGATTAAACATTGCATCAACAGTTTGTTTCGTAATAATCAATCATAAGAAGAGCTAAATTTACAGTTTGAATGAAACTCTGTGAATATTAATTGTTGGATTTAGGAAGTTGGAAAAATTTGTGATACACTTTTGGTTAAATTTTCTGGTTTTCCTTGTGAATTGATAATAAAATTATCTTCAACTCGTAGACCGATTCCTGAAAATTCTGGTTTAATTTTGGGATCATCATGGCGGAAATAAAGACCTGGTTCAATTGTGAAACACATTCCTGGTTCTAGGTTAATATCTCGGTTAATTGTTGGCGTATCGTGGACATCAAGGCCAAGATAATGAGATACATGGTGGGGACAAAAGTGATCAGCTAATAGAGCTGCTTGATCACCACTTTTACATAGATTAAATTCAGCAAGAACTGAACCCAATAAGTGACACATTAAATGATAGAGATCATTCAATGAAGTTTCCAAGGCTCGATTTTCAAGATATTTAACAATCTGTTGATGTACTTCCGTAAGGGCTTCGTAAAGTGCTTGGGTTAAACGGCATTTTGAACTAGAATCAGCACCAATAATCGGCCAACATCTTGTTATATCACTTATATAGCCTTCGATATCTTCACAACCAGCATCCATTAAGATCCATTCGTTTGATTGTACAAACTTATCATTGGCTCCATAGTGAATGATTGTCGTTCTGTCGGCACCGGCGACAACGGGAGGATAAGAAGGTTTAACTGCTCCGGCAGAACGAGCTTCAAATTCAAATTTGGCAGCGATTTGATTCTCATTAACTCCATCTATTCCGTAGACATTTTGATTGTATTTTAATTGTTCTTGTGTCCATAATCGAGTTGAATCAACTGCCTTAGCTCCTATGGCACAGGTTCGCCTCATGGCATTTATTTCATTTGGTGATTTGATTAAACGAAGTCGATCAATGAAAGGTGATAAAGGATGAGTTTTATGACCAGAAAGAGGATTAGAAGGTTTATCTGAGATTAGATTGTCTCTGTGTCCACTAATTGTTGGAGGAATTAATTCAAGACCAGCTCGACAGAGGAAAATATTTTTATCCAAATGAGATGATAAAAATTTTGGTAACTTGTTAATATCTTCAATGAAATGAGTAACCTCGGTTAGATAAGGTTTATAATAACTTCCTATTAAACCTTCACCTTCCCAGATTAAGGCTAATTGATTAGAGAAGGGGACAAATAGGTAAGATTGATAAGATGATGACGATTGATCAGGACCAAGAATAATTAAAACCGTGTGAGCAGCTTCTTTGGTATTTAATCCAGTAAGGTAAAGAAAATCAGAGTTTTGCTTAAAATGAATCGATGGAATTCTAGTATCAGCTGTATACTGTCTCATTGCTCCACTAACCACAATTAACGATTGTTTAGTTGGAAACAATTCACTTCTAGAAACATAATCACCAATCAAGTTAACAAGTTTTCCTTGGCGAGAACAGTATTCACTAGTAGGGATACATCTAGAAAAGAAACCATTTCCAGTCCAAGATGAACTGGAAAATCGGCGAAGGAACAACCTCGAAATCAGCATAATATAAATAAAGCCAAAAATTCTAATTATAAACACAAATTAACAACAATTAATCAAGAAAAACAATTAAACCAAATTCATTAAATTTAATTCCTCAATCATATGTGACCGGATTTTTATTTAAGCTTTAACAGCGACCTCAGGGGAGGTTCCGATGAATTATGATTCATCGTTTCCGGCATTTACGGCCGTACAAAGGGAGTGGGGTGGGGTGAGATGGGGTGGGGTGGGATTGGTAATGATTACAGAAAAAGAAGACATGATTCTTTTAACTCCCCTGAGGTTTCTATTACATATTCAATGATTTTCGTGTAGTGATCAATATTTTCATTATTCAGCTTGAAGTTGATATTAAATTTATAGATGATGTTTAAATCGAGAGCTGCTGTGTTCAGAATCTCGTTGCAGGTGAATGGATGATGTTCATTTTCGCAGCATTTAAATTTGTTTCTTCTTAATACATTTTTTGTTAACACTTTCGTCAATTTTCGATATGATACTTTTCCTATGAATCCATATTCATTCACTATGCAATCATGATTTGGAAAGATCTTAGCAATTACATCACCTCTTTCTATCAACCATTTCGAAATCGTTGATCTAATATTTATCTTGTTTTCCTGTATCCAATTGTTAGTCGAGATCCATTCGATGTTGATGTCGGTTATCCTTTTTGGTGTGAATACATACCTAATGTATTCACCATATTTTAGTTTCCAATTTAAGTTCATGTACTTGGATAATATGTCAAATGTATCGTTTTATAGTTGGATTGAGATTCTAACGTTAGTTTCATTGCTTTCGGAAGAATGATTATATTCGTTAGTCCTTCTCTTTTTTGAAATTCGAGCTGAGCGTGAATAATACTCAGATAGTTTTCCCATTGAGATCCCTTCTTATATCTGAAAGCATTCATATTAAATGGACCAACACCAATCAGTAACTCGTCTTCTCCATGATAATAATATTCAACCGAATGTGGATAGTCATCGTCCTCTAGTCTTTCCATTATTCGTTTTTTCATTTTAATGGTTATTACTTGAAGTGGTTTTTCTGAATTCAGAATATAATCTTGATGAATGTTGCTCTCATGGTAACATGAGTATATCCATGCCTCCAGCCAGAGTGTTTCCAATATGTGAGGTATGTTGTAAAAACACCATATTGATGATCCAGATAATGAGTCGAATTCAGTCATTGACAAAGTGGAATCAAGTAGATCAAAAATTTTCATTAGTTTCTCTTTCGGTTCCAGAAAGAGGGTGAATCCTATTGATCTGATTTGAGGATAAATAATATTACATATTATCAGCTTTTTAATTTTAACTGGAAGAAGAGCCAATGTTATCTGCGGGCATCGAAAGTCCGCTGAAATTTTAGCTTTAACATCTTGTATATGTTTCTTCAAGTTATTTAGATTGAGTGGGACCATGAATTGATAACCAAGAAAGTTGAAAATTTTGTTTTTCGTCATGATGTTCTTTGTCTTTTGAAGATTCAACTCAAGATTAATTTCTTTGAGATGTTCTGAAATGTCTTCAATTATCGGCTCTGGATCTTCGCTTTTTGATAGAATCACCAAAAGGTCATCTGCGTAAGCCATTATGTTGATTTTTCGTTTTCTTAGCTTTCTTATCACTGAGTCTAAAGCCAGAATATATAATATTGGCCCTGAAGATGTTCCCTGAGGTGTTCCAATGAATTCTTGATTATAAAGTCGGCATTTATTGATGTTTATTGTGTTCCATCGTCTTCCACAAAATGACGCCACCAATTTGCTCAAACTCTCATCGTTGTCCATTAGATCATCGATCAGCTTTTCTGTAGACACTTTATCGAAAGCCGCTGATACATCGAGTATTAATATTTTAACTTCTGACCAATTTAACGTAAATGTAATGTATTTCACCAGGTCTTCTCTATTTGATCCTTTGATAAAGGCGAATTGTGAGTTTGGTAAAATTAGATCATCACATTTGTCCATTAATCTGTTACTGATTATTTTGTCTAATGTCTTAAACAGATAATTTGGTGATTTTACCATTCGAACTTTATCCGTGTTCTGTTTTGGAACAAATCCACTACCTAAGATCCTCATCGATTCAGGAATATAAGAGATTTCGATTATTGTGGTCGTGATCTCTCTTATTAATTTTTCATTTTTTAAGAGAAATTTTTGCCATTTCTTTTTCTCGAAACCATCCGAGCCCAGTGATGATTTAAATTTCTTCGAATCAGTCAAAATTTGTTCCCATTCTTTATCTTCGAGTTTTCCAGGTGAGAACGTGGCCTGTGAGTCGTCGAAAATTGGTTTTTCTCTCTTGAAATTTGTTAAATGATCTTGAATAGATTTCTGATATTTTCCATGTTGATCTTGTATAACATATGGTTTATCAGTTTGTCTGATGCTTGATATTAATTTCCAGAAACTCTTTTGTTTGATTCCTTGAATGTTTACTTTGTTGAACTTCGATCTAATTTCTACTCTTTTCGTCATCCGCTATTTTTATTCTTCTTTGGTAACCTTTTGAAGTGAATGATTCAGTCGTGTTGATCCAAGTTCCATTTCTCCTTGGAAAATTTATTACTTCATCTATGGCTTTGATTAATGGCGACTCTCTTTCTAAAGTGTTGTGAAATTCTAGTGGAAGTTGAGTTTTAATTTTCATTTTCTTCAGCTTCAATTTCCACGAGCTGATTGGTGGTGTTCCTTTGGTTGGAATGATCAATAATTCCAAAATATTGTGATCACTTTTCGTGTCTATTATTTTTGTTGATACTATTATCCATTCATTGGTTAGGATTTGGCAGTCGATGAATGATTTACAGTTACCTTGTTGAAATGTAAAATTTTCTGGAATTGGATGATGAGCTGATTTGAATTTTCCTTTGAAGATATTTTCACACAGTTTATTATTCTTTTCAATTCTTGGCGACCAAAGTTTACATTCAATGTTTAGATCTCCACACAATAATATTGGTCCATTGAGTGATTTGATGATTTCGTCGAGTTCAATGAAAAATGATCTATTTACACTTGAATGGCGATATGCTGATATTATGAAATAATGATGTTGATTAATAATCAGTTTTACACCCACGACATTTTTCATTTTGATGTTTAAATTGGTCCAGATCAATTTATTTGGTAACACTAAGCACGTATGATTATTAATAATAATCTTTTTCCCGTTGACTTCGATTGCTTTTTTCGTAATTGGTTTTCCACCTTCCAACTTGTCGGTGATTATTGCTATTTGATTAGCTATCCAAGATGGCGACACTTCATTAATGGAGATTATTGAATTGTTCAACTTGGCGTCATTAACAATATTATCCATTTTGGTGAAAGATTTACACAAGTTCCAATGAGTTACATGTAACATGATTTTTAACGCTAAAATGTTCTTTCCTTCCCGCTCAAGCTTGAAACCGGAAGAGGAGGAGTTATCGTAAAAAAAGCACGCGAAATATGAAAAGGTATAAAAGTCTGAAATTTTTTCGATGATTGTTAGTTATTGTTATTTATTTGATGTTTATATTTGTTCACTGAAAGAAAGAGTTTTTTTTTTTTTTGAATTAATAGTAATAATAATTGGAATTTTGAATTAATAATTAGTGTTAAAAGTTTTGAATAAAGGAAATTTTGTTAGTGAAAAACAATAATCGAAAAATTTTAACAAGAGAATAAGAAAAATGGTTGTTCTCTCTAAAGATATTAGAGGACCAGATTATTCTTCATTTTTCGTTTGTTTTATTTGTAAGAATTTGGCTTTGGATCCTCGTGTTCACGATGGAGGTAATCGACGAGTTTTTTGCACCAAGGTCTATTGTAGTACTTGCTGTTATCCAAGATCGGCCAATAATAATTTTTTCCGTTTTAATGAGCGTTATCGGAAAATGGAAACCAAATGTCCTTCTCCTGATTGCATTCATGATTTTCGGGATCCTTATTTCCGTTATCTTGGTGTTTTTGAGCAGAAAATGTACAACAATATTATTGTTAATTGTAACCTTTGTGAAAAAGATTTAAAAATACAAAATTATATTTCTCATTATGACAATTGTAAGAAATCAAAGGGACGAGGAATCAGCTATTATGTAAATAATATTAATATCCAGATAAGACCAAGAGAATTTGTTGAATTGTTCTTGAATCAAAAGCAGGAAGCTTTGGCGAGTTTCAATTTTCATGATTCTTTCCGAGAGAAAGCAACTTTGTATGGCGATTTACCTGCGGACTCACCTATTGTTCTTAATATTAGATCCATAAAGGATGTTCCAAAAATAATAACAACTCGAGATCAAACTGCCTCTTCATTGATTCAACAGATTCAGTCAACCATGAAAATCAAGGAGGAGATCGAGATTGACCTGGTGTGTGTACAACATTGTTCATTGAAACAATTTGAAACTGTAGGCGATTTTATCGATCAGCTTCCTGTCAATTCACCAATCAATCTTATTCGTGGTAATCCTGCTAATTGTAATGTTGATTATCAGTTGAAGTTGCGATATTTGGGTGGTTATCGTTGTATTGAGGAAAAATCTCCAGGCGAAGCAGTTGGACCAGTTGAAGTGGACGCTACTGTTGTTAATACTGATAACCAGTGAAAATTGTCTCTTGTTGTTTTCCATCAAATATTAATATTGATCTTGAATGAGAAATTTTAAAAAAATTGAATTTTTGAAAAGTGGTGAAGAAAAAGAAAAGGAAATATTATAGAAAAATGAGAAATTGTAATCAAAGAAGATGGAAAATTAAATCATTAAAATTTAGATGATCGTAAAAATCGAGTGAATCTTATTCTTTCATGATCCATTGGTATTCATAGTTTACCAGTTGGATCGCTTGTCTTAACCTTCTTTGGTATTCGGTTTATTCCCAGTCAAATGGTGTGTGGTTGATTTCTTTGTGTTTTTTGATGCACACATCGCATTGATATGATTGGGGATTATTTCGAATGCCACAGGTTTTTGAATCATGTGTTCCAGCGCAATATCGACATCTTAGTTGATTTTTACATAGTTTCGCTGAATGTTCATAGGAGAAGCACCTGTAACACATTCTTACGTGAAAGAAATCAGTTATTATAATTTCTTTAAAATCATAGAAAAATTTTCCTCTTCGGTCCTGAATAAAATCTCGAATTCTTGGTGTGACATTAATAATAATATCTGTTTTTCGAGTTGCTAGGTTGTTGAAACGATGAACAAAGGACCAGCTTCCTTTACCTCCTGCGCCATTTTGTATCATGATTTCGTCCATTATTTTAGTTGCTTGTTCGTCATTTTCAATGATTTTTGGTATTTTTGAAAGTTTCACTTTCGGGTCGAAACTGTTAGGGTTTTTTATTACGAGATCTGCATTCCATCTTAATAGCGACTCTCGAGCTAACTTGATGTCTTGAAGATCTGCACATATTACTCTTATTGCTTCTCTTCCTTTGATGATTCTAGCCGGAAACGCTTCCAGTGCTTTTGATTTTAGGGCTGATGATATTTCTTGTAAAAGTTTAAGTGGTGGAGTAGAAGGATGTGTCACCAGAATCAGCGGATCCATTAATGATGATGACCATGCTTTCCATGAGTCTGGAATCGGCTTGTCTTCTATTTTGTGAAAAACTTTTTTCACTTTTCTCACATTATCAATTCTCACTTTAACACTTTCTTTGTGTAGATCGACAGATCCAAATTTTCTCTTGATTTGTTTAATCGGGGGGCTCAAATCTAATTCGATGTCCGGTTCATCAAAATCATTAATATTTTCATGAATATGAGAATCAATTGGTCCCATGACATTCTCAATTAGAGTTGTTCGTGGTTCAATACCAGAGATTGATGGTATTGGAGGTGTAACTATTTCTTCCTGTTGTTCATCTTGTATTTGCGGTTCTTTATCAGCTTTTCCCAACGACGTTATTTCATCAGTTTCTGATATATCATTCGATACCTTTGATGAAGTTTCACTTCTCGCATATGATTTATCTGATTTATCATCACGAAGGGACATCGGTGGAATTATTTTCAGTCTATCATCCGGTATGTTCTTAATAATATTAAGTTCAGTCTCATTTAGACTCATCATGTCGCAGTGTTCTTTCGCATACGATAGTATATGAGTCATCTTTTCCCTTAGAATTGGTCGGATGGTAATTGAACCTTTTTCTATCTCTTCATATACCACATTTATTTCGTTAATAATCACCATCATTTCCTTAGTGTTGATTTTTGCAATCTCTTGATTCCAGTCCTTTTTTGTTGGGACTCGGTTACCAATTTTTCGAGCAAATTTGGTTATATCAAATGTTGACATGCTATTTATATGGATTAGAGTAAAATGTATATTAATAATAATCACAAAAATGTGTTGTCAATGTTTGGATGAAGCTTAAGCTTCTGTTTAAAATTATGAACAATAGTTCTGTTTAAATGAAAAACGTGGTTTCAGCCACCGCCCAATATATGTATTTTTATTTTGTTAGTTTCTTGATTTATTTTTGTCGGAAAATTACTTACTTTATATCAAAATGGTCACCACTGTTAGCTTTAACTAATTGTTGTAGTTTGGAATGAAAAACTTTATTATATTTCACGTATTAATTAAATTTAATTGTTCACTAAAAATTAATAACCGGGTAAAAGTAAATACGAAGAGTAAGTATCCGCCATCTATTGAGCGAAATTACAAACATTCTAAATTCTTTGTTCGGATTACATGTGGCGCCATCGAAAACTGTGGTCAATGTTTGAAGTAGTTTCGTTTTCTTGTTTATTTTTTTGTCTTTAATCTGGTTTACTTAATCTCTTTGTCTCAATATTGTTCTGATTAAATTGGTGTGTCTTTTTTTGTTGTCATTGAAAAACGATTTAATTGTCAACTTATTGTTTGTTTAAATAATAAAATGTCCGAGCGACTTGAGATTAAAGAGTGGAATCCCGATGTTTGTGCTCAAATTCAACCTCAACCTGAAGAAACTGTTGAGCCGCAGTCGAATCGTGGTTTAAACAGTAATCCAGAAGTGAAAGCAATTGATCCGCTATTTAATCACAATTGGAATCATACAACTAAAATTACAAACATTCCCTGGGGTGGGGAGGCTGAATTCTCTCAAGAAAATGAGACAAAACCCACGGTGAGAAGGGAACAACCTCAAGCAAAATAACATCAAATGTAAGAATTAATTTACTGCCTTCGAAATTGATATTATCAATTTTTTTTCTAATTCTTTTATTTTTCTCTCTTCCATTGTTTTTATTATTTCTACTCTTCTTTTCTTATAGATGTCATTTGGATTTAAGAAAGCAACGGATCGTGGACAATGGATAATCATTTAATTGTAGAAAATGTCAAATTTACAGATAATTATTCGAAATCATCTCATTATAAAACCATTTTTAAAGAACAACATTTTAAATTAACAAACATCAACAAGATGGAAAACCTCAAATCAGCCAAACGTGAAGGAAACACAATGTTATTTAAGAAAGAAAATCTAATTTACTATAAAAGACAAGTGAATTAGTTAAATAACCAATTCTCAAAATCTCAAATGATTAACATTACAAATGAGAAAACAACAACAAGATCAACTTACCTTTGATGCCGTTGATGTGATGGTTAAAGACAATTAAGACATTTGATTAATCATAATTGAAGGAGAAAAAGAAGATGAAGAAAAAAATTAATATTAATTTTTTACATCCAATTGATTAAAAGATGATTAGAATCACATGAAATTGTAAAAATTATTCCAGTTAATTGTGATGCTGAAAGTGATTACAAAATTAACCATTCCATTAATATTTAAAGTGATCATAGTAATCAAATTATACCATGTAACTTATATATAATATTTAATGTTAACCACCAATAATCAACTTTAATCCTGATTGAACATGAAATAATCAAGTTGATTGTGGAGCAAAATTTTTCTCCAATTTAATCAGCAAATTATTTTGATGATGATTGATCAACTAATCAATTAATCGAGAAAGAGGTTGTTGTCATTTAGGAAGGAAAAAAAAAAGATGCGAAGACAAAAATCAAAGTTAGAATCAAATTAAATGATTTGTAAAGGTTTTTCAATTAATTGTGATTAGAAATCGAACCAAATCAAATTGATTGCGATGATTAATCGACGATAATCAAGAGAGAAAAATAATTTTTTCGACATAATTAAACTGCGAACCTTTTTCATCGGTCTCTATGGTTTCCTGGAACAATTCATTCTCTCCGATTGTTATCCCTTCATCATCTTCATCATCATCATCATTTACTAATCATATTTATCTTCATCATCTTCGAGTTGTGAGAGTGAGCAGAAAGAAGATGAAGATGAGGATGAAAAAGAAAGACAAGTTAGTGAGTCTGATTCACTCTTCTCTCCATCATCAACCTTGTGTGTTGATTTTTCTCCATTTAATTATTTTTTCTTCTTCTTTTTTTCGGTTTATTGTTTTAATTGTGATTCTTTTTAATTCTCTAAATTGTGTAACAATATTAATTCCTTATTTTTCTCATCATCATCTTCCTTTATCATCATCTCGGTGTTTCGATTTGGTTTCTCTCTCTCTCTCTTTTCATCTTTATCCAATTCGAGTGTGTATATACATGTTCAACCTCCTATTCGCCAATTAATGATATCATGATTGTAACAATTAAAAGATGATCATCCTGTTTTTCATTCTAATCTATTTTAATTGTCACCTAATTGGTGAGTAATTCACCTTTTCTAATTACTCTGGTTCATTGTCAAGTCTTCAGTGTCTCTCAACCAACAATCCGATACAATTATCATATGTTTTCTCTCTCTCTCTCTCTCTGGTTAATATCAGTTTATCATCATTACCCAAAAGCCAATAAGTTAATTGTCAACAATCAATATCCGAAATGATTAACACCTTTGACAGAATCAAATTTAAAATTAATTCTGACAATAATTGTTTGAATCTTGTTGATGAAAATGATATAATCACCTTGAATTTAAATCCATTAGAATCATTGATTGTTTTGACTGGAAATTCAATTGAATTTGATTAAATGTTCATTCGACTATTATCAAGATTAATTTAATTGTCTTAGATTCTCAAATAGTGAACAAGATAATTTCATTTAATTGTGAATGGAGTAATAATCAATTCAATTGAATTTCCAATCAGAACCATTGATTATCCTCTCTCTCTAATCCACTTGATTAAATCCTCAATTTTTCCCAATAATAGTAACTCTTACAATCTAACCAACCATCAATTAACTTAATAACTGTCTCACAATTAGATGACAATCAACTATCAACACCTAACAATTACAATACCGAAACCTTGATACCCAAAACCCAATAATAAACCAGGAAGAAAAAAAATTTCTAGAAAATCCTTGTAACATAATAATTACATATACAGTTAATCAATTTACAATTAGATTGACATGTTTAATTGTTAACCTGTCTAATCCTCAATCGACATAATTACAAGTCAATATCAATACCAATAACTAATCAATTTAATTTGTTAACATTGACACAATCAACGTGAACACAAAATTTGAACCCATTCAAAAACCTACACAAAACTTTCAATTTAATTGATAACAGTTAACACTAATTAGATTTATTGATTGTTCATCATAATGGTAATATTTTTTTCTCAATTTTTTCTCTCAACAATTAACTGATAGTTATCAATGGATTGGTGGTAACTGAGATCTCGTTTCTTTCCGCCGGTGGTAAAAATGATTACGTTCTGACCGGTCAAGATTTTACCGTTAGATGTGTTCACCTATTGGAAAAAGTTAATGAAATTGTCCAAACAATTGAGATATTAAAAGATGGAGATCAGGTAATAAGATAATCTAATCCTGTTAATCCTCTTAATCCTCCAGAAAATTATAAAGCGATTGATGATTTTTTTTATATACAATTATAATTTCAATCATTGTGAAACTGAAGGCTATCAATTTAATTCACTCTTGATTTACTTTGAGTGTCAATCATTTGATGATAATGGCGATGATGATGGTGATCAGCATCATCATCATCAATGGTTCAACTGATCAACAATCAACAAGATTGAACAATGAACAGAATCATCATCAACATTGATTGTTGAGGGAAAAAAAAAGTTACCTCAGTTTTCATTGATTTGATTTCTGTTCCTAATCAAATGTTAAACATACAATTAAATGTACAGTTAACAAGTGATTAATCAAAACCCTGATTCTCTTGATTTAATCCTCTCCATTCAGTTTCAAGATTCATCCATGCGAAGGGTTTGATTTTAGATTGTTGATTTGGTTTGATTAGTTGAGGTAAAGAATCAACAATTTAATGTTTAACGAGGTTTCTTGTTAATCAATCGTATATTCAATTGAATACTATTAAAAGTAACAATTAAATGATCAGTTTGATTATCGATAACCATGTAAGAGATGTTAAATTTAGGCCAATTTGATTTTCGGAAAAAAGTTAATCTATTTTTAGAAATCAACTGAAAGGATTATATTATTATTACCATTAAGGTTTTATTTAATTTCAACAATCAGTGAATACAAACATGACAATTAAAGTTAATCCAGTACAAAATTTTCATCCGTTAATGACATTAATTCACATTCAATTAGCCCTTAATTGTTACAACAAATACTTAATCATAATCTTTTCCCTTTCTTGTTTAAGTTTAACTAAGTTAGTGATAGTAATTTAATTGGTAAAATTGTGTGGTGAAATAAACAATTAAATGCTAATTGTTACAAACTAATTGACCTTGTTAGTTAATTTCCAACAATCTTGTCAATCAATACTGATGATTGGTTAATTATTCACAATCAAGAAAAATAATAATAAACAAATATAAATAACCTTCAACCTTACATATAATATAAAGTGTTGATTGTTAAATTGTTTATATCAACAATTAAGCCTTAAAAAACATTAATTAAATCACCAATTTGTTAAATATTAACACAATCAAATCAAATTAACCTTTTAATTCAATTGATTAATACTAATTGTTACTCGAAATGAAATCATCTCTAAATAATCAAGAGTTACTATTTATATATAAACAAATCAATCTAAATATTATCAGAATCAAATTGAATAATTTAATTTAATTTCTTGGGTTAGGTTTTGATTATTAATTGTTTACATGTAGATTGTGATTAAGTTGATTGTTATTTGATAATAATAAACATAATTAAACTTGATTGAGGTTTTTTTTTGTAAATCTATCATCATGAATGTGTAATTTTTCAATGCTCAAGGTGATGAGATTGAGAATCAAATTAACTCTGAACAAAATGAAAAGTTAATCATTTGAGAGCAGAATTAACTTTTCTCATAATAATAATAAATTGAATATCAATTGTGATTAAATGATAATTACAATTGTGTAACAATAACCAAACCTATTTGGTTGATTATTATCATTAAGATGATGATCAACATCATCACAAAATACACGAGCCGAGATTCATTAATGAATAATAATATAACAATTTAATTTACATGTAAATTGTTTTTCTTTTAACTATTAAATTATATCATCAACAACAGCAACAATTAACTAACAACAATCAAGAGAAAATTGGTAAAATTATTAATACATACAAATGTTTTTAATCACAATCAAGGGAAACTCAATTTAGCCCTTTTTTCATGCTAACTTATTGTTATCCTTTTCTGATGATAATATTTAGATAACAACAATTTATTAATGATGATGATTTAGATTTAACAAGATTTGCTGATTGTTGAATTATCATCATAATCATTTGATTCCAGAATCAAGTCCATGATAAAGGCGGAGGATTGAAAATGTGACCTCAGATCTTAATTTATCTCTATTATCATTTCATACATTATTATTATCATTTCACGAATTCACGATCATCCTCATCCTCATCCTCATCCTCATCCTCATCTTGATCCTCATCTTGATCCTTATCTTCATCATCTAAATGATATATACTAATGAAGATTATCATCCATTGTCGGCCATCTTTATCCCTTCAAGATTGAGAGACAAGTGATGAGGATAAACTTGTAACATTGTTAGTGATCATCTTTGAATCGGTAATAATCATGTTAATCATAGTGATTAAAATTAATCAACTACAATTACCTGTAATACAAGATACCCACACAAAACAAAATTAACTTTAATCACAATTTCGGTTTACCTTAAATCCTAACAATCAACAATAATCAATTCACAATCTTTCATAGTAAATATATTTTTGCTTGATTATTGATAATTTGTAACCAAATTAAATTGCAATTGGTTGATCACGTTTTAAATTTTTCTCTTACTCTTAAAATTGTATTTACTTTTACGCTTTTAATTGGTAACAATTTACTTTAATATAAACCAATGACCATTAACTAAATTGTCTAATTGATAATTGTAAAAGTTTCACCATTAAATTATATTACTATTATTAAAATGTATCAATACATTTTGGTAATTTGATTGTTTGTTAATTGTTGTTATTTTAGTTTAACTTTCAACCAAAACTGATACATCATCTTTCATCATAATCATCATCATCTCAATGACAATTTGTAACCTCTGACCCTTTATCCCTTGACCCACCACCCACTGTGCAAGAGGGTGTTATGTGTGTGTGTGTGTATCCTGGTGATCATTACAATTAAATCAATTCAGTAAATCAATCAATCATCTGAAAGTTGATTCAGTTTTGTCTCATCATCAACACAGTTAAAAAAAACTTTACCAGTTTCCCAAATGATCAAATTAAATCCAGTTGATCAGTTGATCACCTTGACAGGATATAAATAATTTTCCCATTGGAATTACAAACAAGATGATGATGATAATTATGATGATGATGATCACTTAACAAAAGCTTAATCACTTAAATTGTCATGATAATGATGAAAATGATAATATTTCCATTAACTGTTCATCATCATAATCCTAATAATCAACTGAATATAATGAAAATCTTATGTTTACTTGATGACGGATAACAGGAAATCCGATAAATATAAATTCACATGAACCGATGGATCTTATTATTATTAATGGAAAAACAATTAAATTATTTTCCTCATAAATTGAATATTTTCTTACTCAGGTATCTTATAATACTATTAATGGACTATTTCCCGTTCCGGTTACTCCCTTTTCTCTTAAACAATCCTTTAATCATCATCAATTTTCTCCTTGTAATTCTTTAATTAACTAATCATTTTTTCTTTCTCCATTTCTTAATTGTTATCCAAACAGGTATACGAACACAATTTAGAAACCAATGAGACTCAATTAAATGGTATTTTCAAAAACGCTGTTGATTTAATCAAATCATCATCAAGTAGCATCCATGTTAGAAATGCAACAATCTCCATGCATGGTAACTACACATGTAAAGTTAAAAGTCAAATTTCCTGTTCTTCACAATCAGCTAATTTAATTGTGATTAATGGTAAGAGTTAATTTAGATATTAGTTGTTATGATTAACCAAACCAATCGATTCATGTATGTAATAGATGATCTGAAACTCTCGAGCCTTTCGGTTGATGTACAAGTGTAATTACTTGATCATTTGTTGGTTTTCTTGGCACATATGAATTGTTTCTTGATCAACAATTAAGACTAAATTGTTAAATTTTAATTGTTTATGATTACAGATGCCTGTAAAGAAAGTGATTGGTCCACTCGAAGTGATATGATCCATTGCCTTGAACGAATTGATCTTCAATGTACTGGGATGTTTCCTAAGCCTTCACCCTCTTGTGGTGTTTATGAGCAAAATTCAGGTAATTAACTAATTGCTGTTGAATAATAATGATGATGATTAAGCTAAAAATGTTGTCTTTTCATCCTCTGTTTACTTGACCTTTGTCATCTCTCTGTATCTTAAGCAAGTGAAATTGAAGGTCACTTGGATAATGAGCTTGAATGGATCAGTGATTTTTGTATCTCTCTCTCTCTCTCTCTCTCTCTCTTTGATAAGAGAGGATGAAAATAAGAGGATGATAATGAAGATGTCATCATGATTGTCGTTAAAACTTTCACTCATCATGATAAAACCAGAGATTCATGAATGAGCCACGCTTTAGATGACGATCATTTCTATTCGCATCACTTAATATCTTTTACCTGATTCTTATCCATAACATGCTAACTTTTTTTTCAAACTTTCTATTATCATGAACTCATCCTGAGACGATTATTGTCCCTCATCCTCATCCTCATCTCTCTCTCTCTCTCTTTCTCTCTCTTGATTGTCAATCTTATATTTTACTTTCAAAATAGCTTGAGAAAAATAATCTCTGTTCTCGTGTGACATTTTGTCAACCTTATAATTTACGAAAATGATGGAGAAAGAAAAAGAGAAGAGAAGAATAAATTGGTTTTTTCTTTTATTGTTTATTATTCTCTCATTGTTGATTATTTTCCAAATCGTTTTTCAGGTCGATATATAACCGCCGAACCTATTACCATCCTCCGAAAGCAAAGTGATGGAACTTATGATCTATCAATGTCCCATAGATACTCAGCTGAAGATTATTCAGAAAGAAAAGGTTCCTTCCTGTTCCGTTGTATGTTAACCATTATTGGTACAACTTGGTCTCGAGTTATTAATAGTAAACTTTTCTCACGTCGAGATTGTCCCGATCCACCTCGAATAGCCAATGGTCAATATAATGTCACTCAACGTAAAACTTGCTGGAATACACCAACGGAAGGTTCAATTGCAACCTACTATTGTTCACCCAATTACACCCTCTCTCATTCAGGAATCTTGGTTTGTGTTGATGGTACCTGGAGACAGGTAACTGGTCATCATCATCATCCTAATACTAATCATCTACCTGAGGATGATATTAATTTAACTACATTACAATTTTTACCTGTTCAAGATTCACAATTACCAACTTGTAGTAAGTTTTATCATCTTCAATTTTTTTGTTACTCTGTTTCTTATATTGAGATGATCATCCTCATCATCTTATGAAGATGATGAGGATGAAAAAAAAACAATCATTATCATCATCGCCTCATCATCATTATGATGAAACTCCTCACGTATAATTGGACTCATGTAATCTTGTCACGAATCATTATAATAACAATCAAGCCGAAAACTTTTTTTCCTCTTATTGAAAATAATATTAGTTGTTAAAAAGGGTCTTGATTAACCTGTTGATGGATTTAATTTAATTTAATTTAATCTTGCAAAGGAAAACTAATTAACTTTCATGATAATCAACCTAATGATGATTGCGATTAGTCCTCCAGCTCTATTAAATTATTTCAATTTACAATCAAATCTCATCACGTTTTGTTTAATTCATTTTGCTTCCAGTGATAATCTTGACAATTTACTAACTATCATTGTCACAATTAGTATACTAATGACAATTAAAAACAATGTTACCTGATGATAATTATCATGTTAACAAATGATTAACTTTTTACACCAGCTAGTTAATTGTAAATCAGTTTAATTGTTGCTGTTGATTTTAATTTCATTGATCCAAGTGATCATTGGTGTAATTAACTTGAGAGTTGATTGTAATTTTATCCAACAATTAAAGCTTAATTTAGTTTTTAATAATTTCTCATAATTCACTAACAATTGATTTAGTTGTTGATTCTTTATTGTTTTATATTTTCAACTTTGATTTGTTCAACTAATCAACTAATTTTTACTCATCAATCTTTTTGTTTTAACTAAATTGTTACACCTAAATTTTTGATTCTTGTTGTTGAATTAACCTAATTACATTTGTATATTAATCAGAAATCAGGTCATTTCCTATTTAACATTGATTTTTATAGTAATAACATTGTTTAATCATGATGCTAATCATTCACAATTAATTAATTTCCGTCATTAATCAAATTACCTTTGTTTATTTGCAAAGATCCCCTTGAGTGTCAACAATTAACCATCACAATTAACTGAAAACCTAAAAGTTAATACTCTTAATCTCAATGAAAAGATTAACTATTTCAGCTAATGATTAAGGGAAGATGATAATGATTAAGTTAATCAATAATCAGTTGAAATTATCTTTTAAATTGTAATTAAATTTTCTTTTCTTTTCCAGATATATCATCAATATCTTCACTGGCCATCAGTTTAATCATCTTGGTCACTTTAATTCATCTTAATCAAATCAAATTATTATCTTAACATTTAATCAACACTTAATTACACAAACAACAATTAAACAATCCCCCAATTGCCTAATCCCTTTCCCCTTTTAATCATTAATCTAAATCCTAGTTTCTAAATAATGTTGATCCAGATAATTAATGAATGTAAGTTAATCATTATCATCAAACAATTAATGATCAACAATTGGACAATTAATTATGGATCAGCCGGATCGTGCAATTAACTTCATCCAAAATCCCAAAATCGATTGGACAATTAAACTAAATCAGTTAATTGTCCCTTGACCATTGGAGCTTAGTCTTTACCTAATTTCTAATTGTTTAATCAGTCCCAACAATTAGAAATCTCTTCATCTTCATCATCATCAACCCTTTTAATCAACCCAACAAATCAATTGATTTTATTTACATAATTAAGATCATTTATATATTACAGATTTAGCTAATTAACTTAATTGTCCAAAAATCGAAATGAACTTTAATTTGATTGCTGCTATTAATTTTATCTAGAAAAAAATAAAATCTAATCAACTTGATTATTGATTATTATTCTTGAAAGGAATTAATTATTTTTAAATTGCTATTCTATTCATTAAATAAAATTAGATTGTTCTTAATTGTGATTAACTAAACTGCCCTTAAATAAAAATTGATTGTCTAATTATGACCAACCTTTTAATTGTGAAACAATTTATATATTATTGTGTTCAATTGAAAACTTAATTGTAATCATTGATAAGATTATGATAATAATAAAGATGATACAAAACAAACTGCAACTTTTAATTGTCACCATTTAAATTGTTATCCTTTTTTCATGGTTAGTTGATTATAACAACGACAATGATTAAGAAATTTCCTATTTAATTGTCAATTCTAATTAAAGAAACATTTTCCTAAATTAGATTCAAAATTGTCAATCGCTTTTGTTTCATCGTTAATTGTTATCCATTAATTAGTTGATTATTTTACCAAAAACAATTTTAAAGAAAAATTTGATTGTCAAAAATTTAATATTACTGTTAATAGTAATTAAGAAATTGACTTATTTTAAGTTGACAATTAGATTTAATTGTGATAAGGAAAAAAATTTCATTCTGTATCTTAATTACAACCAATGAACATCAAATTTGTGAAAACTTGATCATCAAAGTGTTTTAATTGTGATTAGTGGAAAGTAATTAAAAAAAAATAAGCAAAATGATTTCCAATGTTAAGTTAATCCTCTTAATTGTTACACTGATTGTGATTAATCCAGTGGATGCTGGTAAAGACTCAGGTAAAGGAGACAAAGGTGGTAAAAAAGGTGGCGGAAACGGAAATGATGATAATAAACCAATGATCATAATGTTGGGTGAGTTAATTTAATTGATTCAACCAAATGATTAAAAACTGAACAATCAGTTTACCATTAGTTTTGTAAAGAAATAAATTCAAGTCTCAATGGATTGGGAATTAAAAGAAATGAATATAATTTTGATTAATCATCGAATCGCTTTGATTGTGATAGTTTAATTTATCTGATTGTTGAAACTTTTTTTTTCTTCCACAGGTAATCAAGGTGGTGGAAATAATAATAATAATGGTTGGGGTGATGGTGGGGGTAAAGGAGGTAATATGAACGGTGGTAATTGTGGAGGAGGTAAAGTTGATTAATATTAATGCTATGGAATTAAATTTCTAACATAGAAAGTTAATCAATGGTTGATTGTGAAAACTGATTAAGGTGAAATTAATGAGGTTTTTGTTTTATCTGATGATTTATCTTCAGGTTGTCCTCAAAACAATATGATGATGCCAAACATGATGATGCCTAACATGATGTCCCCCATGAATCCCAATATGATGCCCAATACGATGCCCAATATGATGATGATGATGTCACCTGATGGTAAAATGGTTCCGGTTCCGGTTCCCTTAATGATGGGAGGGAAAAACTCTAAAAGAAAATCGAGAAAAAATGATGACGATGAAGATGAGATTGAGAATGAGATGGAAGATTATGATGATGTGATGGGAATGGAAATGATGATGAAGAAACAAAAAATGAAAAGGATGCAGAAAATGGCAAAGATGATGAAGAAGATGAGATCATCTGAAATGATGATGGAAGGAGGAGGAGGACGAGGGGGTGGAGGAAGATGTTGTCCAATGGTGAAAATGATGAAAGATCAGCCGCCGAAGAAGCCACAAGCACCGCCGACAACACAACTGATGATATTACCGTAAGTCGTGTGTGGATAGTTGATAAAATCAAGAGTGAAAAAAAAAGTTCGAATTTTAAATTTTGTCTTTTCTTTTCTTCCACAGAGTTCCAAGGTAAAATACCATAGAAAAGTATTAAAGTTTATCTTCCCTTTTGATTGACTAATTGTGATTATTTTCCGCTTATTGTTTAGTCCACCGCACTCTCCAATGTCCATGCATGGTGCTAATCCAATGCCCTTTCCCATGCCGATTCCTTACCCGATGCCGATCCCTGCACCAGCTCAGCCTCGACCTCCCGCTGCAATGACTATGCCGGTAAGTATGTCAATGTCCATGCCCATGCATATGTCAATGCCGATGCCGATGCCGATGCCTGTACCTATGATGCCTCACAGTCCGATGCCCAAAAGTGACCATCACCACCACCACCATCATCATCACAACAGCGGCTGGGAAACTGAAAATAAACCAACTTGTGTTACCGCTCCGGGTCGATCTGGTTGGTCACAAGCCTCAACCCCAACGGATTGGACAGTGCCACAGTCTCAACCAGCACCACAGCCTCCGCCGCCACCGCCGACATTACCATCACCATCACCATCGACAGTTTCGGTTTGGTCAACATCTCCCCAAGCCAGTGGGCCTCCGCCAGGGTGGACTCAAACTCAGAGAATGAGCAAACCTCCAACTGGACAATCAGGCTCTCGATCAGGCCACTGGTCAAATAAGAAATCGATTCCGTCATCGACAACCTGGGAGCAAATGGTTCCCCTGCAAATGATTGACTCTTGGGACTCACAGAAATCCCGAAATCTGGCCTACAAAACGGCGACGAGTGTTATTGATACAATCACCGATTGGATCTAAATTAAATCATTACGATTAAATCAACAATTACGGGTAAGAGTAACAAACACACAAAACAATCAAAGGTAAGCCAAAAAATTTACATTTCCCTTGAAAAGTCAAAATCTTTTTGTTGTAAACTTTTCAGCCCATTGATTAACTAATTAATTGTTCTTGTTTCTTAATCAGTACACATGGAAATTAATTGTGGAAGTTAATTGAAATTAGCAAACCAACAATTTAAGCTCTGCCAATCGTTTTTTTTTTCATCACCGATCAACTTTTGACTAATTTAGGTTAACAATTAAAATCTAATTTACCTCCAATATTTAAGTGCCATGGAGTTGGAAGATCATGTTAACAATTTAAACAACAATTAACCAGATAATTAGCTGTTGATTAACACTACTAATTGTAAACTCACCTCAATACCTTTTGCTTGACCACCAACTCTTGAAAATCTTGATCAGTATTTTGTTTACACTTAATCACTTTTTTTTAAAACAACAATTAACCTCAAAATTAATATTTTTCATTCAATTACAATTAAATCTTTGTAAATTTACTTGATAATTAACCAACTAATCCAACCAATTAACTTACCTATCAAATTACAAACTTTTTACTTACCTTTACAATTAAAACTATCAACTAATTACTTGGATAAAATTAATGTGATCAACTTTTAATTGTGTTGATTAAATTTCACATTAATTAGATGATAACTTTTGAAAGTAACAATTAATCATGTTTCCGTTGTTAATTTAGTTTTCAACTGAATCAAACACCCGCAACAACAACAATTTACAAAATAATAATAACAAACAATTAAATTAACTTTTTTTTTAACCAACAAAAAATCATCAAAATTGATCATCAACTGTAACTCAAAATTAATCCTAATCATAACAATCAACGGAAATCTATTATTATATTATTTAAATGAAAAATGATAGATAATCAAATTTAACATACAATCAAAATAATAAATGGAAACAATTAAAAATCTAATCAAAAGACTCACTGATTAACCTTTTCAACTGATGAAAATAACACAATTGAAACTTAAATTGTTCACAGATTCAAGTGTGTTGACAATAAAAGTAAATAACAATTTAGAAGACAAGAAAAAGATGAAGAAAAAGTTAAATCAAATGTTCAACAATTTAACCACAACAATCAACTCTCAATGACCTCAATTTGCCTTCGCAATTAATAATTAAAGCTACACCAACAATTGATGTCCATTCATATTAACCATAGTCCCTCTTGATCCGCCTCCACTAAATTGTAAATTGTAATTGTAATCATATCATTTTTTTCATAGTTAATCCAATGTATGGGTTAACCATATCTCTCATGTTAATTTAATTTTCATACAACGTGACAACAATTTAAATATTCATATACAACAATCAACTCACACCAACCTAACAAGATTCAAAATCCTCCCATCACAATTTGTTTATTTAATCATAAACATCATCGCAACAATTTACTGGTTTATAATACAAATATTAAGGCCAAGTAATCAGAAATTTGATCAAATTAAGATCAACAATTTAGCCAAATGAACCAACCCAATAGCAATTTAACTGTCTAATCATGATGAGATTAGGAAATCAAATAGGATTTTCATATTGGAGGGAATTAATCTCAACTCCAATTGTGACAATTAAAAAGTTTTCATTTTTGTTTCTCATTCTAATTGTAAGTGTTAATCATTATAATCCAGTGGACAATCAATGTTATCCCCAATCAATTGACCAGAAATATAACACAACATCAATTACATTTATTGATTGAATATTTTTTCTGTTAGAAAATCAATCAACTTAATCAGTGGCAACAAAAAACACGAGCTGAGGATTAACATGGACAATTAAAGGCTCCAGGGCGTTGGTCATTTACCTGTTTAATCAATAGTTTGTTGTAATAACAATAACAAAAACTTATCGACATTTAAATACAAGGCCAATGTTCAAATGTTTGCGTTCCCTTGGTTTCGAGGATTGATTTTTAATCATCATGGTAAACACTTGATTGTGATTAAAACTGTTTACAAGTTTATCCATTTAAGTTTAATATTTTTGTCATCGAGAATTTTAAAATCTTAATCATTTTCACTATTACAATCTACTAATTTAAAGGAGTCTAGACAATTAACTAATTATTAGCCTGTTAGGGGATAGTTTAACTGATCAATGAATTAGTAAAAAATTGTCGACATTTGAGATGTTACTGTATATTTAAAGTTTTGCTTTGATTAAATTGAGTAACATTTAATTACTTTATCAAAATTTACTACAATTATAATCAAATTGAAGATATTGATGAAATTGTCCGCGGGAAAAAATTAATGATCGTGAAAATGAAAAGGTTGTAAAAGTTTAGTAACACCAAATGAAATAATTTGTATTCCTAGTGATTTATTAACCAATATTGATGATCAATTTGGTCTTATCCAATATGCTAATCCAATTTTGTTTTGATTTTATGTATAGAGATGACGATGATGATGGTGATGATGATGATGATGTAAATATTATGATGAAGATTAAACAGGAATAAGAGTCTAGGAGTAGGAAGAAAAAAAATGAAGATTTAGAGGATCAATTGTTAGAGGATTAAAAGATTTGTTAATCTTTTTGCTTACCATTTGATCAAGTTAATTGTTAGTAGACCACGAAAAAAAGAAACGAAAAACACAATCTAATTTACTCCTTTTCTTGTTCAACTTTAACTACATCACTTAGATCATATTTGGAAAAATCTTCATCCTCATCATCTGGTTCCTCTTCATTATCATCAGAGTGACTGTTTTTATTGGAAGCTGATAAATCAGAATCATCAGAATCTTCATCGTCATCATAATCTCCTTGATTGGTGCTATTTCTTTCACTTAAAAATTTTCTATTCACATCTCGACGAGAACGACGAACAGTATCACTACTTTCAGTAGTGTCCATCTCTTCAAAATTTAACGATTTATTTGTTATATTGTCGCCTCTATGAGTTCGACCTTGTGAACCATTGTCTAGATGACCATCTCGATGACCATCTCGATGACCAGTTCTCCTATTTATATAATCATCTCTCTTGTGCCTGGAAGTTGAGTCACTTTTCCTTCTACTTCTGTCATCTCCATCACGAGTCGATCTACTGTGGTGATTATTACTGCTTGATCTTTCGTTACCTCGGTCCCTGGATTGGTGAATAAAATTTAGGTCCAGTTTTGGATTTCAATTTTTCGAAAAACACAGAGAGTGTTTTGTGTTATTTGTATGGGATGGAAAAGGAAGGAGCAAGAAAGAGAGAGAGAGAGAGAGAGAGAGAGAGAGAGAGAGAAGAAGAAGAAACGAGGATGGGACATGTAAAAAAGAAGCTGGTACAGCTAAAACCAATTGGAAGTCGAGTTTGTTTGTTTCTTTTTCGGCATAACCACCAAACATAAAATAACATTTTCTTCAATATGTTTTTACTCTTTTTCAGTAACACCCTGTAAAATTTCATTGGCTCAGTCATCATGTTATCAGTAGGGTTGTCATTTTTATTACCAGATGATTAAATTCATGATCTTCTGCTTCACTCAATGAATTACCTTGATGTTTGTTAACTCGACTCCGAATCGAATTCAACTGGGAGATGAAGAAAGAAGAAAAATAATTAACCAACCTTTCTCGATACCTTGATACTGTTACTGAAGAAGATAATAACTTGTTATCTTTAGTTTGTCGTTCAGATGATTTATCTTTTTCGTCTAATCGATCCCTTGAGCTACCATGATTACCACCATGTTTATCAATTGATCTTGACCTTCTTGTATGTCTTTCGTTTGGTTGTTTTAGGTTGACAGTTGATCCAATTCTTGTTTTATCATCGGGAGATCGGTCACTTGTTCGGTCTCTTGGTTTATCATTAGTTGTTCGTTCTTTGGACCTTGATCTAGTTCGATCTCTTATTCTATCACCTCGAGAGCTGTAAAACAAAAAAAAATAAGAAAAATATACAATTAAAATGGTTGAGAAATTTTTCCAATGTCAATTGTGTCTTTTGAATGAGAATGGTTAATTGTTTGAACAGCTAATTGGTAAATTAAAGAGAGATATGAGATACTCGTTTAGTCATTAGCTTAATCATTGTAACATAAACAATCAATTTACATGATAGTTTGATTAGTTGGCTTAATGCCTTTGCTTTTTTCACACGGGATCAGGATGTAAATAACGGGTTTCATATGTGTATAAGCTGGAAAATTTGTTTCTTTGCAAATTTTAAATGATTTATAAATTGTTCGAAATATATTGATGCCAAAATGAACAATTTTTTAAAACGAAGAAGAGGAGAAAAGTAGGAAGAGAATAATTAATTCTCACCTTGTAGATTTTCTATGAGGATCATACGAACGGAATTTTTTCTTCTTACGACCAAAATCATCATATTCTGAGTCAGAGTCTTCGCTATTAGTTGAAAAGAAAAAGAAAATTAGAACAGTGAGTAAATTGTTCGAACTAAAGGATAAGATAAATTAGTTGGAAGATTAACCAACCGGCGTATATATTCAACTTGATCGCGATCATTGTAACCACCACCTAATCCAGTTCTTTCTTCATTCTCACTAAATTTAGGTCCATTACACATGTTACACTGTTGTCGACGAGCCCAATTAACGTTACCACATCGGCCACATTGCCAGTCATCGGCGTTAAACAGTCCACGAGATTTTTCGGCAGCCGATTTACCAATCTCATGGCCAAGCAGTTTTTTACTAGCACTGCCACTACTTGAGCTACTTTTATCGCGATTTTGACGACGATGATGGGAAGAAGAAGATGATGATGATGGTGGATGACCATCACCAGATCGATGTACATCTCGTCCTCTAGATCGATCTCTTGGTCGACCTCGTTCACGTTCACGTTCAGGTTTATCACGGGTCCTTTCACGACCACCATCATCACGGTCACGATGATCACGATAAGAATTGGAAGAAGGTGGATGTGAATGTTGATTTTGATGATGAGAATGCGATGAAGAGGAAAATGATGATTTATTGTCACCTTTACTCGAATATTTTTCTCGACCACATAGATTACAGGCTAATCTTCGAGCAAAGTTAACATTATTACAAGTAGAATCTGAACAGACCCAATCACCTTCGGCAATAGAATTCCTTCCTCCGCCATAATGAGATCTGGATTTCCGAGCAACATGATCCCTCCTATTGTCCCGATAACCCTCTGTACGTGATGCAGCCAATTTGAAGCCGGTAAATGGTCACTTGGTCAGTCTTTAAACAGTATTGAAAAAAAAGAACAGGGAAAATTTAGAACAAAAAGGAATTATAAACACTAAATAGCGAGAGAGAGAGAGAGATAGAGAAGGAGAGAGGGAGAGAGCAAGAAAGACATTAAAAAACCATAAGGAGAAACAAGTGAAACAAATGAGAGACGGAGAGAGAAAAATCCAAAACAAACATAAAGAATAACTAAACAAAAGCAACGGACTGTTAGTACCTCAGATGATAACGATTAGAATGGTGAATAAATAATTAGTTTCCTTAAATTTGAAAGCAACAATTAAATTAAAAAGAAAGACAGGAAAATAATAATAAAAACATTACACTCACTAAAATCACCTTTTCTCTCTCCCTCTGTCTCTTATGTCACACATATTCCATATGATATTTCAACGCCCTCCGTTCACCACAAACACTTAAGAACCACTCGGAAGACATAGATAAAAATAGAACAAAAATCTTACCTTAAAAAGAATAATAAATCAATTAAATGTGAAACAATCGAAAATCTAATCCACTTAACAAAAAGAAAATAAAATCTAAACAAAAATTTTAATTGAATTTTGTTCCAAGAGAACAAGTGTCTCCATCTATAGAGTTTTTATCACCTGTTTTCTTTTTTTCTTTTCCGTTTTTATCAACTAAATCACTTTAATTCATTTGTCTCAGTTAATTCAATTAACTTACATCATTTTTTAATCTTTACAATTAACTCATTTTCTAACTAATTTGCTAATTGGTAAGTCTACTTGTCATTCTATTTTAATTGTTCTCCATTAACATTTTCAATCGAAATTCTATTTCCTCAATTTTTTCTTTTCTTCTTTTTCTCACTTATTCTCTTTCTTTTTTCTCTTTCTCTTTGTTTTCATTCTCTTCTCTTTTTCTCTATACTTAAGGTCACTTATCATTGATGTCCGATTAGTTGTTTCCTTTGTTGTTCTTTTCTTCTTCTCTATGAGTATCTAATTTCTTTTTACTTGTTTTATTCTCTGCTTGTTGATTTAGTAATTGTGCTTTAGTGGCTGTTGACGTTTTCTTTTGCCTGGTCTCCTTTTTTTCCCTTAGAATTTTCCACATCTTGAAAATATTTTGTTCTCTTCTAATTTTGATAGAATTCCAATTCTCATTTATTTCTTTACCTTAGGTAACTTTTATTCTTCCTTTTTCAACCTTATTACCTGTTCATTTATGATCTAAATTATATTTAATTTAACTCCCTTTTTATATTCATGTTTGTTTAATCGTCATCTCTTTTTTCTCTCCCCTTTTTTTTCATCTTCTAGTAACCTTGCTCTTGGTTTATTCTCATCTTCTTTCACATCGAAATGGCTGAAATTTTCCACAACCTGTTAGATACCTACAATGTTACCTTGGAAGCTTTTCTGGATAAGGAAAATGTGTTGACCAATGTTCTCAATAAAATTGAAAATGTAACCAATGTTAAAAAACAATACATTGCCAATGGAATTGTCAGTCTTTTTGGTTTATACATGATTTTTGGTTCTTTTGCTGCTTTGGTTTGTAATGCTGTTGGTTTCCTTTATCCTGCATACCAATCATTAAATGCCTTGGAAACTGTTAATGCTGATGATGATCGTAAATGGTTAACCTATTGGGTTGTTTTCGCCTTTTTCAGTTTAATCGAATTCTTTGCTGATACCATTTTCATGTGGTTCCCATTTTATTGGTTGGCTAAAATTGTCTTCCTTGTCTGGTGTTTCTTCCCAATCGAACGAAATGGCTCCAATGTGATATATTCTCGTATTATTCGCCCTTACTATCTCAAAAGACGTGACAATATCAATGACAACATCGAAAAGGTCAAAAGTGGCTTATCTGGTCCAATTGCTGATAAGGTTCGAAAGGGAGTTTCCGATGTATTCAAATCAACCGGTGGCGATAAATCTGATTAGTTTCCTTTTCCTATTGAAACAGTAACACCAACTCAGCATGAATCGATAAAGAACAAACAACAAAACATCAACAAATTAAATCTTTTTATCCCCGTTTGCCTGTATTATGATATATTTGCCATACAATAAACCATAGTCCATCTATGTGTCCACCCTACCTTTGCAAACCATCATCATAATAATTCAAGGTCTTCTCAAAGTATCATGACTTCAAAGTCCACAAACCGGTTAAGTGTAATGATTATTTTCCTTAAACACAAATAATCATTTAAATTAAATTATTTAATCATCAGCCAAACAAGAAACACAAATCATCATCATCTTCAATCCAATTGATAAAAACAAGATGCTTAAGGACAACATTAGTTACAACCGAAACTTCAATCATTCTAAACTTACCTTAGAATAATATTTATCTATTCATCTATTTACTTAAATTTTTTAGAACTTTTTTCTTCGAAAAACGAAAAAAATCTCGAAATTATCACTTAATCATATTTGCTGATTAACTGGATTAGTTCAATAAACTCGAAGCTCGAGTTGTAGTTGAATCCAAATGAGATGTTTATTATTTTTCGCCTTCCGATGTTTGATTTATTCACGAAGTTTAACCTTGAACTTAATCTTTAATTATCGAAGTTAAAGATCAACGATTCTCTTTAAATAGATCATCATCATCATCATTATCTTCTTTATCTTCCTTGTGAATTACTTTTATCTTCATCTTTTAGAGAGGAAAAGTTATATTGGTTAAAATGAGAAGATGAAATTATGGTCATTCCAATGATCTAATTGTTTCTAAACTTCAACGATCCATTTAAACCATAAAGAGAGTTCGAAGTTTAATTGCTGATTGTTCAATCGAATCACCATTAATTATTACAATCAAATGTCCAAATGGATTACAATTAATTTCTTTCATTAAGATAATTGTTGTGTCTCAGTTAAGATGGAGAGGAAGTAAAGAAATAGAAATTAAAAGATAACCATAAATCTTTCAACAATTAAGATAAATACCTACATTAATTGCTGATGATTAGCATCTAATGACGATAATAACAATTAAATAGATGATTTGAAGAGACGAAAAAGTTAATTTAGTTAATTTCATCTCTTTCGCGACGATTGTTAGTGATTTATGTTCATCAAATGTGGAAGAAAATTTTTCACAAATATTTTACTCATTTCGCTTTAATTAGTTTGATTGTTTATTGTAATTGTGAATCAATCACCGAGTTATCGACTAATTATGATGTTGAATCTATAGATGATTTAGTTAATTGTCCTGATCCAGATCACATTAATTATTTGGAAACAAATGAAACTTTAACTCGATACATTGATTATCGTCCAGGTTGTTCACGCCAATGGGTTTTAAGAAGACAAGGATTTACTAATTTAACTCTTGAAGATAATCAGTTGATTGTGATTAACAGCGGTGCCTTGTTGATCATTACACACCTTGATTTGGATGTAACTGTTGGTGATTATCTGTTAATTGCTGACGGAGTTCCCAATGAAACTTACCACCCATCAATCCAAGTGATTACAAGTAACATTCTAGATGAAAGTAAAACAATTAACATACAATCGTTAATCACTTGGATCGGATTAGTTAATGGTCCTAAGATACGATCAACAATTGGATTAATATTTACTTGGGTTCCACCGGAGTTAATTGTAGCCGAAGAATCAATTCCAAGTGAATTAAGATCAGCTTCGATTGATTTGTGCTTCGAGAAAGTTGAATGTTCAATAATCGCTCAATGGAAACAATTAATTAGATTTGATTTGACTCAAAAGATCAACAATTATCTAACTAATCAGGATAATTTATTTAGTGGTGACAATCAAGTAATTGATCCAATTGATCAACGACAATTAAAAATCATTCGTAACGAATCTCGAATTGCCGATGAAAAAACTTCCCAATACAAATTTTGTCGAGTTCAAATCGCTGTAACTTCACAGATCGATATTAATTGGGCACATTCACAATTAACTAAATCACTTTTATCAACAATTTGGTTTTCTAATCATTCTGATCAACTGATTGTCCTCAACGATAATCAAATAATTAACTACATACAATGTGAGGATGAATCATTTGATCCTTTGATTGTGGTTATTTCGTTAAGTATATTTGTCGCCAGTTTAATTGCTTCACTTGGATTGTGGCGATGGAATCATTTATATTTACAATCAATTAAGCAAACAATCAAGCCAACAATTAAATCACAACAAAGGGGACAAGTTATACAATCAGATGAAAATGTCAAACATAATCCAATCTATGAAAGTGAAGATGAAGATGATGATCAAGTTGATTATGTTATCGGTGGTAAAAACAATTGACAAACATTTTCTCAAAATTTAAATTGTCAACAATCAAATGGTAATTTTGATTGACTTTTTTAATTCTCGGTGATGATAATGTTTAAAAAATTCATTCAACATTTTTACAATGATTAATGAACTTACAGTTTGTTGTTGTTGATTTTTTTGATGAATGGAAACAAAAATATTTACACAAACATGATGAAATTGGTAATTAGTAAATTGTGTTAAATCAGAGATTCACAATAAAGGACAAACAATTAGGTTGTCAATTTTTTCTTGAATTTCCTAAATTTACAATTTAAGTCTCTGTGCGTAAATTTAATCACTTGGAGTTGACATAATTAAGAGATTGTAATCAGACAAGGAGAGAGAGAGATGGAATTCAAATTAATACAATTTAGTTTTGGATTGTTGGGAATTGTTTTGCTTCTCAATCTGAATCAAATAATCTCATTAATTGTTTGGTAATAAAATACAATTTCTTAATCAATATTATTGAATCAGAAATTTTCGACTTTAAATGTTATTAAATAGCTTTGGTATTACTATTGCAGCATCTGATTCAAGTTTTCCAATTGAAATGAGATTCCTACCAGAATAAATTACGACTTCACGATTTAATTGTGGTTCAATGTGGTCCAGTTGATTGAGTTGGTTGGGATTTCTAACAATTTCATCATTGTCCATATCATTAGGGATCGATGCTGGTGGTGTTATTGTTGATGATGATGATGATGATGATGAGGAGGAGGAGGTGAAGGTGGAGGAAGATGAGGTGGTTGATTTGTTGATTTTCTTTGATTGGCAAACATTGGTCACTTCGAAGATCAAATCGCTTGGATTGTTTACTAATTCAACTTTTCCGCTTTCATAGATTCTCAATTTACCCAATTTTGTGTTTGTCTGATTTTCCAACATCTTTGGTAATTGAAATAAGATTAATTTATCTCTCAATGGATCGGGTGTTAACCAGTGTTCACTTTTACAGGTTGTCACAGGATCGTTTACCATTGGCATTGATAAATTTTCCCACCCTTGAGGTAAATGGTCACAATTATCATCTTTGTCAACTGATTGATTAATAAAATCATCTTGATATAATTTTCCTTCAATGTAAGCTGGTTCAATGGAGTCTTCTGATTGCTCTTCAACGGGTGAAGGTAATGATGAGATTGCAGGTTGTTTACTCTTCAATTTCTTATTAGAATCTAAATTTTTCTTAATAGGTGATCTGGTAAGATGATTGAGAAAAGAGAAAATCAATATTGAGATTAGAATTTGTTTTAATTGATCGGAGAAATGGAATAATGGAAAAGAAAACAAACCTTGCAGCTCCAGTGAAAACTGTTGATTCCAATTGGATTAATTTACGAGGTTTTTTAACATTTTGTCTTCTACATCTTCCAGTTGATGAAGATGAAGGTGTTGATCCTCCTCTCCAAGAGTCCAAACCATTTTTACCACCTTGTTGTTTAACACCATTGGTAAAACCTTTAACCTCTCCTGGTTGATTTCTTCTTGTATTTACCATACATTCAATTGAACCAATGTTTGATTCGTAGTTACGTTTACCTGTAATTGGACTTTTGGTTGGCGATGATGATGATGATGAATTAACAATCTGATTGTGATTGAATGAGGCACTTGATTGGAAAAGTAAACTTGGTTTTGATAAACTTGACCTTAAAGAGGGTAATCGTTGATTAGGATTAAATGGTAAACCCGATTTACTCATCAATCCTCGAGGTAGATTATTATTACTATTATTGTTACTAGAATTACTATTATTATTATTTGAATTATTACCTGTAACCGGTAAGATACCTTCTGACATTCTTAAAAACAGTAACAATATTTTTCTCTTTTTAGAAAAAAAAACAAGGGGGATCCCCGAACTGTTTTTTATTCTAACCACATATAAGAATGATTAAGTTCCACAAAAACGAAAGAACCACAAACTTTCATTCATTCAGGATTCAATAAGAAAATCTAAAAATCCAATTAAACTAATTAGAAAAACAATCAACAGTCAAGACACAATTAAGGAAACATAAACAAAATCTTGTCAAGTAAAAAAGTAAACAGACTTTGACTGTCGACTTGACTGTCATCTGGTGGCAGAAATTATCGAATCAAAATTTTCTTCCATGAGATTAAATTGTTAGTGAATTTAATTGAGTAGTTTGATGATCAATTATGTTTCTTTGGATTAGGAATTTTATGGAAATGAATAGCTGAGAGAGATTGACAAATTTAGTGAGTCAGTTATTTGGTCTTTTGTAGTTTTTATCGTTCAGTTTAAATTTTGATTGGTTTTGATTTCTTAATTGTTTATCAATTAAATGTGATTTACATTTATTTTTTTATATTATTCATGATGAGCCAAAGGAAAATTGGGTAAAATAAGTGAGTTGCAAAGCAGTTAATGAGGGAAATTAAATTAAGCTCATCATCATCAATTAAAAGTTGAGCTTGAAGGAAATTAAGATTAAGCAGTTGATTGTTTTGATATGTTGAATGGCTTTTTAAAGCGAAAAAGACAATCAAATTAATTGTTTGGTAGAAGATTTAAAGTGGAAACAATAGAATGTAAATTGAAAATTCATTTCTTTTGGTTGATTAATTGTTCTGTTAACCATTGGATTCCCTCTTGTAATCCTTGCCCAGTAAGCGCATTCGAAGCCTGAATGTGCCAAGATCGTTCTTGAAGTGATTCGAGTCCAAGAGCTTGAGATATTCGAACGGAGGAAAGAGCATCCCTAAGGTCCATTTTATTGGCGAAAATGAGAATCGGAAGATGAGGTTTCGATGAGATCTCATCGTGTTTCAACATCAGGTCAAGTTCATCTTTAGCGACCACCAATCGAAGTGAATCCGATGAATCAATGACAAAAACAATCGCATGAACCCCTTTAAAATAATGTTCCCAAAGGTTTCGATAACGACCTTGACCTGACATATCGAAAGCGGAAAAGGTTAAATTGTTAACCGAAAAACTTTCAACATTAAATCCAATGGTTGCGACAATTTCTTGACTTTTATCTTCATCTTTCTTGAAATTGTTTAAAATTGTTGTCTTTCCACTATTATCCAATCCAACGACCAAAATATTAACCTCTTTCTTTCTGAGTCCAAGGTAAGATAATAATCTGGTAAAAAAGGTCATAGTAGTTAATTGTTGATTCTAATCGACACAAAGATCACTTTTCCTTCCCTGTGGACTTTTAATCCTGTAAACTGGTTCCCTTTGGTTGAGATAATCAATGGATCAAGATTGAATCCTTTAATCCAATGAGAATGATCAATTCATCAAAAACTTTTCGCTAAATTGTTCACAAATACACACGATTAAATTGAACATTTTTAATCCAATTGTGTTGATTTTACTTCACCAATCACTTGTTTCCTGGTTCTAATTGACACATCGATAGGTAAAGATTTCCATGGTTACTTTGTTGTTCATTTCTCTTGGCCTATGGTAGAAATATAAATATCCCCCTAAGGTTAAAATGAAAAATAAAGATTAAGATTAAGGAGAAAAACTCATTTCCCTTAATCATTTGAGCTTTATTTTTTGTTTGTACTTTTGCCATGATGAACACAATATGAAGGCGATAAATGTGTCAATATCATAACTTTCATGATGATCAGCTGATTAAAAGATAGTTAAAAATATATTGAAAGATTTTGTAGCATATTATCAATAATATTTTGCTAATTGTTTGACAGTTCACAAAATGGCACAATTTGTTTTGTTTATCAAAGTTAAAATATGAAACGATTATTAGTCATAAATTACTCAGATTTGTTGTTGTTGTTGTTGTTGTAATCAAGTCTCTGCATCTGAATTGCCTTAAGATTTGACTAGTGTAAATCCTGATTAAAAAACATGTAACAATTTAAAAAAATAATTCATGTTAATTTAGTATCTTGCATGTGGTTGTCGATTTGAAGGTAATCTGTGATCTCTGTATGTGGGAAAACTATTCCTACGTTCATCATGTAATAATTGTTGTTGTTGATGATAGTTAAGGTTGGGTTGTTGATAATGAAGATCTGGATGTGATTGATGATGTGAACGATGATCTGGCCGTGGATAAGGATTATAACGCTCATATGGTGAATGGTCTATTCGTCTATCAGGTCCATGATGACCTCCGTCACGATCATTGTAGTCTCTCTGTCTTCTTCTATGATAATCATCGTCTCTACGATACTCAACTTCTGATCTAAGTGTTTGTCTAAATGGTTCTGAGCCTCTGTAGGAATTATCTTCACGCCTTCGATTATCAAATCTTTCGCGATCGTCGTAATTATATCTTGATGAGTCGCGAGAAGGAGGTGAATCTAAAGCAATTACTGAAGGAGGACGAGATGGAGGAGGAGGAGGCTGAAGATGATGATAAGAACGAGGTTGATGATATTGTTGTTGTTGTTGTTGTTGTTGTTGAGGATGATGATGATGGTGGTGATGTTGAGAGTTGTGAAAACTTGTTGATGATGAAGTTGAATTGTTGTTAAAAGAATGTGATTGATTTCCTCTTCGAGATGAGAAATTAGAGCTTGGCTCGGATTGATTGGCGGAATTTGAATTACTAGGTGACCCATAGACCCCAGGAAGTGGTACCATGGGAATATCACGATCAAGCTTATTTAAAACAGCGCTACAAATGTGAGGAGGTATTGGAGTTCCGTTTTTACCAAATCGAGACCACCAGTTATGTGGTTGCGAGGCAAATGTATACTCATACTCTTTCAAACGCTGTAAATAAGCGAATGTTTCCTTTAAATAGAAAAAAAAGAATAAACCAAATTCAATGTAAAACAATGATGCTAATAGAGAAATAGATTGAATCAGAAAACACTCACTTCATTAGGTATTTTCGGTTGTAATTCAAGCTTTTTACCAAACAATTGAACCCCATCCATAAGAGCCAAAGAATAGCCAACTGATACTTGATTTTCAAACTCGATAAAAGCAAAATCAGGTTTGTGGACAACATTTCTAACAGGACCACACTAGAGGTTATAGAAAATACAGAAAATAAATCAATTAATACAAATTAAACAAAAAAAACACCATAGAGAATATAAGAAAATACTCACTTGGAGAAAAAGCTCAAAAAGTAAATTTTTAGTCACTTTTTCCGGAATATTTGTAACCTTTAATGTTCTTTCCTGTATATCATTAGAAACACCGAGTCTTGGGGCTGCCTGATTTGTACTCATCTTGAACAATTAACACAATTAACAATTAATATAAATAATTAAAGAGAATTAAGAAAAATCTCAAAATATTAGCGCTCTTATTGTTGAACAGAAAGAGAAAAATTCATCGACAGAAATATCGATACATCAGAACATCGATACTTAGTATCGATATTTTTTTCTTTTCTTGGTCAACATGATCAACTTTCTATTCACAATTTAGCAGAAATTAAGTAATCACTGAGATGGAAATTAAACTAATCCAAAATGTAGATTCATAGATGAGAGAGAAAATAAAAATTCGATCAAAAAAACTGAGACAATTTTTCTTTAATTGAATTCGAAAGTTTAAAGAAGAAAAATTTTCCTCGAATTGAAATGTTTTCCTTTTCATTTTAAATCTTTTACAATTATTTTCTTTTCATTACAATAGTTAGTTGGAAGAAAAAATTCTCTCCTAGTAATTAATCACTAATTAGATTAAATTCTATTGTTTTTTTGGTTAGAATTTGATTTTCCAATTTGGTTCAAAATTCGCGCTTATCAGATGATCGATTTTCGGTCGATTGATTCAAGAAAATCTGGTTATTTGCGATTTATTTCGTTCGATTAATTGAATCGATCGTAAATATTTATAGTTTTTTTGTTTTCTAATTTCTGTCAGTTTTTGTCTAATCTCATTGGTTGTAAATTAATTGTGCTCTTGTTGTTTGATGGTTTAAAAATGAACCCAACTGAGGCTCAACAAATGCTGGACACTTTTTGGCAGAGAGTAACAGAGGACATTAAAAATTTGGCCAATGCTGATTTTAAGAACCAAGAGTTACCCTTAGCCCGAATAAAAAAGATAATGAAACTGGATGATGATGTTAAAGTCATGGTAAAGTAAATTCTCAATCAATTCTCTTCAATTCAAATTCTTTTCTTTTTAAATTTTTTATTCTTTTTCTCCCTTAAACCCCAATTAATCCATAATTTCTCTATTGTCTGATCACTAATTTAATTTAGAATTTTCTTTTTTTTCTCTTCTCCTTTTTTGTTCTATTCTCTTTATCTGTCCCTCTCCCTTTCCCTCTTTCTCTGTCTTTCTCTTTCTTTGTTGTGTTTTCCCTTCTTCTTTTAAATATGTCAATACGATTAGATGATCTCTGCCGAAGCCCCAGTTCTTTTTGCTAAAGCAGCGGAAATTTTTATCACAGAACTTTCTCTTCGTGCTTGGATTCACACAGAAGATAATAAGAGAAGAACCTTACAACGTAATGATATCGCCATGGCCATAACTAAATACGATCAGTTTGATTTTTTGATTGACATTGTACCAAGGGACGAATTAAAGCCAAATAAAAGACAACAACAGGCTACACAAGCAACTCCAGCGGGCACAGTTGGTGGGGTTGCCTTGAATACAGTGGGAACAACGGCTGTTGGAGCCACTGCAGTAAATCCTGAACAAGTGAGTCTATTAATTAATTTGCTCACCTTGATCAATACAATCATAATTTACCTTATATATTTTTTATTTTCACAGGTACAATACTATTTCCAGCTTGCCCAACAACAAACTGCAAATCAAGCAGCAACCACAACACCAGGTCAACCCATAATAGTACAACCCGCTGGTCAAGCATTCGCCATCGCTAACGCGCCTCAACTTTTACAACTTCAATCACAAAATGATAATATTAATTACATTTTGATATGATCATCATAAATGGTAATCACATACACACAACAACTACAACAACAACAACAACAAAAAGAAGTGGGAAAATTAAAGATAAATTGCTTGAACATTTAAACCTTTACAAATCAAGAGATTTAATTGATTATCTCTTTTACACTCACACAAATTTCTCCAAAAGTTTATTTCTGATTCTTGTTTGAATCAAAATTAACGGAATTGATTGATTATAAAAACTTTTTAAACTGTCAAACAGTTAATTAGGAATCAAAAGTTACTGATAAGTGACATGGATTCAAAGACAAATCTAACGAAAAGAGAGAAAGAAAAAGAATGAGAAACAAAGTTTTTTACATTCTTTCTTATAAATAAAATTGATTAACTTTAATAATATCATAATAATGGTAATAATTAAAATTATAATAATAGAAAAAGTGAATTATTATTATAATTAATAAATAGTTTGGCGGAAAAAATGATCAAGATCTTAATTGTCATTGATGTGAAAAAAAGAGGTGAAAGAGGAAGAGTTGAAAAAAATGTTCAATGGAAATGTTTTCATTTCTTTGAGTTTTGTTTTCCTTTCGCTTGGATTGTGTTGATGTTTTCATCGGTTGTTATCTTTTTGTTGTTGATTGTTAATTGTTGATTGGAAGAGAAAAGGATATAAATTGTTGATGGTTGATTGTTTGGTTATTTTGTGTGTGGAATGGATATGAAATGTGAGATAAAAATTGATTGATTGGTTTTAAAAAAGACGAAGACGTGTTCCTCTTTTGCATGGAATGTACTTATTGTTACCTTGATATCGATAGTTTGCTAAAATAATGATGAAGATGAGGATGAGGATGAGGATGGAGATGATGATGGAAGGCTCTTACTTTCACAATACTAAAAGGCAATACTAAAAAGGCACTAAATTTTTCATCTTCTTTCCCGTGATTGTTGTGTTTCTACTGAGAGAAGAAAGAGAAAGAAAATTCTACTACCTGGATAAAGCGAGAGAGAGAGAGAGAAAGAAGGACAGAGAAAAAAAGGTAAGAAAATGGAAAGAGAAAACGTAATAGAGAGGAAAGAACAAGTCTGAGAAAAAGCAAGTTTTCTTTTTCCTTTTTTGCATCCTCATCTTGGCTTTTTTTCATCTTGCTTATTTCTCGTTCCCTTTCATTCCTTGGATTTCAAGTCATGCTGATATCTTTTTTCTTGCTTGTTTTTTTCCCCGCTTGCTTTGCTTTCTGATGAGTTTTTCCTCTCCAATGTGGCTTTTTATATGTACACTAACAATGATGATTAGTCGTCATCATCTTGATTAACATGGTTATTTGTTTCTCTCATGAAAATTTTGATTTGTTATTTATCATTAGTTTTTCTTTTGATTTTCCTTGGTCATTCTCTGTTCCACCATACTGACCAATCTATCAGAATATTGTTGTAAAAGGTTCATCGTTTGTATCATACTCTCTGGCGGTAAACTGCTTGTCGGCTCCATTGTATTTGCCATAACAGGGGTGTCACCATTGATTGGTGGTGGAGGTACAACGGTGGAAAGGTTTACATAGGCTTTGGAAATACCATCAACCAGTAAATTACATAGAGCAATATTTCCCGCCGCTGAACAGCGGTGATAAATTTTCTTTGCATAAGTGGCAATATGATTTAATTCATCGACAACATTATGAACTAATTCCATGGTTAATGGGATGGAGGCTGGATTACTTGAGGCAAGATCATATTGTTTGTCGTTTAATAGGTTCATACTTTTGTTATGCAAATTGTTGACAGTTAAATTGTTACCACCCGTTGAATTGAGCCAAAGTCCGTTTCCAGTTGAATTAGGTGACGTTAAGGTAGAACCAGCTCGTGTTCTGGGAAGTGTTTCTCGATGATCAATCATATCAAGATTATATTCACTTTTAGATGATCGAAGTTCAAAGTTACCCCAAATTTTTCGTGATTTGGGCGATGTAAGGTCAGATTGTTTGGTATTTGGCACCGCTTGGCTGGTTGATGAGCGTCTTATTTGTCGAAGTATATTAGGCTTTGGTGGAGTTCCAGGACGGAGAGTTCGAGGTAAGGCTTCTGATTCGGAAGATGTTTCCTCTTCATCTGAACTACCAGCACCTCCTCCACTAATGCTGCCATTAAGATAATCTTTACCTTTTTTCCACGATTGAGGTGGGGGAGCGCTCATACGACCTGAACTAAATTTACCTCCAGATGAAGGTAAATGTGAGACTGAAGGTGAACTCCAAAGACCCTGAGATTTTGAGCCGAAAGATGGACGAAGGTAAGACGACGATTCATGATTTCTAAGACTGGTCGAACTTGTACTTCGTTTCATCATGGAATACCCGTGACTAGAATTAAGATCGGATTGTTGTCTCTCCCATAGAGGTGCAGTTGGAGTCGTTTTAGAGCCAACTAAATTAATCGAAACAAAAGAGAAAAGTAATTAATCAGTTGAGCGCAAAGTGAAAATAATAATAAACAAATATTAAAACATCAAAATAATTATTAATAGAAAAATTAAATTCTATTAATCTTGAAAAGTAACAATTATTTAAAGGAAAAATTTTCCATTGTTATGCAAGAATTAAAAAGCGATTCACTAATTAAAAGAAAAAGAAAATTGATTATTCAATCTTACCATCGAAAAAGTTATTTGCTTGAGAGGCTGGTAAAAGTTTTCGCTGTGGAGTCAATGAAATATCGCTTAAGGAGATTGAACGGCGAATAGAATCTAAAAAGAAATTAATAGAATTAAATTAAATTAAAATAATGATCATATTTATAAACAAATATTAACAACAATTAATAAACAGTAAAAAAGAAAAACTTTAAACAGGTTAAATTGTTGAATTTAAAAAAGTTTTCTTAATGAGATAAGATTCACTTTTTAGGATTTGGCTTATCATAATCTAATTTTCTTCATAATTAGATTATTATTATCGATAATTGGTTTAAAATTGATAGATTAAGATAATTGAATTCTTACTATTTTTGGGTAAAGGTAAAGTTTGAGTATCACCAATATCCCTTAGATTGGCTACACTTTTACTTGAATTAAGGGCAGATGATCCTCCTTTCCAACCGAGCTGTAAATTAGATGATAAATGAAACAAAATGAGGTGAGTATTTTGATTGGAAAATGATTCGATAAAAGTGATTAAATAGATTTGTAGATTAATTTTCTTAAACTCATCATCATGTTAAGTCAATTATAATTATGATTTTATCGAATGGGAGATGTAATATAAAAAATGCTTTACTAAATAATAGATATCACAACTACTAATAATGATGATCAACATGATAAAAGTATTATTATAACAAGTTTATCATTCGAGGGCGCGGTACCCGAAATTAGGGTAACTCTTTTTTCATCATTAACATTTTACTGACCAAAGAAGATGAGGATGAGAGAGAGTGAGAGGCGAGTTTTAATTATTAACCTTGATTAAAGAGAGAGAGAGAGAGAGAGATAAAAAGTTTTAATGTAATATGGAAGGCCTGATTTTTGAAGGTTAATTGCAGCTTATGTGTAAGATGTTGATCAAGTTTGATTGTAATGAGGATTAAGATGATAAACAAGAGAAAGAAACATTTTAATAATCATTAAGATGATGAAAATGTAATTAGAACAAGAAATTTAAATGAAAACAATCAACATTGAATTAGACTGTATATGGATGTTGATTGTAGGTATTTGTGAGTGTGTGAAGGTTTTATTGTAATTATTATCTTCACAATAAGAGTTATTATTATCATATTAGTAACTTATTATGAATTTTATGAATAGATGAAAAATTTCACATACAAATCAAAAGATGAGATTCTCATTTTTTTTTACTTTCTATTAATAATATCAATATAATCGGATTACAGGGCATCATCATTATCGTAATCATTATTTTCAATCATTTTCATTGAAACCAAAACTTTAGTGATTTACTCATGATGATGAAAAATTCAATAATAATCATGATAAATAAGAGGTAGTAAGATATTAAAGTTATAGGAAGGAAACAAGGGAAATGATGATGATGATGATCAATATGAAGGAAGACAAAATAAAAATTAAGCTGACACACGAGCTGTTTGTTGGGTTACATTGTTACCTGTGATGTTCAAGTTGATATAATGTAATGAATTGTAATTATTATAATTGTAATCATCAGGCTAAAGAGATGATGGTTTTCATAAATAATACACTAACTAATAACAACTATTGGGTAACTTTACTTAAATGAATTGGCAATATTTTTTCCCTTTCCTTCAAAGTTAAAGTAGAAAAAGTTTGGCAAACTTAATTTCTAATTCACTATTATGTATATTAACCTTTTCTCCCTTGTTAAACTTTCATTTCATTCAGGATTTCATGGTAATTGCGATGGAATCTCATGAAAAGAAAGCAAAAGAATCTTTTAAGTGGTTTTCATTTTTTTTTGTAGAGCCATCGATGTTTTTTTTCTCTCTCTCTCTCTATTAACTATTCTATTCTTTAACAACAATCAACAATAATATCGTAAACTTAAGCTGATAAATAAGCAAATAACATCTTTTTTTTGTGAGTATGTGATGTAACCGGATGAGGTGAGATATATTTACATGAATACTATGAATTAATGGATGGATGAATAAGATGATCCATCAACAAATTGCATGTAAAAAAGGGTTCCCTTAACATATTATCAGGTTTCAGTTAAATTGTACACCTTGACCAGTCAAGTCCGGCAACAATAAGATAGAGAAATAACAATAATAATAATCACAATCAAACATCTACACACAAAAGGTTGTGCTAATATTTTTAATTTCTAGATTAACTGTCATTGATTTAGAAGTTTGTATAAGAGAAATGATGAATCATTATTGATTATCATTAATAGAAATATGATGATGATGATGATGATGATGATGGTGGTGGAGAGTAAACAAGACAGATAAAAAAATTTAATAAACATTAGACTAAATAATTTAGTGAATGTTTCTTGTTAGTGTAATGAGTTGTGTGTGTAAGGACAATTAGGATTAAGTATGAACACGATGATGATTGTTAATAGTTATTATATTAATGAAATATAAAACTCAATGGATAAGGTGAAATTAAAGGTCATTCCAAAAGCATGAAGTTGGATTTTCTAAATTACAAAGTTAAATTGAAGAGAGAGAGGTAGAGATAGATGGAGATGGATGAAAAAAAGAAGACCCCATTAAACCGTGATGATGAAGCAAAGTGTTCACCGGGAAATATGTTTCTTCTTCCGGCTTGTCATGATGTTATAAGTCATCATTAGAGTTAGCAAATTATTGGCTGATCAACCATTATTTGTGTTGATTATTGTTGTTGTTGTGATGGTGGCGAGGATAATGTTCATAGGTTTCAAAGGTTTGATTTTAAAAATGAAATTTAGGAAGATGAAAAGATGAATATCATGTAACAACATCATCATCATCATGACAGAAAAAAATGATTGAGGGAAAATCATAAAACGGGTAAAGAGTGAAAGAGAGAAAAAGAGAGAGAGAGGGAGGATGAGAAAGTAGAAAGATGAGATTGTATTTTTTTTCCTTCATCTCCAAACACAAATAATAATCTAATTTGAAACTATAAAATTATTACATCTACAGTCAATTAAATATAACCTGTCAATTATTTACATTATCATCATGGATGATCAATATTTCAAAATCTTATATGATATTGTCATGATAATTTAAAATGATATCCTAATATGATTATACTTTTTCCCTTTGTATACTATCCTTCATTAAGGTGGCACCTCTTGAGTTGTCACTTAATGTTGATGAATTATTATTTTGTCCTGACGACAATGTAACATATGAAGGATGATGATTATGATGATTAAGTTGATGATGATGTAAAGATAAACGGACGAAGATAAAACTTACTGTTTCCAGTTTTTTTCTTGCTTCACTGATGGCTTTAGTTAACTCTTCGCGTCTCTTGGTAAGAGGAGGTTTCAGGGTTGACGTCGATCTAGGAGTTCTGTAGGCTGTTGATGGTGATGAAGATACTTGTGGTGTTGTAGGTTGAGATGATTGAGATAAATATCTTGCTGATATGCTTGATCGATTCTCAGATTCAATGTTATTTGATGAAATAATATTATCACTTTCAACTGAAACATTATTCATCTCTTTGCTTAACGTTTCAAAGTTGTTTTTCATGAAACGTTCACGTTGATCAAGACGATCAAGATTTTCGGTACTAATGTACAACGGGTTTCTTGTTATAATTCGACCACTTCGATCACTTTCACCACCGGCAGTGCCCGAGTCTTCATCATCACTGTGCAATTCATTGAAATTGGGCACACTCACTGAGGGAACTAAACCACCGCCACCGTAACGGCTTAGGTTACTTTTACTTCGTCGGAAACGTCGTAATCTATCCTTTAATTCATCCTCATTTGTTTCACGAATCTCAAAGGTTGACCCACGGATCGATTCACTTTGAGGATAATAGATTAGATCACTACTATCGGTGGTTATATTTTCCTCCTCTTCATCTCTTTGCCAACTACCACTGGCTGATGAAGAGTCGGTTAAATGGCGAGATCGTCCATAATGTCCATCTTTACCTGATGATGTATCAATTTCATCATTTGCTGGAGATTCTGATTTACTGTTATTTAAATTGGGATAAGGTATGATAGCATCATTGGTAAGATAAGATTTAACGACTAGATTAGGAGTGTTTTCTATCCTCTGAGCCCATCTTCCTTTAGGTTGCAAATGAGCGGGAGCTGCTGATGAAGGTGGAGTACCATTATTATTATTACCAGGTGAAGATGAAGGTGATTCATCTGATTTACCATTCTTATCATTCATTTGTTTCTTTGCCCAAGAGGGTAAAGATTTAAGGTTAAATCGGTAAGGAGATGAGGATGCTGAACCATTTCCAGATCCATTGGTTGTTGTAACATTTGGTGATTTCTCATTTTCCAAAGGTAATGATTTATTAATTATATTGGCTGGTTTTTCGGGTGGAACCGGTGGTAAGCCTAGTTTAGCTGCTATTGCATTGGCCATTTCAAGTGGGAGTTTCCAAACAAATATACAGCTGTCACCAGATACAGATATAAGGTAACGACCATTGAATGTAAACTTAAGGCCAGTAATAAGCTCAGAGTGACCATTAGAGGTTGCCATGCAATCTCCTGAGGTCATATCATGGACGTAAAGACTTTTATCCGTACATGAAGCGGCGACAAAAATGCACGCCGGATCTAAGGCAACTTTGATTAGTGTCCCATCATTACCCAAGGAACCATCGATTACATGAACATTTTTACCTGTTTCTGCATTATAGACACGAACTGCTCTATCTTGACAAGCAGTGACCACTGAAAATCGTCCACGGTCAACATCCATATCGTAAAGGGTACTTTTACCAACTACATGATGTTCACGGACAAAGTTAACTTCATCATTATTTAAACTATTTTGACGGAAGATGATTGATTTATCGGCACCACAACTTATCATTTTTAAATTACGTTTCTCTATATCGGGAATAAATTTCACTGCTGTAATGGAAGATGAATGGTCACCTAAAGTTTGCACAGGTGAATAATTATTTTCAACATCAAACACATGGATAAGTCGATCACGAGATGCTGAAGCTAAAAGATGACGTCCATTGGGTAGTTGATCAGAATATTCAACTGATAAAACTTCAGCATTATGAGCTTCAATTGAACACTTTTCCTGTTGACTTGCGAAATCAAATATTCTTATATTACCCGATCGATGACCGGAAGCAAGATGACGACCATCAGGAGAAACTTTAATACAACGAACACCATTTTTAGAATCAAATATATTCTCATTCTTATCCGAATTGGAATCACCACTTGCTTCTGGATTGATATCTGGATCACAAATGTAGGTTAACTTGGGATCCATGTAAAAAATTTTCAATAATTCTTGTGAAAAAATATTCTTCTTGTAAACATATGAATCCGCGGAAATATTATTCAAAGGGTTGATTGAATCTAAATTCCAAACTCTAACTGTATCATCACTGGAACAGGTTATAAAGGTTCCCGGTGGTAAAAGTTGTTTGGCACTGACCTTTGCATTAGGATAAGTCTAAAGGTTACGAACAAAACGAAAAAAAAGTTCGAGAAGAGAAAAAAAGAAGAGGGAAAAAAATGAATAAAGTTAATCAATTATTAAAAATTTGACAACAGTTAAAGTAATGATTGACAAGAAAAACACTAAATCTTTTAACTCGCTGATTAATCAATCAACTGATCAATAGACCGGATAATTTTCTCAATAAACACAAGTATAATTGTTCTTTATGTCTATCGAAAAATAAACAACAACAACAAAATAAAAGAGACAAGATTAAGGGGAAAGTTGTCAATGTTTGTAAACACGAAGGTCTCAAAGTTTAATTTACTTTGATTGTTTAACTAGTAAATATGTTATTCAATTCAAGAATTTAGTAAGAGAGAAAGAGAAACGACTTACCTCAATACCCCAAATACAGGCACTATGGTACAAGAATGATCTCGATTTACCGACACGCTTGAGATCTCGGATATCCCAGATATACATACTATGATCAGTGTAAACACAGGTAACCTTTTTATTGATCTCATCAAGACTGATGGCAATGGTTGATGGGAATTTAGGATTAGAGCCAAAGGGTGAATTAGTCCCATTACCACTACCATTTGGCCCTGTTTCATTTCGGTTTAAACCTTTCGCAATATCAATACCCAAGGTGTGAGGCCTCGGAAGGGTACAGATAAATTGAAGGTTGACAGGATTGAAACATCGGATGATTCCATCAGCACATCCAACACAAATTATATTATGTCCAGTACTTAGACAATTGGCACTTGAAGTCTAATATAAAAAATATATCGAAAAAAAAAGGTTAATATTACAATAGTTTGATAATAATAAACAAATGTTTTGATAGATAATGAAGGTAATAAAAAAATCGATGAATAGAAATACAATGAATATCATATGATAACAAAAAAGATGTTCAACAAAAGAGAAAGAGAGAAGATAAATTCAATGATGATAAATGTAAATTGAAAGGATAACTTGACAGGTGAATAAAGTTTGAATATTATAAATAATGATTATGTATTTAGGAGGAGTGGGTGTAAGTAGTACGTGAATGTCGCAAATCAGTGTTAATCATAACAATTAGTAAAAAAGAGAGAAGAAAAAAAGTTTCATTTTTTTTCGTGTTGGAAGTTTGTTAGTCACAATTCGTTGCTTATTTTTCACTTATAAGAGACGAAAGGAATAGTTTTATTGTGTTGTTTTTATTTCTTATTCAAAAACTACTAATTTGTCCTTTTATTTATTTTTTCCTGTCTTTCTCTTTCTCTCTCTCTCTTTAATCTTCTAAGCTAATATCACTTATATGATAGCCTTGATTTTTTTATAAGTAATAGTATTAATACGTATTTAAAGGTGAGTGATGCAGTTTTTTTTGCTGTGTCTTAGCAATAGTAATAATGGTAATTGTTAGTAGTTTAATGATAAGAGAGTGAGATTAAGTGATTAGATTGGATGAAATGGAAAAATATTGTTAAGGTTTGTTTTTTATAATTACCCTTAATTCAACCCATTTATCAAGAAGACGTCGATTATTAAATTCACATAGAAGCCCAGAACGAGCAATGGCAAAGGTACTTTCAGCGGCCTCACCAAGGCCACATGCAACATCACAGAAATAGTTATTCCTTTGGTCACCCAATATTGCTGATCTACCCATTAAAGGGGCAGTGTCCATTTTACTTTTAGGTGACTTTGAATATTGAAGATACCAAAATTTAACATGTCTATTACCAACGGTGACGAAATATTCACCATTTTCACTAAAAGATATTGCTTTAACTTTACATGAGACGGTATTTGAGGCTATTTTAATATCATTCTGCCAATCCCAAACATTGACCATTTTATCACGATGAGATCCAATGGAGACTACATATTTCATGTTAGGTGAAAAAGCCTAAAATGGAGAAAGAGGAAAATATATATATAAAATTAAATAGAGAACGAAAAAGGAAGAGATTAAAATTGAAGTGAAAAAGAGAGAGAATGAAAGAAAGAAGAAAAGTGAAAAAGGTGTAAGCATAATGGCGATTAATTAATCGAGTAACCTTGAGCTAAAAATGGAAACTGACCGAAAATGGGTCAGTTTAAGAAGCAAATTATTTAGACAAAATTAGGAAAGCTTAAGAACAAAAGGTTGAGGAAAGAGCTAGAAATTAGCTAAAATGAGAAAAGAAGGGATAGAGAAAGAGGAAAGGTAATCCTTAAGAAAGAAAGAGAGTGAGAAACCTGAGAAAGGCTGCTTTCTGAGCCGGGATGATGATGATGATGATGAAAAGGAAGAGAGAAAGACGGAAAAGTTAGGGAGGAAAGGCTATGTGATAAAGCTTGTAATCTGATTGAAGAAAAACATACACTGACAGACAGAGAAGGGGAGAGACAAAGATGTCAAAATGTTGACATAAAGTTTCATCAAATAATCGAAATGAGTCAAAATAATAACAATAAAAGAGCAAGAATTGGAAAAGAGTTAACTTACAACACAATTGATTCCATACTTGTGTCCAGAAGAAAAGGCAACTTGTTGACCAGTTGATAAATCCCAAACACGGACACAAGGGTCATTACCACATTCACCGGTGGCAAGATATTTACCATCCGTTGAAAGGGAAAGAGATGTGATACTTTTAAGTGTTCCATTGATGATGTGATATTGTTTATTTCGTTTGATATTATAAACAACTACCACAGATCCAGCGGGATAAGCGACATTACCAGAAACCGAATTAGTGTCAAGAGCACAATTATTGCATACAGTTAATCCAAGAACTTGTTCCAATTTCATCTTGGATTATGTCTTTTTTTTCAATATTTATGATAAAAGGAGGGAATGGTGATGATGATAAATATGATGATGGTGGAAGAAACAACGTTGTCTTACAAGGAATAATCATCAAAAATACTAAAAAGAATAGAAGAAAAATCAAAAATAGACAAACAAGCAAAGGATAGAGAGAGAAAGAAAAAAAAAAGTATAAGGTAAGAAAATCAAATTTTCTGTACAAGAGATTTAGCAAAATGTGTGTGTGGTGATGAGAGAGAAAAAGAAAAGGTAAAAGAGAAAAGAAAATTAGTTGCAGGATATTATTGGATAAATAGATTTTTCTTTCAATATAAAGATGAAGAGATGCTGGTAATGAAGAGACACAAATTAAGGTAAATTATAAGAAGCAAAATTAAAAGATTAATAGAAAAATATTAAAAGCTAGAACCCACTCACAATAAATGAAACAAAAAGTTAACTAATCTAAAAAAAATCAACTTTACCTGAATATCATTTCTTGTAACCAAACCTTGATTACACATCATACCAACGAAACAGTAACCGCCATCTTTAGATTAACTTTCAATTATATTGTTAATCAATCCAGAGAGAGGAAGAGAAAAAGATTAACAAACAATTTAAATTAAGAACAGAAATTAAGATTAATAATTAGAAATTAAAAATTAACAAAGGAAACAATTAAAAGATTCCAATGAATACAAAGACAAGATTAATGAGGAAATTGAATGAATTTGAATTTAAAATGGAAAAGAATAAAAATTCGATTAATCGAAGAACATTTTTTCGATACATCGAACACCTTTTTCTCTTTTTCGGCTTCTCCTGTTTGAGAGTCGAACGTAAGCCGAAGCTGAGAATAAGCTGATGATCAGTTAGTAAGTTTTTCTTCATCAGAAAATTAATCTTTAATTGTTTGTTGTTGTTTCTCTTGTTTCAATCTGATCACAATTAGTTAATCTGTTTCTCATTAATTTTCTCAGCAAATCTACTTATTCAATGGATCAAATTTTAATTCCTTGGCCGGTGTTTCCATCATCTTGATAATTTCTCTTCCATCATAACAATTGGATTTATCATCATCATCATCTAATATTTTTTTTTATTTCTACTCTTCATCTTAATTCAGTTTATTTTTTTTCTCTCTTTCTCCTTTTTCCTCTCTCTCTCACTTTCCTCATCATCTTCTCCCCAATCTCTTTCACCTCATCTCCATCTCTCTTACTCTTTTTTTTTCATGATCTTTCTCCTTTCCAACTAATACTTAGTTTCACTTCTCTTTCTTTTCTTTTCTTTTCACTTGTCTCTCTCTCTACTTCTCTCTTTTATTTGTCTCTCTTTTTCTTTACTCGACTGTAAATGGTGGTGTTTATATACTTCATCTAACGTATATATCCAATTGAAAATGAGAAACAAAAAATGTTAATCTTATTTAGGTCATCTTTTCCAATTTAACTTACAATTTCGTCACTTTGTGCAACTTGGTCAATCGGGTGAACCCTTGATGGTGTTAATCTTTCACTATTATCATTATTTTAACTTTAAATCAATTGAGATAAACATCAAATCAATTGCGTGTTTGTGTCTACACAACCCTAAGATATAAAGGTAAGGCTTAAAAAGATTTTCCTGTTACACCTAAGGTCTATTTCTAATCCCAATCAAACTTTGATTTCATCATATTTTTCATTCTTATTTCTTTTTCTGTTTCATCATTTAATTGACGTTCTATAAATCTTATTGTTTTCCCCATTCAATTGTCATTTAGTATGTTTGGAATATTTTTTTTCTATTTATTGTTATTCAGTAACTAATTTTATCTCTTTTTTTTTCTTTCTTTCAACTTTTATAGCAATTTCTTTACTCATAAATTCTAATATACATCAACCCTTAGTGATCCTTATTGACCCGTTGAAATTATTCAAGATGACGGATATTTTTTCATGCCAATCTTGCGGCTTAGAGCAAAGATACAATGCTGTTCTTCATAAATACGATAAAGTGGTCAAAGAATGTGCTGAACTGAAACAATCTCTGGCTAAAGTTCAAAGTCAACGAGATGAATATATTAAGGAAATTAATCAAGTGATCACAGCTCGTTTAAAAGCAACTCAAGATTTATCCAGAATGACCGAAGAAAGAAACTCAGCTATTCAAGAATATAATCTTATCATGTCAGAAAGGGACACGGTGCATAAAGAGATTGAAAAATTACAAGAAGAATTAAGTGAAAATCAAAAAAAGTTAACTACTCTTCAAGAGGAGAAAATTGTAAACATTGAACAAATTGACAGTTTAAAACGTGAGATAACAACAGTGCTAATTGATCGTGATCGTTTATCCAAAAAGATTCAAGAAGATAGAGCGAGATATGGTGATTATGAAGAAGACTCTGTTTCGCCTCTCCGATCACCTCCTTCATCTGTTAACAACAATACAAACTCTAATTCAAACAACAACACTAATCATAATCACAACCACAACAATAACAGCAACAACAATAATAATAATTCACACAATCAATGGGACTCTTCATCTTCAGGTATCTCTTCCTCATGGAAACAGACCAGTTTAGCTTCAATTGGAAGTCATGGTCAATCGCAATTAAGTTCATCAAGATTAGATTCAATGGAACAGGTTAACGTTGAAATTGAAGTTCGTCGACAAAATGAACGCTTACAACGGGAATTAATGTACTGTCACAGTGAAATTGAGATACTTAAAAAGGAAAGAGATGCCGCTCTTGAGTTTAAAGAGAAAGTTGCACTTGAACGGGAAAGCATGAGGACACTTTGTGATAGATTACGAAAAGAACGAGATCGAGTTGTTTGTGATTTAGCTGAAGCTTTACGAGACTCTGATGATATGAGAAAACAACTTAACGATTCACAAAAGGAATTAAGTGAATTACAAGAAAAATTAGAGAGCGATAAAGGTTGTGGTAATAATATTTATCAAGATCAAAGTTGTTCATCACTTTCATCAACTCTTTCATCTCCAACTCACATTACTGATTCTCAACAACAAGTTCCCACTTCACCAACACCCACCCTACTTGATAGAGCTTATAACAAGATATATGGAGTAAGAAGATCTCGTAAAACAATTGATGTTACACCCGAACAAGAAGCTCGTGAAACATTGGCCTCTCTCGATAAAGTTTTAGCCGATTACTCCAATCAAATAAAAGTTGCCAAAAAAGCTTTAGAAAAATCTCAAAAAGAGAAAGAAAGAAATGGCGGAACATGGCCTAAATATCGTGGACCTCAAATTCTTAAACTATCCGAAGATGAAAAGTTAAACGGTGGTCCAACCATGAGATCAATTAATCGTAAAGGACGTAAATCTCTAACTGTTTTTAATCCAGTTATCAAGACAAATAATGATTTAACATATAATCATTTATCAAAAGGAGAATCATCAGTAAACGAACCTAAAAGCGGGTCTACTTCATCATTTAATCGGCTTGAATCAAACAATTTCCCCATTTATGATAAGATAAATGAACAACCGCCTCCAACAACATCAACAATCAATGATTATCACTCTAATTCTTCTCGTAGTACTCCATCCAATTCATCAACACCGATACCAATTAGTAATAATGTCCTTACACCATCAGAGAAAATATCATCAACCGATCTCCATCCAGAAACATCTAATTGCCTTCACAATTATGATTCACTACGAGAATCAATTAATTACCGTTCACGAGGTAAAGCCGATTCCATAGATTATTCAGTTGTTTCTGCTCAAATTCAATCCTATCGAGAGAGAAAAATTGGTGACAGTAATTATCGTCGAGCAAATAACAGTACGAAGTTAAGACCACACTCAATTCACGATGTTCTCTCTGATGCCTTTAGTCGGACAACTTTGTCTCTCTCAAATCCATTATCATCTCTATCAACTTCCGATAATCACTCACAACAACAACAACAACAACAACAACAACAACAATCACAATCACAACAACAACAAAATCATCACCATCATCAACAGCAATCATCTCATGACTCTTATGAACTTGCACTATCTAAACCCTCCTTACCCATACCACCAACTCGATCACCAGGTGAATCTATTGGTCTTTTCCGTGTTGCTCAACCTCTAAATAAAAGACCCTCAGTCTTCACGAATCATGTTCACCCTGTATCAGGATCGTTGCCTTCATCATCTTATCACAATTCACCAAATTCAATTTCATCTTTGACTCGGTCACATCATTCACCATCATTATCAATTAACCAAACTCTCCCACCTCGTTGTTCACCAAATTCACCTCATTCTCCAATCTATAATCCTCATTTATCCAGAACAAATGATTCAGGAATAATTTTAAGTGAACAAAATCGCCTTTACGATCTTCCCACCACAATTAGTACTTCCGGAACAACTTCCACCCTAACCAATAGTAATAACGTGAATAATAATAACCATCATTATAGCAATAGTATTGTTAGATCGATGAGCTCATACCAACCAAGTGTCGCTAAATTAGCAGTTAAAGATAGTCACCATGAAAATAATCGTTACTCAAATGCATCACCAACATTATCATTAGGATCTGATTATCCCAATTTAATAAACATACCCCGAACCTCATCTTCCCATCATCACCATCATCCTCATCATTATGGTCAAGCTTCACTTCACATACCCCAAACAAGTATTTACACTGGCGTTGGTATGGGCTATAAAAGCGACGAAAATGAAAGTGATTTTGTTTCCTCTTACGATAGACTGTCAACATTTCCAAAGCGAAGTGCTCGTATAAGAATACCCTCTAATCCAAGTGTAACTTCAACATGTTCCAGCGGTAAACTGTCCACCAGTTCAATTGAGAAAGTGGCATCTTCAGCTCACTCTGACCGCGGAAGTCCAATATCTTTTAACGTTGAATGGTTAAGCTCTGGACGACGGCATCGAAACGCAAATGACCTGATACCTTGTCCTGGTGATATAAGACATATTGAGATAAATCGTAGCTCAGGTACCCTTGGTATTAATATAACCTCCTGTTCAGCGGGCGTTTTTGTCACCACCGTTGAAAAGGATAGTCTTGCTAATCAATCGGGAATCCAAATTGGTGATCAAATATTGGAAATATGTAGTATCAATATGCGAAACGCTGGTTACGATCATGCGGCCAATATCCTTCGTCAATGTTCAGAAAGACTTAATCTTCTTGTGCAATATAATCCAAACAAAATGGTAGCTAATAAACAATCAACATTAAGTCAGGTCAATCATAATTAAAACATCGAGACGAAAATCAAAAAAAAAGTTACAGACTGGAAAGTGATACTATCAGAGAGAGAGAGAGAAACAAATAAAAAAGGACAATAAGACGACAACGATAATTAATCAACACTAGATGCTCACAACAACTTTTCTTTATTGCAATTTAAATGATAGACATAATTTTTCCCCCTTTTTGATCATCACAATTAAGAAAATTAAGAGGAATCATATACAAAGAAACAAAAGGATATTTTTTGCTTCCTTTCAACTTAATCTTTTCTCTTAAATATCAAACTTAATGACTGGTTTTAAATTACGAAGAATTCATTTCAAGGTAATTTACCTATTAATTGATTGTTATCATGTTACATAATTTTTGACAATTTACTAATTTACTTTTTGCCTTTTCTCTTACCTCTTCAAGACGATCTATCAACATTAACCAGAATCACTCAGACATGGAAAGAGTTTTCAAAGTTTTTTCCTTTCACTGTACATCCTGATAGCTATTTTGATGATATCCAACAATTAACAAGAAACATTTATGGTTAAATTAATGATCTTCTTGATTAACATCGATCCATTGATTGATTTGGATCTAGTCTTTAATTGTTTCTTTTTTTCTCCTACTCTTAAATTGGAGGAACTAATTTTTCCACTTTTGCTCAAGCAACAATCGTTAACTCAATTTCTAATTGCTTTAAACATACACAAAGTAATCAGTCGCCTTCTTCTTTAATCATGTTAATCATCTAAAGAAATTAACTCTTACCTGTTGACATTATCATCATCTACTAAATTACAATTAATTTTTATGCACATTTCACAATCATAATTATATATAAATTCAGCTCATCCGAACCGTTAATTGATCTACATTTCAACGCAACGTAAGTTAATAATCTAAATCAAATTCAATTTATCCGCAGAATAAGTGTCATTAGACTTTTAATTCTTACTTCAATTAATTAATTAGTCAATCGAATTTTCTTTTATTCTTTTTTAAGGTGAACGAACCATGGAAAAGTTTTTGGCATCAGTTCATCTGTATTAGTATTTATTTATATTCTATACCTGTTTACATCATTACATCATCTTCCTCATCATCTCGCCAGTATGGATTTTAGTAACAACGACCTAAGTGAGGGGTAATTCTTGTGAGGAGATCGATTATCATCAACGGAGAATCCGTCACATGGCCTCCGTTCAATGCAATGGCTTTAGATGGACCTAAAGTTAGATGGAAAAGCGGAAGTCTCTGTATCAAAATGCTATTTGAAAATCTATTGCTCCCGAAACCCCGATGCTATTGAGAAACAACAATTAGCAAAGTTTTTCGCTATTATTTTAAATACTGTTATGTTGATTGACTCTTTACTCTGATGGTAAAGCTTTCAAAGGTAATTCATTTGATTCTTAATTATTAATACATTTGAATATTTTTATTAATTTGACATTATCTCTTTATACCATAAGCAGCAAGAATTAAGGATGTTGGCGGGAAAGCTTTTAATCATTTGAAGGACATTGGTATCTTATCGATAACTTGATTGCTTGATTAGATAAAAACACTCGTAATTAATCAATGTGAAGAAAATTTCTGTTCAAGAGTCCAACCAATTTACCAAAGATGTAATCCCCGAATAGAGATATTTTCAATCCATTACATTATGGATTATATTTCAACTGATCTACTGTCCATAAACGGAAGGTGTTAAATACCAGACGAGGTCAGAACGACCGATAAACACAGTTTCGAATATAATTCCTATTTATGGTTTCATTTTCGATTTTCAAACCAGAATTAACAACGATAATCACTGAATGATTAAAACTAAACCATTATTTTACCTTCTACACGAATGAAAAATACAAAATGTAGTAAAATTGGACTTTTCGACCGTATAAACAGTTACTTTGGACCATTTTTCATCTGAAATTTGGGTCTAATTTAAAATCGGATTACCAATTAGACTCAATTGATGTAACAGTTAGCTTAAATTCAATCTGGTAAACTTGATAACTTTTACCTGCATGTAAAATTGTTGAATGTAAACAAGCTGAATACAATGATTTATGAATTTATTATATAATTTACACCAATGATATTCACTGAATTATCAGAATCGATTGATTGATTTAATCGAAAAGTTTTGTTTATTATTATGACAAACGATAATAATTAATAGAAAAAGAAAAGGAATCAAATTGTTAATTTCTAACATATTTATCAACCACATCGATGGCCCTTCGAACCGCTTCACAATCATCATCACTATTTTCATCTTCTTCAATTCGTTTACCAAAAACTGTCTCTTCCTTAATATCGCTAATGTCCCATACACACAATTTACCCAAAAGATCACAAGTGAAGATACGATTGGCAGCAACCTGTTAATCAAGAAGAAATTAAAACAATTAGTTTAATTGGGAGCGAAAAAACCATTGGAAATGTTGACACCTGAAGTCCAGTTATCGATTCTTGGTGTCCATGTAAACTTTTCCTCAATGTACCCGATTTGGAATCAAATATATTCGCAATACCATCTCCTAGGCCAACACAAACTGAATTAAAAATCAACAATGAACAAAATTAAACTTGATCATCATACGAATACACAATCAAATTGTCAACTGTAATCAGAACGAATCTAATGAGAAATTAGCAAAATTCCAATGGTATAAACTCGTGCTCAACAAAATCCATTAAGAACAATGGAAACTAATTAATCATTTAAAGTTAATCATGATCTGCATTTTAATCTAGAGAAGAAGAAGAAAAAAATCAATTTTAATCACTCGACTAATTTGGTTGGTTAACTTTTTTTCACTCATTCAACTGAACTGAACTGGAAAACCAACATTTGTCCATTGACCTTTTCTAAAAGGTTATAAAACTGGACATAGATTGAAAATCGTAAAGGTGAACAATTAAATGGACTTGTTAATCAACGTTTTAATTACCATTGCAATAGAAATGAAATTGTATTTAAAGTTTAAATGATGATGAAAAAATCGTAGAAAAGGAAATGCTCAAAATAGAAAAGGAAAAAATATCTTCTCAAGAAAAGTAAAGTGTTTATTTTCGTGGTTCCTTTTCCTCCTTCGTCTTTTTTTTTCTTCTTGTGGGAATATATTTTTCTCTCGGAGAAAATGTTATAAATCGTATTCTCTAAGAAGAGAATAAGGTAAAGAAGATGAAGGAAGATGAAGGAAGATAAAGAGACGAAATAAAAGGATAGGAAATAAATACAAGGAAGAGAAAAGAAAAGTCCACAGACGAAAGAAACTGGAATGAACTTTAAACTCTCTTCTTCTTGTTATTATTATTCTTCATCTTCTTCCCAATCAATTAACTAATTTGAGAATTAAATTGCCATAGAGAGAGAGAGAGAAGGATACAGTTAATCGACAATCAATTGATTTCCAAGTTACCAAAGGGAGAAGGTAAAGAAAAAGATCTTAAATCAATCATGTTTGTTATGATTTTCTCACTTGGAAATGTTATTCAATTTAAAGAGGAGATTTTAATTTATGGAGAGAAACATAAAAAAGTATATAACTCATTTTCCTGAGATAATGTTTCATTCAAATTCCCAGAAAAAATGATGATGATGAAGATATAATGATGATAAGAATAATAATAATAATAGTAATTGAAGGGAGAAGATTTTACCATGACTTGAAAAGGAATTGAAAAAATGAAGAGAAAGTTTTAATTTGATTTTATCCCTGAAGGTTAACCAAAAATTTAGAATCACGGTTTATGGTTATTAACCATTAACTTTTAACTAATAACGAGCGAGAAACTAATTAAGCAACAATTTACTGGTTCCTGATTAATTTATTATTACTTTTTGTTTCTCATTTGGTTTGTTTGGTTAGCATTTGAAAATGAATTGATCAAGGAATCGGATTAATTTACCTAATCCGTTGTAATATTGGACCAAAGAGACACCACAAGAATTACCATGAAAAACTCTGACACATTCACCAAATTCAATGACCCAAGCTCTAACTGTCCGGTCATTTGAACCAGAAAACAGCATTCGATTGTAGGTAGTACATGAGATGACCGGTCCAGAATGATCTTTCATCACCTTCACCGATTCCCCTGTAACCGCATCCCAACTGATTAATTTACCATCGCCCGAGGCTGAGATAAATTGTTTACTATTTAAAGGGTCAACAAGTAAACTGAATATTGGTGCATAGTGGTCAGTAAGAAGCTTCAAACAATCGCCATATTTAAATGACCAGATTCGTATGGTACAATCAACCGAACCCGTTACCACAAGGTCAGTTTCCAATATCCGTCCAGTGTAATCAAAGTCCGAATCGGTTGGAAGAAAAATAATTGGATAAACACTTTTGGTATGACCCTAAGAAATTAATAATCAACAATTAACCAAACAACACCAAAGGGTTAAAAGTATTAATCAATCTAATTGATGAAACGAAATTGTGATGATTACTATTGATTAGAAACTTTAATTACCTTGTATGTTTGGAAACATGGACTTAATCGAGTTAATTGTTCTTTGGTTAATCTATCAACATTACACAGTTTCGGTTTATTATCGTTAACCAGATCAATTGAATCTTCATCTTGATCGTCGTCAAAATCATCATAAGGAGTTATAACTACATTGGAAATCCAAACTTTAGCAGTTTTATCATACGAAGTGGTGAATAGAAAATTAGATTTAATCATAATCCGATTAATCTTGGAAGAGTGACCAATGAATATGAAGAGACAATCCATCGTCTCTATTGACCATTTGCGAACTGTTTGGTCAACCGATCCCGTGTAAATGTACAAATTGTCAATCGTTGAACAAGTGATTCCAGCCTAAGAGTAAACGGGAATAATGTAACGAATCAATTGGTCAACTAATTAATTACAATTCTAACCTCATGTCCAACAAGTTTACCAATTATTTCCGTTGGTGTTGAAAAAGTACTCAACACAAGGGCAACTCCAGTTTCTCCGGCAATTACAATCATTGACCGATCATCACTTATCTCCATTAAATTAATTGCTCCGATATTTGTATCAATATCTTCAATTAGATTGTCAGATTTGTTGGTAACTGTACTTTTAATTGATCCACAGCCCATCTTACCCAGCATAACTGATTTAACAATTAACTTAAATCACTGTTCACTCATGATTGTTTGAAAAACGGTCACTTGTTAATTGTGATCTAAATTCATTAATAATTATCATCGTACCTCCAACAATTTACATTACTTGATTAAAATCACTTGATTGTAATAATATGAGAACAATTAAAGAAACTGATCAACTTAATTTAGTTTGAATATCAAAATTGGTTAACTTAATCAATAACATGTAAATAAATTGAGTAATAAACTTTTGATTTGTTGGTAAATTGTTAAAGAGAGAGACAATAAATAACTGAATCAAAATGGGAAACCTCAAAATCAGAGGAGTTAATTGTGTTGTTATAATTAACGATAACCATGGTTACTTTTGATTCTTGCTAATTATATGCAATATTAATGCAACAATATAATCAAATGTTAATCAAGTCAATGATTCTGGGTCAATTTGATAAACATAAACCTCTAGTTGATTGTTGATCACAATTTGTTGGATTAATTTGTTTCTCTCATCAATAACAATCAGGAAAAGCTAATAAATTGTTTATATTACTTTTCATTTGCAACAATTTACCTGATTTCACCTTGAACACAATCAAGAGGTTATCATGAACACTGGCAATTTGTGAATAATCAACATTAATCAATGATAATCATCTCTCACACTCAAGCAAACTGATTACAAGATAATTAAATATCCAAAGTAGTGGTCAGTTATTATTGACCATAAACTCTTGATTGTTACTTAATCTCAATGGGGCTTTTTGTAAGTCCAGTTGATGGTCAAGACCTGGAAATGGGTGTGATCACATTTGGGAATCTTTATTATTATTATTTCTTATTCGAAGAGGAAAAAAAAGGTTAACCTGGAAACGAAAAAATAAAAAAAAAGATTCCATTGGTTCCTTTGGATTCTTTTGGTCAATTATAATGACCAACAAATTCCCGTGTGAGTATTGACCAAAAGAGTTTCTCTTTCTTTTCTCTCTTCCTTCAATTCCTTTCATCATCCATAGATATGAAAGAGAATGAGAGAGAGGCAAGTGACCCACCCCACGATCACCAATAACCCATAACAACCTAGAAGAAGATGAAAAAAGAGACTCACCTTTCACCTTATCTTCCCGGTCAAACCTTCATCTTCATCTTCTTGTTGTGTAAAAAAAACTATTTGTTATAATAAGAAGAAGATGAGAAAGAGAAGAAAAGGAATTCACTTCTTTCTCACAAGAAAAACTTTCTTCCTTTCTCATCATCATCATCATCATCATTCTCTTTCTTTTCTTTCCTTTTTTCATCTTCTTTCATCTTCCTTTGCCCTTCCTACGATTATAATAAGACTCTTCCTCTCTCTCTCATCATCATCCTTAACCTTCACCTTCCTTGTTATTATTATCATTGTTATCATTCATTTCTGATTCTGACCCATTTATACCCTCAAGATATTCATGATCACCCACCGACAGCCCCACCTTTGACTCGAACAGATAAACAATCAGTAAATCATCATCATGATAATCACCAAAAACTCACAAACAATCAACTGAATCACATGGAAATCAATTTGAAAAACAGTAAAACAAATTCATCAAATTTCATGGCGAAACTTTCACTCTCTCTTTCTCACTTATCATGTAACAAGACACAACAATCAACTAATTACTTCTGTCAATCGTATCAATCAAATCATAATTACGCTGATAATGAAACAATTAAACAATCAGAAATACCAAAAATAAAGTGATTACATTGAAAGGTAAGAATAAAAAACAGAACAAAAAAAAAGTAACTAAACCTTTTCCACTTCATTTTCACAGGTAAACCTTTCATCGTCTCTTTCTCACAAGAAATTCATCTTTCCTCCTTTCTCACCCTCCCCACCCTCCTCCATCCTCCCTCATCATCTTCATCTTCATCTTCTTGTTGTGTAAAAAAAACTATTTGTTATAATAAGAAGAAGATGAGAAAGAGAAGAAAAGGAATTCACTTCTTTCTCACAAGAAAAACTTTCTTCCTTTCTCATCATCATCATCATCATCATTCTCTTTCTTTTCTTTCCTTTTTTCATCTTCTTTCATCTTCCTTTGCCCTTCCTACGATTATAATAAGACTCTCTTCCTCTCTCTCTCTCATCATCATCCTTAACCTTCACCTTCCTTGTTATTATTATCATTGTTATCATTCATTTCTGATTCTGACCCATTTATACCCTCAAGATATTCATGATCACCCACCGACAGCCCCACCTTTGGACTCGAACAGATAAACAATCAGTAAATCATCATCATGATAATCACCAAAAACTCACAAACAATCAACTGAATCACATGGAAATCAATTTGAAAAACAGTAAAACAAATTCATCAAATTTCATGGCGAAACTTTCACTCTCTCTTTCTCACTTATCATGTAACAAGACACAACAATCAACTAATTACTTCTGTCAATCGTATCAATCAAATCATAATTACGCTGATAATGAAACAATTAAACAATCAGAAATACCAAAAATAAAGTGATTACATTGAAAGGTAAGAATAAAAAACAGAACAAAAAAAAAGTAACTAAACCTTTTCCACTTCATTTTCACAGGTAAACCTTTCATCGTCTCTTTCTCACAAGAAATTCATCTTTCCTCCTTTCTCACCCTCCCCACCCTCCTCCATCCTCCCTCATCATCTTCATCTTCCTCTCATCATAATCATCTCGAATATAATATAATATATTAGATATAAAACCGAAGCCTCTATTTGCTTCCGTTTTCTGACCCATTTACCTTAAGTCCTTTTTTGGACTTTACCTTTTTCAATGGTCAATACAAATTGTCCTTCACTGGACATTGTCCAGTTTGATAATAAAGCTCAAATTGTTGAACATGATGACAAAAAATCAACAATCACAAGTTAATCACTTGACTATCATAATTTATTTTATTAGGTAATTATGATTAAACGATTATTATGTTTACAATTGATAACATTTTGTTATGAATGAGACGAGGATATTAATTGTTAACAATTAAAACTTAATCTGCTTCATTAATCAATACCACTTGATTCATTCAATAAAAATCTTTATCAACAATTAGGGATCAATTAATTAACTTTTTCTTAATTGATCTAATTCATATTAATTTGTATCAATAAACGATAATCAATTGATTGTTTAATGAATGGGAAAGTAATCAAAACGTTACATTTGTTAAAAATTGTTTACAATTAAAGTTTTACACAAAATTGATCAGTTAGTAAATTAATAAACTAAATGATTATTATTAAATCATTTGTGTTGTAAATTGTTGAATTTGATTTATGATTAATTGTCTAAATTTGATTTATAAGCAACGTTTGCAATTAATTATCTTAATCTTGTAGATTAACACACACACAACAATTAGCTAATTGTCTGTAACCAATTGATATGAAATTTGTTTTCTCAATTATAATGCAATTTAATTTGATTACAATTTACACTTCAATCAATAGCAATGCAAATGCAAATGTAAATTGTTTGTATCACAATTAAAATCTGATAATAATTTGATAATCTCTTAATTGTTTGAGATATCAATTTGTTTGCCAATTAATTGCAATCATGAATTCATATTAACTGAAATGTTTTCACAAATTGTTACCTGAGTGTTATTAGCAAATTTCAACTGAATCAATTTTGGAATCACAGTAAATTGGAAATATAATTGTAACAATCAATAATAATTATCTCAGTAAATAAATTGTTCATTTTTCTGTCTTTCTCACTCACTCGATCTCTCTCACTCTCTATGGGGATGATGTTTGCGGAAAATGATCTCACGATTTTAAGATGAATATACTTCAAATCATGTGAAGAAGATGGAGAGATGAGAATGAAGAGAATGATGAAGGAGAGAGAGAAAGAGGGAGGCAGGGGAGGTGGTGAATCAAGATTAGGAGTAGACGAAGAGAGAGAGAGAGAGAGGGAGGTGAGGGGAGAGGGTGAAAGGAGAAAAAAGGGAGAACAAGTGAAGGAATGAGAGCGTGAGAAAAGTGAATAACCGCCAATTTAAAATCGAGAGTAAAGTGCAGTTATCATTTTGTCATGTTCTTTTTTTTCGACTGTAACTTTGCAGAAATATGAATATAAGTGTGTAGATATTAATACATTAACTGTACGAAGATAATTCTATGTGTCTACACTGTAGATATTCAGTATCTCACACTAAACATTGAACGTTTTGTCGTTGTTATTGATTATCGTATTTTTATCCATTCGATGTTAAAGTTTATCGGTTCTCATGTATTCCCTTTAATTGTTGACAATCGTGTCTATTGAATCCTCTGTTGTGTTGATTGCTGAGAAAAAAATTCTTCCCAATAATTATGATACAATCATTGATTAGCGATCATGATAGAGACAAATTTGTTTCTCTCTCGATGGAGATGATAAAATATTTTCTCCCTTAATTTTTCATGATAATTTACTTGTTGATTCTGTTGATTGTTGTTGTTTATCAATCCATCTATTATTTACTTTTAGTATCAATTTGTTTCAATTGTAAAAATAATAACAGTTAATCAGATAACCATTAATACTAATTGCAACAATTAAGCAAGATTAAAGTTTCGAGTCTCAACTTTTTATTTCTTCCGGTTTTCAATTGAATATTTAATCTTGGGTAAATCATATTGATGAGATCAAATCAATTAATCATGATGAGATTATTGGTTAAGATTTCAACGAATCTCAATGATTAATTGATTTGATTATCGATTGTGATTATATATTTTCCTCGGGTGAGTGTGTGAATTGGGTGTTGACCATTAAGAGCAATCAGATTAAATGGAAAGTGCACTTTCCACTTTAATCATGATTAAGGATTAACGATAAACTCGTGAGGCGATTGTTGTTGATTAAGGAGGAGAAACATTGATTTGATTAACGAGAGAGAAATTAAAATGACCTTGATACTATTTCCCTATTAGGGATTAAATTGTTACGATGTTTCACTTTTCAAGTTTAATTGCAGTTGATTAAAGTTGATCTAGGAAATTGTCTTCGTTTACAGTTAATTGTTTGATTTTCGTTGACGAAATTTCGTAAATTGATTCTCGAAATGTTCTAATCGCGAACTCGAGGACAGATCATAATATCTTCGAGTCCGTTGATACAATCAACTTGAGAAAATATCATATTGCCAGAGGTGAAAGGTCACCAAAGGTTAATGAGATTTTATCGCAATCATAGAGAGAAATCATCGATTTTGTGTTAATTAATTATCGTTTATGTAATTAGTTAATTTACAAGGAGTAAAGTAAGAAAATTTTCCAGTAATTGTTTATAAATTGTGTTAATTAAACTACAGTTAATTGCTGATGAATAAAGTCCTAGAGGAAGTTATTGTTTCAACTGTAAAGAAAATTTTTTCAATTAGAAAATTAAATTAAATTAAATTGTCTCTTCATCTAATTAGAAGTTTGTTTTTTTTTCATTTATCTCTAATAATTAAAGTGCATCAATGATTAAATTAATTGTGAAGATTTCCAATTGACAATAATTCCCTTTTTAACCATCATAATTAACTTTCGTGAGGTTTGATTACAATTAGAGTGCTAGAGTGACAATTAATTAGACAATTTGTTTCCAGTGTTAATCATGATCCAATTGAAGGCATTATAATAAAAACAATTTGTTGATTATGGTGATTAAAAAATGGTTAATCTGAAAGGATAAGAAACACAATTAAATTGTTAATTTAAATTGAAATGGTTAACCAATCAAAAGTAAACTCACCTTCTTGATTGTTGGACGAATTGATAACAATTTAGAGTGAATTAGATAAGCTTGATAATTATTAATAGTAATTCTGATAGTAACACAACCAAGTTAATTGTGATTAAGTAAATTGTGACAATACAACTGTTGATGATAATTTTACAAAGGATTAAGAGTTTTGGTTTGATTAACAAGTTTCATTGATTGTTTTGAGTTTTAATTGTTGATCTGATATTAGTTATTTTGTTCGTATCGGAATATTAAATCACAATTAAATCAATTAATTGTTCAATTAGCTGACAGGATTAACAGGTGATTAATTAACAATGGACAGTGAAGGTTATTGTCATTGAGAGATGAAAGTTGATCAGATGAAATTGATTACCAATGAACACTGAGATTGATGAATTAAGATGAATAATTAACTAGATGATGAATTATTATAATTCTTGATTGAGATGATTAAAGTTGATTAAAACAGTTAACTGTTAATTATTAACTACCAACATGGGTAAAAGTATCACAGACTTTTAATTACAATGATAATAAAATGCTCTCAATGACAAAAAGGTTTCAAGGATTAGAGAGATTAAGAGATTAAGAGATTATCAGAATTTGATGAGAGTAATTGATTGTTATCAAATTAAAAGTAACCAATTAAAATTGGAATATAATTTAGAATCTATGAAATCAGTGGATTAATGGGAATATATGATTAGGGGTCAATTATTTAATCTCTTAATCTTTAATCCTTTTCCTCAGGTGATTGAGTTTTGTTGTTGTTTTTCTCGGTGAGATGAATGATCCCGATTAATTGATTCTCGGATTTTTAATTGTTCTTTTGATTATAAATAAGATTCCGAAATTTCAAAATCTGAAGGTTTAGAACCTCGAGCTGATTGGTAGCCCGAATCTGTCGCTGGATCGACATGAATTGTTCCTATGGTTTTCGGTTCATCGGGTTCTTGTATTCGAACGGCTTTTTTAGGGTGTTTTGGTTCATTCTCTTTCTTTTTCATAATTTCCTCCATTTGCTTACGAACCTCATCAATTTGTGATTCTTTCTCTGCGATTTTAGCCTTTAAATTGGGAAGAAATTAAATTTAATTCTTTGGTGATTTCATCTTATTTGATTTCTCTCTTTGCTATTTACCTGAAGCTCTTCGTTTTCTAATGTTAACTTTTTCAATCTCTCTTCTTGTTCTTGGATTGTTAATGTCTCATGAAAAGTTCCGTTCATGTAAGAACCGCCGAACGATAAATGTGACCCTCGTTTCCTGACAAGTTCAACGATTTTCGGTATAAATATGAGAGCCATGGAAATGAAGCAGCAAAAAATTATGGTAACCGTTATGAAGGCGAAATGAGCATCAACGTGATTCACAATTACGAGTGAAACTGGCCCAGTTATCATACAAAGGATCTAGAACGATTGATGATGAAAAATTTGAAGAAATTACCACAATAATCAAAGAAATTGCTGCAAAAATGAAGATGGAAAAAAGGGAAACTCAAACTTACAACGACATTATAAATACTCATTCCGACGAGTCGGGAATCGTTGAGTCGCTTCAATTTGACACTTCGGGTTTCGTATGCGAGGAAAAGGCCAAACAGTAACAAAAGACCTTTGTACCCGAAAAGAACACAGTACCAAACCAGATTGGTATCACATCGTTCCAAGGAGCGAACAATCTTGAGAACGAATAAAAAAATTCGATTATTCGATAAATCTAGTTGTCAACACTGAGACAAGTTCGAGAGGTTAAAGGTTTACCTTTATGTTATCATCATTTGGATCGACATCTTCTTGTTCCAGTTTTTCCGTTATTCTAATCATTGGACTTTTAATGAACCAACAGGCCAGAATAGCGCCATCGATGAGACAGAATAACGAGATCATTAGGACAACTTGAGCATTTTCAACCTTGCAAATCAAAGATGAAAAATTATATCTTATTATTAGTTCGGGAATCGATTGGACAATTGATCGTTTTTACCTTTGATTTACTCGATTGTTCCAATTGAGTTGATAATCTATATGCGAACCAAACTTTCGTGAACATAGCACCAAAAAAGAGGGAGAAACTTATCGAAAGTAACACTGCTCGACACTGTACAAGTTTACCAATGGAAAGGTTAAAGTTAATCCGATTAAATTGACCTTCGAATCTTGAAAACTTACATGACAAAGTTTGGTAAAATCTCTGGCATTGATCTTTTGACTGTCCAGGCCAAAGAGGATGACCGTTGATAAACAACCGATGCATCCGATTAGCATAATATAATTTGACAAGGGTTGAGACATTTGAATGTATCTATTGATTGATAAATGATAAGTTGATTGGAGATGAGTCTTGGTTGGAGTTAACAATTAAATCAACTGATTACCTAAATTTTCTGAATTTAAAATTGAAACAAATCAATCCGATTGACCAAACGATTCCAATTGCAGCGATTGCATTGAGAGTCACAAAAAAGGAAAGTGAAACAGTTTTTAATTGTTCAACGATAACTGTCCGGTCTTTTGGCGGTGATCCCGTTTCAAGCCATTGGGGTGAACTTTTCCAGGTCAAATTATCGTCCTGAGTATCATAATAACCCAGTAAATTGTAATTCCCATCAACCATTTGCTCAATTTGTGTAAGTGCAATACGATCACCTTTTAAATGAATAGAAACAATTAGCGATTAACATCAAGAATTAAAGACAATTAAGTCTAATTGTTTACCTTCATCAGTGAATTTAACCTCACCCGATACTCCCAAGAAGAAAGTATCTCTCAATGATTGTTGAATCTCTTGACTAATTAACTTATTCTCATAATTGAAACTCTCAATTGCGATTCCTCGTTTCTTCAATTTGTGCATAGTCGCATTCAAAGCCAAGGCCACAGCCCAAACTGCGTCATAAGCTAAAGGCGCTTCCTGGTAACCTAACCAATTAATCAAAACAGAGAAAAATTAATCAACTTAATCAAACCTAAATCTAAATCGTGTCTAACTAATATTATTATTATACCTTCGGGTCTTATTGATGTTCCCAAATTTTTCTGTAAACGATCATGATACTTATCGAGCCATTGTTGAGCAGTGATTCCAGCGACAGTTTGTTTATTATCACGATTTAATATGATGGCCTCAGTGGTAAAATGACCCTGAACAACCTTGAGCATCTCCTCTTTGGTACAATTCAATCCTTTAACGGGTAAGTACCAATTATCCTCGTACCAACCCAATAGAAACCAAACATATTGTTTACCGTAAAGATTTTGCTTGTAGGCCTCACACATCACCTTCCGAGCTTCACCGCCGTAAAAAATGCCGACAATGATACGAGCATCTTGACGAGCTAAACTTTTGACCGCATCCGAAGGGTCAGTTAGAAAAGAAACTCGAGTTAGAACCTCGATTCCAGCCTTTTTACATTGATACTCTAAGTCTTTGGCAGTCTAAATTGTTTTGATTCAAAAGAAAATGAAACAATTAAGTTATTTTTTTGATTTTCTCAGGAAAGAAATTAATTACTTACAGTAACAAAAACTTCTTCCGCTTCTAATATGATTGCTATTCGTTGCCATTTAAATTCAGTGAACAATTTAACTCGAGTTGGATTATGAATCGTCGCTGATGGATGAGTACGGAAGAAGGTGGGGAAGCGACTTCGATTGGATAGAGCGGGTGAAGAGGAACCATAACCAAAGACTACGAGATTGTACATTTTGGCTGTTTCAGCGATCGTCGAACAGACAATTGAACATCCGCCAAGAATCATTATCTTGGTCGGAGGTTCGTAAACCAACTCGTAAAGTAGAGCCGAAGCTAAACCCGAATCGCACTTTAAAAGGGCGAGAATAAAACACAAAAGTACCAATCAATTAATCTTCCCGAACAATTTAAATTCATTTAATGTACTTACCTTACTATCATTTGGTGTTAATGACAAATAATAACCTGGAAGTATTTCTGGCCTACTGTTGACATCTTCCAAGGCCATTTCGACCGCTGGTTGACAACCTTGACCTCCAAGCCAACCCCCGGTCCCGGTCATTGGGAACAGTCCACCAATATGAAGCTTGGTCAACGGTGGTTCAGTTGATGATGATGACGATGAACTTACTGATTGATCCAACCGGTTGGGGTCAAATCCTGGTGGTTTGGGAAGCCCTTGAGTGGGTATTCTGGAGGGTATGAAACATATTACTGGTCTGATCACAATTAAACTAATAAGATAATTTATCACAAAAAACCACATCTTACAATTAGATTGTGGATTTAAAGGAAAAACAATCAGCTAATCAACATGAACAACAACAATCAATCCAAGCTCACTGTTAATTCAACTCCCTGATGAAAAAATATCAACAATACGCAAGACTGAATACCCACTTAATAGTATCTCTACTTTTCTCTCTTTCTTTTTCCTCTTTCTTTTATCTATCGATCCAAGTGAAGATGAAAAAAGTTCATCATGATGAACATTTCGAATACTCGAAAAAACGGAAAATTCTAATCCATCGAATCTCAATTCCATTGATCTAATCTCTATATCTCTCTATCCTTGGACTTATCTAATTACTTTCTCTTATTTTTTTTCCGTCGAATTTTTTTTAATCACAATTAGCTGATTTCTAATTGTAAGTGAACATTGAGTTGATTACAATTAGTTGTCAAGGAAAAAAGTTGCAATCGTTGATTAAACTAATGGTGAAATCTATTAAATTTTCTTAATCATTGAGGAAATTTAATTTTTTTTTCTTATTACTCTTTTCTATTAGTGATTAGTAAATTGTTGCTATTTATTTGAAGCGTAAAATTGATTGTCTGGGCAGATGATTAAATCTTCAATTATATCAGATAATAAATTGGTCAACTTTAAATTGGTAACAATTAGTAAATGATTTGAGAAAACAAAACAAAAATAAGACAAAAAAGTTTTTCAATTTATTTTTATCATTTGATATTTTCAATTGTTGTTGATAACTTAATTGTTGATGATTAGTAAATTATTGCAACTTGATCAGTGTAAATGAAAACAATACAAACGATGTTCAATCAATTATATTCATACTCAGTGTCAATAACTCAGCAGTTAATTGTGATCTCTTTAATTGTTAGCCAGTTGATTAACGTTTCGACCTACCAATCACCCGGACAACAGATTCAATATCATATGCAGGTAAGAATTTGTTAATTAAATTGTAACAATTAGTTAATCATCAACTATGTGTGTCTACAAATCGTCTTAAGGGATTTTCTGGTCCTGATTCTTATCAATTTGGATTCGTCTCTTTATCCGAAGCTAATCCGTTAAGCCGACACGAAGAGCGGGACAGTTCAGGTCAAGTTCGTGGTTATTATTCATTTAAAGATCCAAATGGTTTAATTAATTATGTTCAATATCAGGCAACGAAATCAACTGGATTTAAAATAACTAGGCAATTGTTAATTAATCCAAATACTGGAAAGATAATCAATAAGATTAAAAATCGGATTAAGAAGAAATCGAGAAGACGAAAAAAGTTGAAGCGATTCAATTGGAAACGCCGGCGAACTCATTGGAATCCAATCTGATTTTTAATTCCAATTTTTTAAACTTTAATTGTTACAAAAGGTTAGGTGGTTAATTTGATTCCTTCCAGTTTTAATTGTAAATCATATTTGTCAGTGAATAAAATGGATCATCAACTTTTTTTTTCATGAGCTTACAATTTGGTTTTCATGAAGTTTTTCGGTTAACTTACAAAGGGTCAAAATGCTTGTGCCAGTATTTTGGTTATATTTTGTTTGACACATGAAACTATAACAATCGATTATTGTTGATTGTTAGGCGATTTAAAAGATTAGTTTAAATTTTGTATAATATTCTAATTTGAAGTATACAAAGAAAGAGAAAGAGAGACTCAAGGATATATTAATTATCAATTTGACTAAATAATCTGAATATAAAAACTTAGTGAGAGAGTAAACTTGATATTCTTTAGTAAATTGGTTGTAATGATGAATTGATGATGACCAAAAGGTGTAATGGATTTTAGCCTTAATGTATCGACCATTGGGGTTGCAGGATTGGAATTGGTTTGGATAAGTGAGACACACACACGGAGAGATCCAAACAGGATAACAAAAGGATTCAAGGCAATTCAAGGTGATGGTGACTGTGGACATGGGGAGAAAGAGAGAAGATTAACAAAAATTGTTCGACTTTTTTTGGTTAAATTTGATTAGTAATATGATAATAGACTAATTGTTAATTCTGTGTTAATTGTATTAATGTTGGTTCTGTTTTTTTTTCTATTGTATTAGTTTTAGCACTGAGCAATAGGATTTTCAACAATATGCACCTCTCCTGATGTAAGTCGTCCATCAACAATTTGGGTGTCCAATGAATTGTCGATTGAGTTTTTCCTCGATGAATCAACAGAGTCCGGCCTTTCACTTGAGTTTAGTGACATTTTGCGAAGAGATGAGCGACGTCTCTCATAAACGGTTAAAGCATAGCCTAAACCTTGAATGAAGAGTTTCATCGCTTCGGCTACTTTACCAGGTTGTTCTTCCAGGGCCATCCCGCTGTCGGATAGTTTCATCCAAGTTGAATTCTCAGGATTTAGACGAGAGTTCATGTTAACTGTGTCATCAACATGAGGTGATAAATTAGCACAAAGAAGAAGAACTGAGCACTTGAAATTTTTCTCTTTGTCTCCTCGAATTATTCCAAGGTCAGTTCGACGAATATAAGAGTCAATGAAGAGGGAGAGATTTCTCGGATTAATTGATTGACCAGAAAAATATTTACTATAAACTGCAATCAGATCTCTATTACGTTCTTCGGTTACTCTACCAAAATGATACCAGAGAAGATAATCTTGAACTGATTGAGGAAAAGTTGTCGAAGAGACCAAAGCTGCAGTACTGGTGAGATAATAGACATTCATCTTTTGATAAAGATATTCAGACCAAGAGGATTGTGAGGCTGTACAGTTGACGAGGTAGAGACCATCAACTACGCCAGGATTTCTCAAGGCAAATCGAGAAAGGATATTGGCTCCAGCACCAACACCGAAGCCAATAAAATTTTTGATCCCATAAAATTTGCAAACAGCTTCTATTTGTTCAGCTAATTGATCCATGGTGGGGTAAACAAAACTTTCCGGTAGTGGAGCAGCATTTTCTTCTTGTCCAGGAGCATTGATATGAATTACTTTAAACGAAAGAAAAGGAAATGAGAAAAAAAATTCAATCAAAATTAATTTCAGATAATCATTAACATGATTGTCTCATCAGACATTCATGGGAGAGGGAATAATTCATAACTTAATCATATTTTTATTTCTCATCATTTACTATAACCTTCTTTTTTAATACTTCCTGTTGTTTTTTTACTTATTTTATCATCATCACAATCATTGTGTCATCATCTTGTGATTTTTAGCTCAATTTATATTTACTATTAGCTAAATACACACATATCACTGTAATTAAATTAACTTTCGTTGATATAATTACATAAATAATCATTATGATGACTGGACGACAAAATGGTAAAGTGAATGACAAAGACCCGTTCAGAATCAAGAACAAAAAAATGACTGAAATAATTGAATTTCTTGGTTAATCAGGTTAAATGGATGAACCGTAATAATATCAATCGATTGATATAAATGAGGAAAATTATAATGAATAGAAAATGGTTATTCATTTCCATTAGAAACCTATTAACTTATTTTGAAAGTATCTTGTCTGTGTCTTATTATAACTTGATTAGCAAGACAATAAGTATTGTAGTCAACAAATTGGACAATGAAAAGAGAAAAAAAAATTGTCACCAATTGGTGAAAATTCAATTATACTTGAATTAGACACAATTACAAATGCATTGGTACATTTGATGAGTGAAAATACAAACAACACTCAGCAAAAAATGTCAACAAGCTAAAACTATGAAACTGGTATTTATCATTTACTATTATATTGTATTAAATTGTATCATTGATAAATTGTAAGTTGTAACTAATATTATCGATATCAAATCACTAATTGTAATGATAAATAAAATTAAAGTGTTGCGACAAAAAAAACAACAACCGCTAATTATAATCATTAGTATTTACTTAGTATCTTCAACCTGAAAGTAATAAATAACCGTTTCAATGAAAAGGTATAAACACCACACAGACACACATTGATGTCTACACAAGATGGAGTAGAGAGAGAGAGAGAGAGAGAGTAAGGTGTCTTTATTTATGGGGTAATTCAATCAGCTTAAAAGAAACTGTTTAAAGCTTAATCACGATCTTCAAAGCTGAATAAATGGTAGCCCAATGAGAAACATAATCAATTAACTATCACCATGTACCTTACATTTCAATGGTTTTGAGTGAAAGCGAAGACAGAGAGAGAGAGAGAGAGAGAGTGAGATATATTGACACTAATTAAATTTATCGATGACAAGCGGAAATGTATTAGTTTTTGCAGATTAAGTTTACAGCCCTTATGATAGTGTGAGGTAATCATGGACATGACGATTTTCAGTTTTAAAGATGGTCGAATTTGGGGTTGAATTGAAGGTAAAAAAATTGCATGAAGGGATAAGGATTAAGCTTAATCAATAGGAGCTACATGGTGAGAATATCAATTGTACTTACCGGCAAAACTTTGAAGAAACAGTCTCATATCCATGTAATTAAAGAAGGCTTGAAAATTGGAAACATGATTTAATCCAATATCATGATAGGTAAGAATAACTGGTTTATTTTGTTTGTGGTCAGCGCCTTGTTTAGCAACCAGAATATTTCCATAGTGGGTTTCAATTTGATCCAAAGTGTAACTATCATCATCTGAGGCCAGACTCCGTAAAAGAGGTGATGTGGCTTGAACATTTAACAGCTCAATATCCATTGTTGATGAATCCCAGTAACAAAGTAAATGTAAAAATGCACAGGCAATCAATTAGAAGAGAAAAAGAAAATCCCTTTTCTTGAGAAAACAACAGAAGAAAAAAAAATTCACAATTAACTCGATAGATAGAAAAAGAATATTTTTTTTTCTCTCAGGGTGTAACACACAGAACAAGGAAAAGATTGGGAAACACTTAATAAATTCTATCTTTTTTCTCTTTAAAAATATTCCCTCTGATGTTTACTAGTGTTAATGCGAGTTAATTACAACCATTCACAATACATAAGAAAAAAAGATCATCTGAAATGGATTAACAGATAGAAAGACATCAACAGTAAAACAAAAGGAAACAGAACTTAATTTGATTGATGACAGATTATAATCAGTTGATTCACCAAAGAGACAAAGACAGAGAAATAAAAAAAGGTGATGATAAAAACAGAGACAAAAAGAGAAAGAGAGAGAAAAAAAGAGAATCAAATTGATGGAAACTGAAAGTTCGATCAACCAGATGGAGCCACAAGAAGAGAACAAAAATTAGAATAGAACAAAATTTTCTCTTTCTTTTCTCTTTCTCGTTGTTCTCTTGAGCGCCATCTTTCTTTTTCTTCGTTAAGGTTTTTCTTGAATCGGTTCTCTCTCATTTTGTTTCTTACTTTTATTCGTCTTAGTTGTTAGTTTATTTTCACTTTCTGTTCGGGTCGGTTATGTTTTCCAAACTTTTGGGTTTCACATCATCTTCATCTTCATCTTCACCACTTTCACTCATCATCTTCATCATCTTCCAAGTATCATCATTTTATTAGGAGAATTTTTTTTATTACTTATTAGTTATTTTCTAATTTTAATTCTGTTTTGTTTTGTTTTAATTTGGAGAATTTAAAGTAAAAAGAATTTTTTACTTCTTTTTTTTCTTTTTGTTTTTTTTCTCTCTCTCTCTCTGTGTGTGTGTGTTATAACTTTCTTGAGAATCCAATGATGAACAACGGTGCAAGAAAGATGGAGAAACGTAGAGAGATGGATAAAAAGTTAATCCATGTTATCAAAAAAGGTGATTACAATAATTTTCTTCTTCTGTTAAGGTTTAAACCTGATCTTAATGTTTTTGTTGATGGACAAACAGTTTTACATCATTGTTTACTTCAACGTCGTGATGTTAGATGGTGTCGACAGTTGATTATAAATGGAGCCAATCCCAATTTAGCAAACAAAGATGGTTGGCATCCTATTCATCTTGCTGCTTTCTATGGTCTTCATGAATCGGTTGCCTATCTTATGCATTCCAATAGACAAGTGTTTTCAGAAGAGACTGACCAAAGTGTTTCAACTTAGACTTTTGTCTCCTTTGCTTTTTTTGCTTCTTCATCTTCTCTCTATCACCACCGGATCGGCAATAATTTTGTGTGTTTTCTCAATACATCAACTGCAAACATGATAAAGAAAAGACAAACTCATAAAATCTCATCTGAACAAGTGAACATCAAAAAATTAACCAGGCAAAATCTTCCCAATCATTTTGAGATTTTTCCTTTTTTTTTTGTAAATAACTATAAACAATTGTAAATATTCATTACATTAATTTAATTCTATTAAAACAAAAAGCAATTGTGAAGTTTTGTTGATACAAAATCAATTGAATTAAAAAGAAAAATCAATTAAATTTTTTTTCTCCCTAAAAACTTCTGATGTAAAACTTGATTACGAATTTACTAACTATCGGTGATCATTCAGTAGAAAATTGTTTCATCTTCTTCATCAACGATAACAGTTACGTGAAAGGTGATTACTTGAGACAATTAGTTGACCAATTGTCAATTAATCAACATATTTTTGCTCCTGCTCATCAAATTGATATTGAAAATGTTCATCATCATCTTTACGATCACAATCACAATTACAATCAAAATCATAATAATAATCAAAGAGTTAAAAGTGATCCATGTTCATCAGAATTATCATTCTCACCGAAAATTGATCAAAATCAATTGTATCATTTTCAATCTGGTCTATTAATTAGCAGTTCACTAATTGTCTCATGTGGAAATGACCTCAAGTGCCTTTATCGTTCCTGTAATCAATCATTAATCAACTCATATCGATTATTACCTGATAATAGTGATCAACTTTTTCTCGATCCAATTTCATTTCGTAAAAGTTTAATCATCTATCCTTTGTTTACAACCAAAGTCTATGCCAATGTCCACCATTTTCATTTACAATCATCACTCAACAATTTACGACAATTACATCAATTAAATGTGAAAATAAATTCATTTGTAGATAAACATGGAAATTTAAATGGTGAAAATGGAAAAATAAAAAATAACCATTGGTCATCATCATCATCATCTAATTGGCCTTTTGCAATTGTAACTTGTCATGATCCAATCGATAGATTTGATGTAATTCATTGGAATTATCAAGAGAATGGAATTATCTATATGGCTGATGATTTCCATGTTCTCAGGGTGGAAAATGAAGCTGAGAAAGTTGATCGTTGATCAACTTTATCGGTTCTCTGGGAGAAGATAATAAAAAAGTTAAATTGATTGCTAATTGTGAGATAGATTTTTATCAGGATTGTTATTATTAATTGTTCCCATAACATTGGAACCTGCAATAATAATTATCCTTCAAGTTGATCAAAAATTTGCTTCACAATCAAGTTGTATATACAAATTTATGTGAGAAATTTAAATCAATTCACAAAACAATTAACAAAGTATTAAAATAATAATAATAATAACAATTGTAATCGTGATTTGTTTAACCACAATTAACCTTTCATTTTGTCAATTACCATCACCATTATCATAATTATCATGTATTTATGTTTAAGGTTACGGTTGGATGAATGGATTAGTATGAGAAACAATATCTTCCTGATTAATTTGTTCCTTTTTTAAAGGTAAGAGAGAGATATTTAATCAAGGTAATTGGGAAGGAAGAGGAAGAAAATTAATTCTTTAAATATTAATCAGCTTCAATAAGTATTGATTAATTTTAGAATTACAATGGAGAAGCCTCAAGTTAATCACCTTTAATATTTACGAAGAAAAAAAGTCAAGTGAATTATAATCTAAATCTATCTGTTGGAATGGATCAATATTAGAATTAAATTAAATTCTAAATATAAATGGTTGATTGTTGTGACTTGTTAGTAATATAATCTAACAATGGTGACAGTGGTAATAATAATGAACACGGATAAAGCTTCACGGACTGATGGATGAGAGGAGTAGAGAAAGAAAGAGAAGAAAGAGTGAAAAGAAAGAAAGAAAAGAAAGAGAAAAATAGAAGAGGATGAAGGAAGAGAGATTAACGGATTTCTCGTGAGAAATTAATGTAAACATACATTTAAATCCATAGAGATATTTGAATACATTGTTGTAAATTATCTGTACCATTGATTGTTTATCACCGTTATCTATTGATTGTTAATTGTAAGCATTTTCTCCCCAATTTCAATCAGATAAGATGATCTAAATAGCCGACAATTAAGGTTGCAATGATGATCCTGATGATGGGCGAATGTTTAATTAGTTCAAATTAACTAATTTCTATTTTCTAGGTTGACCTTTTCTTTGTGTTTTTTTTTGTTGATGGGCAGAGGGGAGAAATTATTTCACATTCAAATTAATTACCTGTTCTACTCGGTGGGAATGTAATTGTTGTGTCATTGTCATCATTGGGCTTTACCCACTTTGATTGTTTTCCCAGAAACGGTTGTGTGTGTGTGTGATTAAAGGGCCTGATGAGAGTAATGATGATTAAAGATGCTGTTGGTGTGTGAGTATGTGTGTGTATGTGTGGTGATTAATTTACTGATATTAATTCCAATGATTACCAATCCAATTTCAATTTTCTTCTCCCATGGAATCAATATTTGGACAACGTGTGTTCAACCAACGTGTATGGCAAGTGACTTTCCTTTTTCTATATTCTCTAATATATAAAAGGCTGTCGATCAATTTTCTCAGCGAAATATTTTCCTTCCATCATCACCCTGAGAAAATGAGAGAAAAAAAGAAAAGAATAAGCCAAATCACCAACCATGTGAAGTATTTTTCATTCTCATACTCACTTTTTTTAATTACTCCAATTTTGTATCTTCTCCAACAATTGAAAACACAAAGGAAAACATACAAACCCTTTGTAGCCTAAAGTCTTTAGGCTAAACACTTAGAAAGATTTAACAAGAAAGAAAAGATTATCGATTTAATCTCTTTCACTTTTCTTACCTTTTTATCGTTTATTGACTTAGGATACACAAGGAATTAACTAATTGACAAAAAACGAAAATAGAATAACAAATAATCAACTAGTTTTGAGAAAAGAAAATTAAAAACATGTAACAAGTGAATTCGAATTAGAATTTAATTTGAAAAAAGAAAATCAATTCCTATTGGTTGGTTTCATTTTCTTTTCTCTCTCTGTCTATTTTTCTTTCGTTTTAATTTCCCTCCGTTTCTTCAATCAAATGAATTTTTTTTTCTTATTGTTACCAAATTTTAATTTCTAATTTGTAATTAGCAATAATTATCACAACTTCCATTTAATCAGTGATCTTAATCAGCCACTTAATTAGTGAGGAGATGAAATAAAATTTCTATTCGATTGATTTATTTTCATTTCTTCTTCAAAGTGTTTGTGTGAGTGTTTTCCTTGTTTCTTTTCATTACATTGGTGAGAATTGTTTTTGTTTCTTTCTATTCTCAATATTGTTGTTTATTTAATAGGTTTTCTTTTATTCTTCTTTATTTTGATTAATTAATTGATTACCACAATGGTTGACACGGATCTTAAGACTATGAAAAAGGTTTTAAGGTCAGAGATTACTAGTATTCTTAATTCAATGACTGAGGTTAATCGTTGCTCTCAATCCGATGAGATCTTATCAAAGGTAATGTTTGTTTTTTTCTTCTCACTGATTTTACTCATATCTGAATCTAATTTGAATAACTTAATTACCTAGAAATTTTGTTTCTTTTCTCTCAATCTCTCTCCTTCTTTTCTTCTTTAATTAGATAATTAACCATGAAAAATTTAAGGAAAGCCAGAGAATCGCTGTTTTCATTGGTATGCCTGAGGAGATTAAAACTGGAAAAATAATCGAGCAAATCTTTAAGCTTGGTAAAAAATGTTTCATTCCAAGGATCATGTAAGTATATTGATATTAAATTACTCAATTGATTGAATCTTAATCATATAAACAATCATTTCTTAAATTACCAAAAGCATATTTTGTTAACTCTTTGTTTCAAAATCAATCAATTGATTGAGACTAATTTATTGGGTTTTTCTCTACTTCTTGAAAAGCTTAAAAAGTAAACATATGGACATGGTAGAAATGAAATCATTGGAAGAGATTGAAAACTTGCCAACAATTAAATGGGGAATCAGACAACCTGAAACTGTTACCCGAGAAGCCATGGACGATGGTATGGAAATTAGATAATCAAATTTATTACAAATACCACCCATCAAATAATTAGATTACGTATTATACAGCAATGAAGCTGTGAACCACTAAAATACGAAATATGAAAGACACAACCTTAATTCAATCAATGAGATTTCACCCCTGAGATTTTACTACTAATCTTCGGAAAAAATATCCCATACAACTTTCCAACTTAACTAATATACATGTACTTGTATATTCAGTGACCATTAACAAGCTTTGACCGTTGTGTGCACATGTGAACGTCGGTACGATATGCAAGGTGTATTTTTTTCAACAGGGAAAAATTTATTAATTGTGCCCATGAGAATTGGAAAAAACTACAAGTGGATTACATGTAGTACTATTACTACATAATTGACACAGAGAGTGAGAGAGAAAAAAAATCAAGTGAATTCGCTTGTTGGAAAGAAATGTCTCTCTCTCTCTCTCTCTTGGCCTTTTCCCATAAGAACAGTGAATATGTATTTTCTCTTGAGAGATTTTAAATTATTATTATCGTAGTGTTGTTAGGATGCGATTATTTCACACCAAACAATATTCTCGACCATAGTCATCACCCCACTAATCTATTACTAATTAAATAACAAAATGATTACGATGATGAGAATTAAAATTCTCACATTTTTTTAACTTCACCATCATCATAATCAGTATATATTTTTTTTATTCTTTTCTTAATTCAATTATTTTTCTTTCTATTGAATTTCTCATCATTCAGGTGGACTTGACTTTATGATTGTTCCCGGAGTCGCTTTTGGTCCTGATAATTCACGATTAGGACATGGTGCCGGTTATTATGATAACTATTTCGCCCGTTACAAGGCAAAATTTAATCGTCTTCCCTTTTTAGCTGGAGTTTGTTTCAAAGAGCAAATACACAATTCAATTCCAATGGGTCAATATGATGTTTATGTCGATCATGTAATTACTGGTTAATTTAAAGTGATTGTGATATTCACACACACACAAAAAAACGGACGAAAACAAATGAATAGAAATCATCAAATTGTAATTGTTTGATTTTTTCTTTAATTAGTTAGATTAATGGGAAAATAAAATTAGCCAATAAGCTAATTTATCTTTCATCATATTGCTACATTATGGTGACCAATCAATTGGTGCATTTGACTTTTTATAATTAAGTATCAAATTAGCCATTTGAGCTTTATTGCCTAATGAATAAATTAAGGTTTTGTTACACCAATTTTTGGTGTATTTATCAGCATCCAGGTCACATTTTTCTTGCCGATATCGTAACTTAAGTTCAGGTTCAATTGATCGTAAAATATGGATCGACTTGGAGGATTGGCAATTCGATTGGAGAAAAACTTCAAGTATATCGTAATTAATTAGCTGTTGATTAACCGTTGATAATGATGAAGGTGGAAAAACTGCTTCAAAAGCTTTCTCAAAATCGTCAAGATAAAAGGATGCGTGTCGATAATCAAACCAATTGAATAAACCATTATCTTTATTGATTCTCCAAGAATCAGAAAGACCTGAAGATCCAGGGCGAAGATTATATTCTTGAAAAGCGATTGGAAAATAAACCTGATGATCTTTAATTGTGTTCAACTGGATTCGAGATAAATAATCACTGGTGATCAAAGTGTTGGAAGATAAAATAACCACAATGGAATTGGTTAAAGTTGATGTGAATCTTTTCCTGAGAATCATTAACAATCCTAAATCAGTTGAGGTTGAATAGCTTTCGTTGGGTTCCCTTGGAATTGTTGAAAGTAACAATTTAATGTTGGGATATTTTGTCTTCAATGACAATCCCATTGACATAACTCGTCCGTAACCAGAGGGTGGTGATGAATTGTGAGTAATTAACGCAATGATTAAAGCATAATTATGGGATTGTTGCTGTTTCTCAGAGCATAAATTAACATATTGATTTATAAGTGAAATTAAATCACCAACCTCAGAATCTGATCGCACGGGAACAATCAAAGAAATTCTGTGAAAAACAAACAAGAGAAATTTAATTTTCGCTAATCTTTAATTGCGATCAAATTAAACAAATTTCTATGTTTAATTACCTGTTCTGTTCAGTTGAAAATGGAATTGAATCAATTATTGTCATTGGAACTAAAGGTTTAACTGCTTCCAGACGAATCTTAATTGGCGTTAATTGGATTGGATTATTTTCATTGTGAGTGTTGAGAGGATAATCTTTAATTAACATTTTGTTGGTAATTAAAATATCAAGAATATAATCTAATCCTCGGTTGGCATCGAATCGACGATAAACATTAGTGATTTTTATTTCCTTTCCCATGGAACCAAAGTTTGGATATTTCGTGTTCAACCAACGAATTGCTAGAGATTCAATTGATTGTCGATCAACTTTCTCAGCTTCATTTTCCACCCTGAGAACATGGAAATCATCAGCCATATAGATAATTCCATTCTCTTGATAATTCCAATGAATTACATCAAATCTATCGATTGGATCATGACAAGTTACAATTGCAAAAGGCCAATTAGATGATGATGATGATGACCAATGGTTATTTTTTATTTTTCCATTTTCACCATTTAAATTTCCATGTTTATCTACAAATGAATTTATTTTCACATTTAATTGATGTAATTGTCGTAAATTGTTGTTGAGTGATGATTGTAAATGAAAATGGTGGACATTGGCATAGACTTTGGTTGTAAACAAAGGATAGATGATTAAACTTTTACGAAATGAAATTGGATCGAGAAAAAGTTGATCACTATTATCAGGTAATAATCGATATGAGTTGATTAATGATTGATTACAGGAACGATAAAGGCACTTGAGGTCATTTCCACATGAGACAATTAGTGAACTGCTAATTAATAGACCAGATTGAAAATGATACAATTGATTTTGATCAATTTTCGGTGAGAATGATAATTCTGATGAACATGGATCACTTTTAACTCTTTGATTATTATTATGATTTTGATTGTAATTGTGATTGTGATCGTAAAGATGATGATGAACATTTTCAGTATCAATTTGATGAGCAGGAGCAAAAATATGTTGATTAATTGACAATTGGTCAACTAATTGTCTCAAGTAATCACCTTTCACGTAACTGTTATCGTTGATGAAGAAGATGAAATTATAAGCTCTTAATTTACTTTTTACTTTACCAGGATCAAAAGACGAATCTAAATGATTAAGAATTCGAGTCAACAAAGGTTCATCCGATGGTGGAAGATTAATTAACGAAGAAGATGATTGAGTTAATTGTTGTTGCTGTGAATTTGATTCTTTAAAAAACAAAATTCTATCCCCATGTTTAGATAAAGTCTCATTTAAAAGGTAACCTAAATTACCAAAGGTTTGATCACTTGTAAGAACAACAATTAACAATTTCTCATTAACATCTAATTCCTCTAATACAAAATGAGGTCTCTTTGAATTATAGGATTTAAATTGTTGTTCATTTGATTGACTAGAACCATTGGTTAAAGGTAATTTGACAATTGGATTATAATCTGAGTTGATTATCTCCTCAAACCAATTAGATGATTTAGATGAACTGTCATAATTAACTGACGATGTTGATGATAATATGGATGAAGAGGTGAAAGTTAAACACTGATTAAAAAATGGGACAATTAGTGAAACAATAAAGCCCAAAATTAGACCAAACAAAATGGCGACTCGTTTGGACAACGGTGACCATTTAAAGTTAATCAATCTAATTGGTTGACGGATGAGATGGTTAATCGTCATGATCAAATTGTTTGGCACATTGAGGTTTGCACTTGGGAGAAAAGAACAATTAAAAACAATTGGAAACAATTAGGTAAAAGTTGGAATCACAATCATAACAATTAGACTAAATCTCCATGTGATGGTTGACCTATGGACTCTTAGCAACCATTTGTTTACCAAAGTATCGGCGCTTTAAATGAATAAGAGAAGGTCTAATTGATGGAATTGTTTAATTACTTTTGAAAGAATTAAATAAATGATATTTACAGTTAATTTATCTACAGATGATTGGCCTTGGATTAGAAGGAGAATTGGAAAGGGAAAAGATTGGTGGTAGAATTAGAAATCGAAAAGTAAAAGTTAATTGTGCAACTTGAGAAGATGATTAACACTTAATAAATTGTTTACTTTTACTTTTTGTTTTCTATTATTTATCAATTAATTGAGCAAACGAAAAGCAATTAACTTGATCGGAAAAATTTTCCGGGTTTTTTTATGTTCATTTTCAGGTGAGATTTTGGTTTATCGTTTTCATCTTTGGGTTTGTCTTCGGTAACGGTGAGGTGAACCTCGTATCCACTTGCGATTAATCCTGATTCATATGCTTCGGCTAATTGATTAACTACTTGACGTTCAATTTCATGTTTAATACTTCGAGCACCATAATGAACATTGTAACCTGAGGTAAGAAGCTGAATTACCTCAGAATCCCAGGATAATTTGATCTCATGTCGTTCTTGTGCTCGTTTAGACCAACTTTCCAATTCTTTAGTTACTAATTGGTTAAGTTCAATCTCGGAAAATGGTAAAAAATAGACCATTTCGTTGATTCTACCGAGAAATTCATCACGTCGAAAATGTGACTTTAAAATGGGCCGAACTATTTTCTCCTTGAAATTTTCTGAAACCGTTACATCACCTAGGGAATTGGAAATGTCAGTTTCATTTAGATTTAATTTCTTCAGTGATAAAGCTCTGGCCTCTTTTCTCAATTGCAGTCCATATTCAGCGATCTCATCACTGGCAAGATTTGAGGTCATTATGAAAATCGCATCTTTACATTCAACTGTCGACCCTTGACCATCGGTAAGTCGACCTTCGTCAAAAAGTTGTAACATGATTGTTAATACATCAGGATGAGCCTTTTCAACCTCATCAAATAAAACAACAGCATTTGGACATTCTTGTAATGCTTTGGTCAATTGTCCACCCTCTTGATAGCCAACATAACCCGGTGGAGAACCGATAAAACGAGAAACCTCTGCTTTCGATTGAAATTCTGACATATCCAAACGAATGAAAGCTTTCGAATTGTTTTGATGAATATATTTAGCTACTTGTTTAGCTAATTCTGTTTTCCCAATTCCCGATGATCCAAGAAATAGAAACACCAATGGATGATCCTCATCAAACCAACCATTTTCCTTACGTCTAATTGTTGAAGCGACAATGGAAATAGCAGCTTCTTGTCCTAGAATCAAAAGAAAAATCTCCAACCATTAAAATTAATTGCAGTTTAGAATATGAAGAGAAGAATGAAAGAAAAAAAATTACTACCAACCAACAATAAATTGTTTCAATCTTTTCTCGAGAGGGAATTTCCTCCTCTCTTCCATTTGTCTTTTCTTTTCAAGCTCCTCATATTTGGCTGAATATCTATTCAAATGGTCGACCATTAATTGATTTTCAGGGTCAATATAATCAATCGGTTTATGGCCTAATTTATTGGCGTAATAAGGATCAGCTCCATTATCGGTTAGCACCTTGACAGTTTCCAGATCATCAATCAGAATTGCATAATGAAGAGGTGTACAACCTTCGTAGTTCTTGCTCGGCCTGAGAAGTATATTGAATTCACTTCGTCTTACTTGAACTTTAGCTAAATCATTAGCACTTCGAATGGTATAATAATCTTCGATGTTTACATTGGCACCCAACTCGATGAGATATTTAACGATTTTAACATTACCGTTAACAGCGGCAACATGAAGAGGAGTCCAGCCTAAAGGATGACGGATATTAACATCGAAATTGTAACTTTCATGGATAATTGATTTAACTGTTGATAAATCTCCAGTTTGACAGGCTTCAAAGAAAAGAGCAATTTTTGTTGATTCTTTAGAATAGTTGAAAGCATGAACTGTAAAGAATAGAGAATAAAATAAATTAGAGAAATTGAAATCTTAGAATAACAAGAGAAACAATTGATTCTTTTTACCTGTAACTAGATCATAATGATCTTTGAATAGATAACCAATCGATAGAAATGAAGCAAAATACCAAAGTTTAGGAGAAAATTTGTCAAATAATCTACTTTCTTTTCGGTGGTTATTTGATTGTCGATTAAATTGCCTCCATTGTCTTGAGAAATTGTTACATTGACTTTCATTAGAACGTAGTAACTTTCTAACAAAAGCTCGGTTGACAATCAACTTGAACATAGTAACTTGATAATCCTCTGATCACTACAATAAACTTGAACATCAAATCATTAACCAAAAATCAGCTAATTATTCCCAATCAATAAAATCCATTCCAATGAAAACCTACAATGAAAAGAAAAGAAAAGAAATCATTAAACCTAACTGAAATTGAGAGAAACAAATTCAAGAAAGAGACATTATAAGATAAACAAAGCACAATCACCACACAAGTCAATGAAAATGACGATGAACAATTAAAAAAATCAACCAAAAACAATGAAACAGCAATTAAATTAATTTAAACTCAACAAATGAGTAAACTGAACAATCTAATAAAATAATTAAAAATCAAGTTCACTTGATATTCCCATCCAATTAGACGATAGAAATAAATGAAATTAACAACTTACAATCAAAATATAAACATGTCTATGGCCAAACAATACCGCAATTAACTAGATTAATTAATGAATTAATTATTAAAATGAGAAACAATTACAATTAGAAAATCAGTCAATCAGCTGAGAAAAATTCCAAATTGTGTTATTTAGCCTTCGCAATAGTTTCTACCAAGAGGAGGCGCTACAGTCGAACAGTTGATTTACATGTTGATTTAATTTTCCATTAGAATTTTTATCAATTGTTTTGGTTTAATTGTTACTCTTTTTTAATGGATATTTACAATCGTGTTAATTATTTACAAGCAATAGCTCAAGAATTGAGTAAAAAGGAAGACATTGACCAGTTAAGATTGGCCTCATTTATGGGTTACACTTGTAAAGAGATTTGTTTGAAAAATCAAGTGGCTACTTTTGGTTGGGATCCAATTAAAAGGCAATCATGTAAATTGTGTTTCTCTTCATTAATTGTTAACTCGGATGGTTATGATCCTGTGCAATTGTCATTGATTAAATCTTTCCTGGTAATAAAGTGTAAACAATGTGGCTACCGGCGGAAAATTAAGGTTTCAAAGGAGAGAAGAAATTACTATGAGAAGCTTATTTTCGGTGATGGAAAATCAACTGAACTAATTGTTCCCTCTAAATCTACATTGGAAGTTGAATCTCGAAAGAAAAAGAAAACCACCGACATCAGTTGATTAGATTATTCTAAAAAGTCTTGCGAAAATTGTTAACACAGTAAATCCACTAACTACTGCAACAATTAGAAAAAGTGACTTTAAATTTCTTGCTGTTCGCTGAGCCGTTTGAGCTTTTTCAATTTCACTTTGACCTTTTTGGATGGAATGAAGATTCTGATCTGCCATTTCCTTTATATTAACTACCGTCTCTCTGGTTTCGTAAACATTTTATCGCTGAAAGTTGATTATTATTACCAGAGATAAAAAATATTACAGTACGAATTAACTTCCACATAGAGAGCGACAATTAGTTGTTGAATTGTGATGAAAAATTACAGCCAATTTATTAAATTTTTCACTAATTGTAACATTGTATTTATTTTCTCTCCAGCTAAACCAACAATTGTCCGTTTTCATGTTTGGCTTTTAAGTTTAGATTCAATTGACGAAGTCTCAATGGTAAGTCTTCATTTTCAATTCGTTAGTGATGTTAATTGGTATCACTTGAATATCATAAGAGGTGTTCACTAATTAAAGGGTGTTAAGGATAAAGTGTTTAGATTTTTTTTCTTCTTCTTACACTTGTACTTTCTTGTCTTTCTATTGTCACTTGTTTACCTGGTCAAGGCAAGAATAAACTCCTCATATTCTGAACACTTTATCCTTAACATCCTTTAGAAGGAAAAAGTTTGAAAATGAATATCTCGATAGCCCGAATTGATAATTTTATGATTTACAGTTTATTATATTCCCTTAAGACCCTAAATAGATCGACTTTATCCATTGAGCATTTTTCTGTCCTTCCGTCGATTAATGGCCGCTCGAAGTGAGAGCCGCCGAAATTTAATTTTCTGCTCAATTTTAGAGTTTAAACCAAAAAAATTGTCCTTTTCTTTAGCCAGATTGTGATTTTTTTTTGAAAAATCGACTCTCTCATCTCTAAATGGCCATGATATTTGGTTTTTCGGTGAAAAAAATTAATTATTTTGTTGAATTTAGCTAAATTGAATTAAAAAGTTTAGAGAGTTTTCGTGCATTAAAATCAATGCAGTAAAATTCATATTTAGACATCGCTCACTCTAATAAAAATTTTGGAAACTAATCATAATCTGACCAGAACTTAATTAATATCATTGAACAGATCAGTTAATCACCATTAATTTAAGCTATTTTGCAAGTCCCTGAGTCCAGAATTTTTGGCGCTACGATCGTTCAAACTTTTTCCTTTTAATTAGTGAACACCTCTTAATTAGATTTTAATCTACCTGGTAAATTGTCATGTTTTCTCAGTTGCATTTTACAATTTCACTTTGTAGAGTAATATTTTTTACTACTGGTACTATTGTACCAGTTTAAATTAAGTTAAGTTCATTTGTGATTGTGAGAAGTTCAAACAATTTATCGCTAATTATGATTGAAATGATCAGATATGTTTTCCATGATTTCTGGGAAACTGTTGGCTCTTCAAACTTGAGTTGGTTTCCAACATTAAAAGGTGGACCCTGGGCGATTCTGTGTATTATTGGTTGTTATTTGTACTTTGTGACCAATTTGGGACCTCGATTGATGAAAAATCGTGAACCATTTGAGTTGCGGTCAATACTTTTGGTCCACAATATAATAAAGATTATTTTATATTCTATCGTACTCATATTAGGTTCATGGTGTATTGATGGAGGCTCGAAAGCTACCAAATGTGAACTATTCAATTTCGATGGTGATGATTTGAAAACTCGTATAACTATTTCAATAGGACTGGAATATTATCTCCTTAAATATTTTGACCTAATGGACACAATTTACTTTGTCCTGAAAAAGAAAACCTCTCAAGTGACCTCTGCCCATCTTATCCACCACAGTCTCATGCCTTTACTTTTCTACGTGGCTTATAAGTTCTGCCCAAGTCTCCATTTGGGTTTAATTCCAATAGTCAATTCTTTCATCCATTTTCTAACAGCAACTTATCACATAATTTGCACTATTGATCCCTCGCGGAAACATATTTACCGTAATTGGGCTCGTTACCTTTTCCATCTTCAAATGATACAGTTTGTTTTCTTCATCATCATTTTCTTGAACATGGTTTATCTCATGGAAGATTGTCCCTGTAGTACTTTACTGGCCAGTTTCTCAATCTGTGTGACCACAATTTTCCTTGTCTTAAATGTGGTCAGTTGGTTGAAAATTGGTTCGCTCATTTGTGTACCGAATATGCATATTGATTCACAGAAAGAAATTAATAAATCAAAAGTAAATTAAACATCATTTGATACAATTGATGCCTTTTTAATGAATTGATAATAATTTCAGCTTTTTGTCGGAAACGGAAATGATGAGGTACCAATAAAAAGTACAACTCGTTTTGTTTGCACAGTTGTTGGAAAATTTCCAATGGAAATCAGTCAATCAGTTGAGAAAAATTCCAAATTGTGTTATTTAGCCTTCGCAATAGTTTCTACCAAGAGGAGGCGCTACAGTCGAACAGTTGATTTACATGTTGATTTAATTTTCCATTAGAATTTTTATCAATTGTTTTGGTTTAATTGTTACTCTTTTTTAATGGATATTTACAATCGTGTTAATTATTTACAAGCAATAGCTCAAGAATTGAGTAAAAAGGAAGACATTGACCAGTTAAGATTGGCCTCATTTATGGGTTACACTTGTAAAGAGATTTGTTTGAAAAATCAAGTGGCTACTTTTGGTTGGGATCCAATTAAAAGGCAATCATGTAAATTGTGTTTCTCTTCATTAATTGTTAACTCGGATGGTTATGATCCTGTGCAATTGTCATTGATTAAATCTTTCCTGGTAATAAAGTGTAAACAATGTGGCTACCGGCGGAAAATTAAGGTTTCAAAGGAGAGAAGAAATTACTATGAGAAGCTTATTTTCGGTGATGGAAAATCAACTGAACTAATTGTTCCCTCTAAATCTACATTGGAAGTTGAATCTCGAAAGAAAAAGAAAACCACCGAAATCAGTTGATTAGATTATTCTAAAAAGTCTTGCGAAAATTGTTAACACAGTAAATCCACTAACCACTGCAACAATTAGAAAAAGTGACTTTAAATTTCTTGCTGTTCGCTGAGCCGTTTGAGCTTTTTCAATTTCACTTTGACCTTTTTGGATGGAATGAAGATTCTGATCTGCCATTTCTTTTATATTAATTACCGTCTCTCTGGTCTCGTAAATATTGTTATGGATGAACTGCATCAACTTTTCATTCTCCTTCCATGTTTCTTCCAATTGCCTTTGGAAAGGAAAAAGAAAACAAAAAAAAATGGAAAAGACAAAGAAAATGATCAACAAGCGAAATTCAAACTTCTCTAATCAACTAGTTTACCTTAAAGCAATTTGATTATCCATGAGACTTCCAGTTGATTTTTTCGCTTTCTTATCAATCAGTTGTTCATGTTGATTGAAAATCTTCTCAATCTCCGGTTGGAAAGTAAACTCCCAATCATAAGTGAAATACTTCAACTCATCCATTCCGAACTTGTAATAATCTGATGTTGGCTCTTTATCGGCTAACGAGGACCTGATCAAATTCATCAGCCGAACAATATCACTTGACTCCTCTCGAATGTCCTTTAAACTTAAATAGATCCAAGTTTTATTCTCTTCGCCACTTTGAAGGACCAAAGTGGCCAATTTGAGCTTCCATTTAATTAAACTTCTCTCAAGCTCATTGAATTTCCAATTAACCGATGCACACCATTCAACCAACACACAATGGTCACTTTTGGCCATAACAATCAAGGAAAACTTTCAACTCACCAATACCCGAAACCCACCGGAAGGAAAGGACCAACGAAAATCAGAAACTCGAATCAAATCCATTCAATCAACAAAAATTCATCAGTCAATTAATCAACAAAAACCAGATCAAAACAAACATAAACAATTTTAATTTCTCAAAAGTTATAATTGAGCAACAATTAGAGTAAATTGTCAATACAATTCCCAATTAGAATCCTTATCCTCAATATATTGTTATCCACTTAATTTTGTATAAATTGTAGGATAAACAAAGTGTAACATTGATTTGTAATTTTACAATAATAAGCTAATTTATATATACCTTTTAACTGGGATTAATTTGATTGTTAATCAATTCTATTCACTATGTCTGTTAATTGTGTTAATTTGTTAGTTGGTTAAAAAGCAAATTTTGTTTCCTTTTTTTTTTGGGGCTTCTATTTGAATTCAATTTTTTTCTCATTTAATTTTGTGACCACAATTAAGTTATCAACATGACAATTTATTTGGAAAACAATTTATTAGACAATTATCAAGTTTTCGTGTTAGGATTAGTCAGCATGATGGGATTAACTGTCACCCTGATGATGTGCGCTTGTGGTAAACAAGGTAAGTGATTAAGGAGATTGAATTAAGTTAATTGGTCGATTCTTTAACTCGATTATCATCGAATCAAAATTTGATTTGATTGTTGTTCCATTGATTTTGATCGATAACTTTTTCAGAAGAGAATAAACCAGGAACGGGACCGAACGCGGATGCAGAGATTGGAAAACAGGGAGTGCCCGAAGCTCAACAAGCGAGTCAAATGCCTGGAGCACCTCCGATATCAACAGTTGACGCAGAAGCATCGGGAGCGACATCACAGGCCACTTCGGCTATTTCAGGGGTCGAATCAGGGGTTGGTTCAGCTGTTAGTCCAAGTGGAGTTCAAAGTAACGTTGGATCACGAATGTGTAAGTTTAAATTGCTCTTGAAATTTTGAAATCGAAGTTTTTTTTTTTGATCTTTTTCTTTGGTTTGTTTTATTTGATACTCTCTTTTAGCGTCCGCCGTTGGTTCAGTTGTAGACTCAACGATTTCTCGAAACTCAGCTGTTAGCAGTGCTGTGGGTTCTTCTGTTGTCTCTACTATTTCTGGTGTCGACTCTCGGGCAAGTGGAGCAAGTTCAATGGGTTCAACCGCTGGTTCAACTGTTGACTCTCGAGTTGGTTCAGCCATGGGCTCAACTGTTGGTTCTACCGCTGGATCGGCCATGGGTTCAACTGCAGGATCAGCTATGGGTTCATTTGCTGGATCAAATGTAGACTCTCGTGTCGGCTCAGCAATGGGCTCAACTGTTGGCTCTTCAATGAATTCAAACGTTAATAGATCATCGGTTGGATCAACAGTCGATTCTCGTGTTTCCGGTGTTTCAGGAATCGCATCATCAAACGTATCCGGTATTTCCTCCGCTGTTTCCAACACCTCTCGAGTCTCCAATATTTCAGCCGTTGACTCTCGAGCTGTTTCTGGTATCGATTCCAAACAAACTTCAGCCATGTCACAGTTGTCTTCACGTCCATCCAATGTTCCAAGTGCAGTAGCGTCAAAAGGTTCAACCACCGGCGCAGTAAAATCTAAAGGCTCGACCGTCGGTGCATCGCCATCAAAAGGTTCGACTGTTGCTTCATCTCTATCGAAAGGCTCAACTGCCGCTTCGAATGTTGGCTCAACCTTATCCAAAGCATCGTCCAAGTCAAAAGCCTCAAAAGGAGGATCTAAAATGTAACCCCCTCACCCACTCAGCCCAATCTCCGCTCTCCCATTCCAACCATGAAACAGGAAAAAGAGGGAAAAACAAAATCCACTCCACAGAAAAAAAGATAAGTTCACAATTCCAAGTTATTCCAACTCATTGGATCAATAAAATCACCATGGTGAAGATCAAAAGGGAATCCATGATAAATTTTTCTTCTCTTTCATCCTGTTCCCCCCAAATAACAACTGAGACAACTCTATCTTCTTGTCTATCTTCATTTATCATCAACATTCTAATTATAATAATATCAAATTCTGCTCATGCTAAGAATCGGGAATCTTTTATGTAATCGAACAAAAAAAACCGAAAAATCTTCCCTCCCAGTAAGAAATATCCTCCTTCCTCTTTCTAACCCTCTGTCTATCTCATCCACGTCTCCCTTTCACCTTTCTCATCTTCTCTGTCTAAACTAATCTAACCTTCTCTGTCTATTATTTATCCTCCATTATAATTATTATTACTCTTATATTGTATTTACCATTGCAACTGTTATACTAAAACACATCCCTGTTCAATGTTTTGAATCGTAATCAACGTTAATTCCTCCTCGATATATCTATTTTTTTCAGTTCATCGTCATCCTCATCATCCTCATCTTCATGATAAAATCATTTCCACCTTGAAAATTTGGGAGTCTGAGTGTTCAGCTAATCAACAAACCAACACAATTAATTGAAACACAGCAACAACATCAACAACAAACGAGTAACTTACCAAATCCACGATGATGAACAGTTAAGATAATCTTAATTTGATTACAACAATTAACTTTCCTTTTAAATTGTTGATGAATTTTTCTTTTCTAATTATGATCAGTTTTGTGATAATCTAATTGTTAATCAGTTTTTAATTTTTGTTTCTTTTCACTTATTGATTGTTTGTCCATTCATATTGGTTGTTGGTGTTGTTATATTTTAATTCACTGTTATCATTATAATAGTTTAATCAACTACATTAATTAACTACAATTTATATATACATAAATCTAAGTATTAATCAAAGGAATCGATAAGTTAATTGTTAATACCTGTTCAAAAATTGGATTAATCTGTCAATCATTTTTATCGTAATTAATAAATTAAGTGTTAACTAAATTTTCTGTCAGTTGATTAACAAATTTACACCCAAATTATTGATTAATTGTTTTCACGAGTTTTCTTAATTGTCAGCTTACAATTTAAATGTTCTCAAGTTAAATCATCAACAACAATCATCGGAATATATATAGATAAAAAAAAATCAACAATCAACTGAAATTTGGTAAATCAAATGACAACTTAAATCAACAATCAAATCAAGTTAATTATCATCAAATTTGGGTTATAATTAACTAACCCAACATCAACATCTACCTTTACAATCAACATTTGAATAGACACAATTAAATAAAAGCCAATCACTTAACGATTGATCATCTTCATTGTGTCATGTTATCATTAGTTAGTCCAACAATTAACTTAATCACTTTGGTCTGTTTAATTAATTGTGTTGTTTGTAATCAAGTTTTCACCAATTCATTTTATGTAAAACTCAACGGTCCCTATGGGTCAGATGTGGCCCACTCTATAGCTCAGAAACATGGATTTATCAACTTAGGACCGGTAAGTGACCAATGTCCAGTCCCGATAAGATTTACACTCGAGAAAAACAAAACAAATTATCAAAAAATTATCGATTTCCAATCAATTTTAATCTCATTTTATTACTATTAATAGATTGTCATGAATAACAGTTAATCATATTGATTGGTTTTCTTGTCTTACCAGAACAAAAAAATCTTGATTAACAATTAACAATTAATTTTCTTGTTTATTTATCTTTCCTGTTGATTTAAATTATTGTAACAATAATTAAGGACCAATTTGATTGGTTGGAGAAACATTTTAATTCTGATTAGTTACTAATCAATATCACCTTATAATCAATCATCTCAATTGGATAATTAATTGATTATAGTCATTAGATTACCAATATTCTGGTTGTTACTAATTAAATATCAAAAGATCAGCTTGATATTTTTTTTTGTTAATTGTGATTAAACTATTATATCAATCGGTTGATTTTAACACCATTAAGTTAATTTTATATTACAGGTAATCAACTTGCTCTTTAATTATAAAGTTTATCATTACGATGACGTAACATGATTAAAATGATAACATTAATCATATACATTAATGGTTATTATTAATTTAGAGATCAACAATTAATTATTAATCCTAATATATAATCAATAATTAGAATCAGCATTTTGTTTATCATAAACTAAATTTAGTTCAATTCATTTACAAAACTTGATTATTGTCAACAATTAACAGGGAGTTTTTTTTTCATTAATAAAATCAACCAATAGATAATCAAATTACAATAAGAGATAATCAATAATCAGATCAAATCAAATTGTCTCAAGATTTTTCAAAAAAAATTAGATAATTTAATTTGCTTCCAATTTATTGATTTAATTTAGTCTCTTTTTGCTTCCTCTTTGTGTTATGATTAGTTGATTGTTGAACTAAATTGTAACGTATGTTTCATGTTTAGTTAATTGTCTTTCGTAAATTTAATTACTATTTTCATCTTTATCATAACTTTACCATCTCATTGATTGTTAATTTTTCATTAAGATGAAATGTGATTTGTGACCAATTAAGAGCCAACAATTGAATTAAATTGTTTCCCTTTGATTAACAAGTAGGAGAAACACTTTGACAAAATATTATAAGGAAATGTTAATTGTTTGAACTGTAGCCAAATAATAAATGTGAACAAAATCAATCACAATCATGAAAGACAAACAATTGACTAAATTGATTATCAAGATGAATTATTTTCAAAGTATCAACAATCAATGAATTGTTATTTCAAGTTGTTGAAATAACAAAATATCACAAAGGTGATAAAAAAAAACTATATAAACCATTTCAATTGTTCATGATCATTATTATTATCAATTGAAAATCCTTGATTGTTGTTATTAATATATAAGTTATCAACTTATACGGTTACTAAATTGTGTTCCGACTGCTTGTTATTGTTTCATTAGATCATCATGGTCATCAGAACAGCGAGAGAGAGAGAGAGAGAAACTGAGGTGGACAATGAGAGTTTCAAAGTAATGATAACAATAGTTGAGAAATAACTGGATCGATGCCAAAATAATGACCATTGTCTTGAGGTTTCCAAACTGGACAATGAAAAATTGTAGAACAATTTAGATTTTCACAAACTAGATTGGGCGAAATAAAGTTTTTTTTTCCAATTCCAAACCATGATGATGATGATGATGACCATGAAAATCGAGATTATCTTTGTGATCACAATGAAATTTGTTCATTAAAAACTTGATAACTTTAGTGACAGTTTTAAATGTAGTCACATGGAGTAAATTGATTAGTTGAATTCATTGATACCAAATGGATTGTGATTATTTTTGTGATTTCATTCATTTTCATGTTTGTATGATAAAATACAAATGATAAGTAAACTCAATTTGCGTCAAAATTAAGTTAATTGACAGTTGAATGGAACTTAGAATCTTCATCATCATCTAATTTTCATCGTCACGTTTTAACACAATCTGACAATTCCAACTGTTATCATCCATTATCAAATCATGATGAATGCTAATCATGTCCAAAAGGTGTGATAGTTATCATGACGATTCCAATATAATCCAAGAAACCTTGAAAAGGAAAGAGTTATAACCAAATTTATGAATGAAATTTGCGTGATCAGTTGATTATCAATAATTTATTTCTCCCTGAAATACAATTATTTTAACTGAGTTCATGGTGAAATTTACCTGATACATTTCCAGAGTTTCTTTTTTTTTCAATCACAATTTTGTTCTTTTCAATTTCTCAATCTTTTTTCTTTCTCTTTTCATCTGAAACCAGAAAAGGGAAACATTATCATGACCCAATTTCAATTTAACCGTAAATTTTATCCCATAGTCTCCTTGCTTATTGTTATCATGGTTAAACAAAATTGAGAGACTCCATCATTCTGGTTGTGTTGATAAATCAATTGATTTTCACTTGAATGATTATAATCAACTGGTTTCTCCACTTGATGATCAGTTTCTTCGAGGTTAATTGTTTCCATATGGATCATCATTAGACAGGAAAGATATTGACACATGGAAAATTGATTCGAATCTGTTTAACGAGACAAGTTAATTGTAGAAGATAAATTATTGAAAGAATAAGTAAATTTGTATCAAAAATTGATATATAAAAGTGAATTAATAGCTGGGAAAACAAAAGGTTATATAATTTATGATAAAAGTTTTTGGGTTAAATATTCAAGAGAGTATAATAAATATCGATAATGATAATGATTATTACCGTTATTTTGTTTTTCTCATAAATTTTATATGCTATTGAATGAAAATCATAATTTAAATTGTTCTCTTTTGTTTCTCCTCGAATCCTGGACAATTAAACAGCTTCTCAGTTCTCCCCATGAGTTTCATTTTATCCACCGGGCATTACCTCACACCAGAACGAAACGAAGTATATCTCATACCAGGAAGCTTAAAAACGATCCACAGGTAAGACGAATTGACCTAATTCTGGATTCTATTTAAATCATAAGCAAAAAGGAAGGGAGGGATTCGATTAAGTAACTAAATCATCAGGGATAACCTCAATGATGACAGTTTCTTTTTTCGTGTGATTGATACAAAACTTCAATACAGTTGAGAAATAAAAACCAAAACAGGAAAGATGATGAAAACTCATTAGATGATGAGAAAATTATCTTAATCGATATGAGTGAAGCGATTCATCAGTTATAATAAGATGGGAATTAAGTTCATCTTCATTTATCATTTTGTGATTAACAGGTAGAATTAGCAGTTCAACAATCAGGATTTAAACGAGTTAAACGTGGTTATCGCCAACTAATCCTTGGTCCTGAACATTTATCACTTAATCAAGAACCAAGTGATCCCTATTTTCCTTTCCAATGGTATCTGGTAAGTTATCAATCTAATCATTTACAATCACCAACAACAATATCCATTTAAAATCCTCTCCTTGTCGTCCTAAAGTGAATCTTTTTTTATATGTGTCGAAATAACTAATCCATCAATTGATCGTTAATGTTATTTTTGTCACACACACGTTTCAGAAGCCTGTGAACAAAACTGGTGATAATAAAGCCAATACCAAAGGCAATTTTAAGATTAATCATCAAAATCAGTCAGTAAATTACATATAACTCCAAGTCTCACTGGAACATTGTCATCCCTTCATTAAACTTTAATCTCATGAGCCTAGAAGTATAATCGTAATCAACTAAGATCAGATTAAGAAACTTAGATTGAAAAATCTAGATGAGGAAAAAAGGAGAAAATATTTTTTACCGATTAGAAAATCAATATAAAAAGTATTTAAAAAATATTCACAAATTATTAGAAAATAATATTTACCAGACTAATTTTGTTTCTTTCCATTGGAGTAGCTTTTAACACGCCCTAAGGCAAGTGAATTAAATATAGTGACAATTTCAGGAATCATTAGATTATCTCAAACGTGGAAAAGTTTTCAATGAAAACATTTCGTCAGATTTGGTTCTTTGAGTCTCTGTAGAATTTTTTTTCTCTCCTCTTCTTTTCTCACACTATATGATTGTTTCCTTCCATGTGAAATATTACGTTGTTATCTTTCTGGATGGAGTAAAAAAAAGAAGAATATAAAGATTCATGAGAAAATTCATGTAGACACAAACAAAAGAGTTATAAAGACAGAGACAGTGAAAGACACTTACCAAAGTGTAGAAACAGTTATGAGAGAGAAAAGAATAACTGATTCAACTGTTGAGAGATTACAGAGAGAGAAAGGAATCATTTTCTATAATTACACCATATTAACTGGAGATATTATCTTTTTATCTGATTCATATCAGCGGAATGTTGGACAAAATGGAGGTAAACCCAAATTGGACTTAAATGTTGAAGCTGCTTGGGCCCAAGGCTATACAGGGAAAAATGTAACAACCGCCATAATGGATGACGGTAAATTAATATCTTCCATAGATATACTTTTCTCGTCAAAGTTTCTGGAAAAATCCATATCCACTTGAAACCTTTCCTTTCCTTTCCAATTGACCACAGCAACATGAGAGAAAAAAAAACAGAAAATTCTACAGAGAACAAAATTTTACTTCAAATGTAATTTTCTAAAGTAAATTTTTTTTTCTCTTCTTTTTTATCCATCAAACGAAAAACAAACACCAATAGGAGTTGATTACATGCACCCAGATCTCCGAGAAAACTATGTAAGTTTGTAATCTTAAAATTTAATCAAAATCCAAGGCAGTGTAACCAAATTAAGAGAAAAGTGAACAAGATTAACACAAAAATTAGCAAAAACCAGAAACAGTATCAAGAAAAAAAAACCAAATCCATTCATTGAACTTTATTAGGAAACTGTTGATCATTAACTTGAGAAACAATCATCAATCCTCCAACTAAATCAATGGATTATGTAAAAGAAATTAAGTTAAGAGTAACAACAATTAAAACCAAAAAGAAACTCAAATGAAACCAATTAGAAAACAACATTTTGATTAATCAACTGATTCGTCATCCGATTGATCGATAAATAGACACAAAGAAGAGGCTAAACTGCGAGCAGAAACAAAAAGGTAACCAAAGAGTTGGAATGATAAAGAAAAGAAAACAAAATGTCGACTCGTTTTCCAATTAATTGTCTAGTGTAATTAATTTTAATTCTAATTGAATATTTTATTTTCCTCATTAATCTAAGTAAATAACAGAGAAATTAAATTCTCTGGTGACAATGAGAAAAAGAAAACATCTAAAAACGACAATTCTATTGAATGAAATGTTCAATTCACCAATTTAGTTTTCTTATTTTTGTAAATTCTTTTTTTTTTGTGTCAATTGTTCTTTTTTCTCTTTGTGTCTAACAATCTTGATTCTTTTCGTTAACCTGATCGATTAATTGATTAATTCACCTTTAACCATCACTTGTAATCATCTCTTCGTTGATTAAATTACAAATCCAATTAGAATGCGAAAGCCAGTTATGATTTCAGCAGCAATGATCCTTACCCATACCCTCGGTACACTGATGACTGGTTCAACAGGTAAGCTTAATTACTTCAATTAATTTGGCCATTTTGATTTCCACAAATATATAATCCACTTGTCCACCTCTCACCGAAAGTAAAAACTGAAACTAATCCGATATTCTGAAATTTTGTGTGGAAACATAATTGCTTCATATTTATTAATACAAAGATTAAGCAAAAATTTTTACTCTCTCATTGATAAATTTGTTTAGTTTCCTATTGACGTTTACTATTGTCGTCATACAAACAATCATTTATTAGTAAATTGTTTCAACACTTAACCAGTTCATTCATCACCACCATATATCACCAAGTTCAATATATATAAATGAGTAGAGAGGCAAAAAAAAATAAACAACTAGAAACAGAGATAATCCCAAAGGATAAGCTTTTTGTTTTTGTCGGTCCTCAGTTTGTCAATCACACAACAAGATTGTTCCTTACACATGTAACTAATGATTTAATCAATAATTTAAATCATTTTCACTTGGAATTCAAGTTAATCTAATATAATTATAGATCTTATACTTTTTTTCTCACCTTAATCATTTAGAATTGAATTGTAAGTGTAAATAAATTATCACTCATGATGATAAAAAAAAACCCACATGAAAATCAGGCAATGTAACAATAATAATAATCTAATAATAATGTTCACATGATAATTGATTTGCTATTGAATTTTTTAAATTGTTGTTGATGAATTTGGGTGAAAATGATTGTTACATTTATGCAAATGGAAATGATGATCATTGTAATAACAATAAATTGTGATGATTTTTATGTAACTACAATCAACAAAATCCAAAACAATTATCAAGAGATTTCCAATTGTATAGAGTTTATTTTCATTAATTTAATTGCTGTTCAGCCTTCAACCTTTTCTCTTCTTGCACAATCAAATCAAATGGTATTAACAATTTAATGATTCTAAAAATGTTTCTATTAGTACATTGACAAAATCAACAAACTAATTACAGAAAGAGAAAGAAATTAAAAAAGTTCAATGATTACAAATGAATTGGAAATTTTTTGTTCACTTCTCCAACTAAATTGTTGATCATTTTCTCATTCAATCTGATTAATTGTTTCAATCAAAAGTTTCATCATGAAATTCAATCTCTTCCTTTAAGTGATAACCTTGTTAACAGATAGATTTATATATTTTTCTATTGGTTGATTTCTGGAAACCATAATTCAATTAATAAACCAGATAAAATGATGAAATATTATACGATAATCATGATGATTAACCCAGAAAAAAACAACTTGATGATCTATATCATTTTCATTGTTATTCATCATCTATAAGCACGTTTCAAATGAAGATGATGAACTTTTATCATGTTCATGAGAAGCCAAATGATGAATCTAATCAAGTATAAAAAAAGAAAAATATAAAAAATAGTTACTAATGAGAATAAAATTCTGAGTTCCAAATGAACCAATGAATCTTTTTCTCCCCTGAAACAATCATGAAGAATCATTAGAACTTATTTACCAGATTAATTATTATTACCTTTAGAATTTATTTTAAAAAACTTTACCATAATTAAATGGAATTGATTAAATTAACTGATCAATTTCAACCTCTTTTTGTTATCATGATTATTGGTTCGAAAATTCTGGTTTAGATAGAAAAGTTTTCTTTTCTTCTTCTTCCTCCTACTTTTCCTTTTCCTCTTCGTTTATTCTGATCATGATTGAACACTGAGAAATCTTGAACTTCAGTGGATAGATTGTTAAGGAAAAATAAATACAACTTATTCTTGACTACTGGCCAGTGGTCATCTTTTATCATGGTCATCATGTTTTTCACTTTAACTTTCTCTTCGTCTTTTTCTTTAATCATGTTATTTATTTTCCCTTTTCTTCATCCTTATCCCTTTTCTCAGGAGAAACTATGTTTCTAATACCATTTCCATGATAGAAACAGGATAAACTCAGGTAGAAGTTCAATTTTATCTGTTTCAGAACAGAAAGAATCACCTATTCATTTTAAATCGATGAGAATTTCATAATATTCATGATAATACTCATGACCATAAGATGTTCTGGTTTCATATTAAACCTTCATCTCGATATTTTATCATGAGATTATCTTTCTGTCACCTTAGTAGTAATGATCTATTAATATTATCAATTGTTAATCAATTGATTGTAATAATTTATTTCCTTTTCAATTACCTTGATAAACTTTCCATTTCTTTATATTAATAAATGTTTGATTGTGTTAAACATTATTATCCTTGATTAATGAATAGTTAATTGTGTCACCAAATGTTGTCGTAATTGTGAAAGATTGATAACTTTAAAACCTATTATTCCGTCAACAATTAACTAATCACCAATTGGATTGAAACAATTTTCACTTTTAAAATGATTAATAGTATTTGGAAACTTACAATTAAATGGTACAATTATCATTTGATTTAATTACGAATAAGATTAAAATTAATCTCATGTGGAAAGAGATTGATAAATATTCTTACGTTGATTATAATGATTATCAAAGTGAAAGATATTCAAAGATTAAATCGTTAGATTGATTAAGTATCAATCTAATTGTAATTCATGAGAAAACAAAATGGCGACTGGTGTTCAAACTGTTCTCATGAGTTTATCCAGAACCTGATGAACTGAAACTCAGCATCAATTCACTTTCATCATCATCACTTTTCATCTTTCTCTCCTTTTCATCCTTAGTATCAATCATACAATTGATCCATGTGATTACCTAGACGGAATCACCTTTAACCTTTACTAAATCATTAGTTAGTTAATCTTAATCAACTATAGATTATTTAATCACGATTACTTTTTTCACACTAAAACTACAAATCTAATTTTCTCATGATTTTAATTGCAGACAATTAGAACTAATTTTTACCTATTTTTTTTAGGATTAATGACTGATTGTTATCAATCAATTGATGATAATCATTATGTCATAACAATTTATAAATTGTTACCAATTGAATTGACTACCTTTTCTAATGGGTAAAGTTAATGAGTGATTATTATTTCATCTCATGTCAGTATTTATTTCAAGATTTAATTGTTGTTGATTATAATTTATGGTAACGACATTGACATTTAACATTAAGGTTAATTGTAATTAATCCAATTAATATTCATAGACAAGGAAAACCCATTGATTGTTAATTTATTAACCAGACAATTTGATTGTTGTTTTTTTTAGTATCCATACTGTTAATCAAATTACCCATTGAACAGTTTGAAAACTTAATTTTCTGCAATTAATATTTGGTTAAGATGATTTTTATTATAATACACAATTAAACTCTACCCATTAAATTTGATTACAATAATTAATTGTAAGACAAGTACATTAAATAGCCAAGTGACAGTGATTAAAGCTCAACAGTGTTGATAATTAATTTGATTAAGTTTGACCATGATAATTATCCAAGACAAACTAATCATAATTGTCATCAATTTAAATTGACAATATAATTAATCAACAATCACGTAAATCAATTACATTAAACAATTGTCAATACAATGATTAAATAAGGATAACATGAGATGATATAATTAATAGCAAGGTAACTTAATTATTTAAAGATTACTAATTACTACTGTTAATCTGAAAGATGATCTTGATAATCAAGTTTGCACTTGATCTGCACTTCCAATTATGTAATAAATATTTGAATATCTGGTTAACATTGTTACTCAAATTTTAATGATTACGTAAATTGTTACAATACAATAAACAATATTTATTGTATTCTCATGATATATTTGATAATCATTTAACAATCATCAATATCAATATGTAAAAACGGTGTAATATCAACAATCACAATGCCTCGAAACCATTGAAACTATAATAAGTTAAAAAATGATGTAATGAACAAAAACGAGTCAATTATCATGATAGTTAATTAGTGTTATCATGTCGGAAATGAAACATGATTAACTTGGTGATTTATTGTTGATTCAAGTTGAAATTCATTTATATCTTATACACATTCATACCTTATGTATGATTGTTGTTACAATATCATTCATCCTCATCATGATTAACTTGAAATTCACTCATGTGTCAACTTTACGTTAATTATTACCTTGTTGATCAATTGATACATTAACAATTTATATGATAACGTAATGATTAAGATGATTATCAGTAGAAGATGAAAATTGTTTCTATTCTGTTGAAGTGTCAATTAGGATTCAATATGTGACCAGAATTTATTTATTTAATATTAAATGATTAGCGAATTTGTTGACGATGATTATCATTATTTTTAGAAAGATTAAAATGATAATCTAAATTAATTACTGTATGACTAAGCTAAAGGGTGTATAATTTAATTAAATTATCGATGATCAAATATTGACTGTAAAGTTAATTAGTTTCTGTTGAAATGCTCTAATTAATTTAATTGTTATCTTTGTATTAATATTATCACGATAACGTTTGTTTATTATGAGAAAGGCAAAAAAATTTTCTCGAACTCAAAAGTTTGACAATTTTCTAAATCAAATTTAGTTGATTGTTACAATTAGCCAAAAAGTTGGCAACAAAAAGGTGACTCTAGATCAAACTATGGGCTCTGAATCAAGAGATTTTATCCTTTTTTTTCATGAACTTTTGATGAAAAGCTGAAAGGTGAGAAGCTGCGATTCTGATAAGTCCTCTGGTTAACTCTGAAATGCATGTGACTTTTAATTCTTGAGATTCAATGAAATAGTAGATGAAAATTGCTTCTGTGTAATCCGAAATTAAATTGTACCGGGTAACCTAAACTTGCCAGTCTATCGTTTTGATTATAACCTTGATGATTAAATGACCATAATCACCTGGGGTTATAAATGAAATGCTAAGAAAATATCAAATTACTTTATCCATGGGAGTGATTTACTCTTAATCTTGAATGATAATTATGAAAATAACACGATCATCAAATGAAACTTAATTGACCATTAACAAGCTCATTTTGTTCAATTCAATCTTAACCATGCAACTCTGATGTTTGAATGAATTTTGTGTAATCTTAAGGTGAAGAAAACAAAACCTCTCTCTGAATATGTATCATAAGAATCTATAACTTTTAAGCTTTCAAATTATCTGTTTCATAAAATAGTTCAATCTGATTGTTCAGTTCTGATTTTTGTGTAAAACTATTCCGATTATTCTGAGAATAATTTTCACCAAATTATCATCATTTATATGAACTCTAGTTAATTTTTTTCCCTGAATTATTCAAATTTCGTTGATTATCATGATGCTTATAGTTCAAGGTTCCTGTGACCTTTCATACTGTCAATACTTTAGCATTCTGTGTCAAATGAATGTCTTTAATTCAATTTAAACTCAATTGATTATAAACAATTTGCTCAGGTAACAAATGTCATTATCCAACCTGAAACCTGAAGATGAAGCTCTGAAATTCAGTCAAGATATTGCTCAACAATCTCTCCCTGAGATTCTGGTTCCTATTATCAAGACTGAATCTTATATAATTCAAGTTACTTTTATTCATTATTGACATTACCCTGTAATCTTCATGTTACTTTATATCCATTGAAGCTTTTTATTTTCTCATCATCAATATATTCATCTATTATTCATATATAACTGTTTACTTTAACTACTATTGATTAAATTAATTGCTTCTTCCACATGATTAACAAATTATCATTCTACAAATGTCAATGATTGTCCAATAATATTTACATATACACTACTCATGAAAACTATTTTTGAATAAAACTTTTTCATGGTGATGATCACTATTGAACTGACCATTTATATATATATTGATGCTGATAATTATTAGATCAGGTTAACCTTGAACCTTAACCTTTAAGCTATTGATAAACCAGAAGAATCAAGTTACCAGAAAATTTTCCTCATTTTCTATCAAATGATAAGATTCATCCATGGAAAAGATTCCTGATGCCTCATGTAATCATGAATCAGAGAACCATGGAAAAGTAGACATTTGGTTTATTCTCAATCAACAACCTTTACATATTCATCTTCTCAATACTTATCGTGTTCATCCTCATCTTCAAATATTCATCTTATCATATTTTTCATTCCGATTTGTGAGTATTCATGGTATTAGTTTTCATTAGAGTCAAGTAATAATCTTAATACATGTAAATGTAGATACTTGTTGGAGTGAATGTAAATAAGGGTAAAGGTTAATAGTAATACTTGTGATGATGATGAAGATGATGTGTTGTCTTAACAAAATATATTAAGAATATGTTTCAAACTTTCATCAAATTATCATCAACAAATGAATAAGTTTGTATCTTTATTGGAAAATCCAATATCTTGATAACTGTATCATAGTTTTTACCTGAAGTTGACATGAACATTGATGATGCGGATGCTAAGGAAATGATGAGAGGCGGAGGATAAAATTTCAACTTTATATTGAAATTGTGATATTTTCAGTTATCAATTTACCATTTGGTAAAACAATTCTTTCTAGAAATTTAATTGTTATCATGAAATTATAATGAATTATGAAGAAAATGCTGGTGCTTAGAAAAATAATTCCCTTTTCCTATCAAATTTGATATATGAGATAATATTTATTGCTTCTACCTCTATGATTAGTTAATTGTTTGATATAAATTCATTTCGAAAAATATTAATTTAATTAGCTGTTGTTACTCAAGTTATCGTCTATATAGGAATTGAAGATGATTATTATTATGATTAAAGATGGTGGTTGAATACCCACCTTCTACCTATGACTGAATTACATGACTTGAAATTAATTTACTTGTTGGTTATCATAATAATATGTAAGTTTCAATGTTATTTTCATGGTTATCATGAAACAGAAATTCATTTGAGTGACATAACATGAAAGAGACAATCCTATTATCAGAATTACTTAATATTCAAGTTATCATTAGTCTAACTTTTTGTTCATAGCAACAATATTACTCATAATGATGATAATAATAATACATGATAGATACACATACATGCAGTTTATCATGAAAGTTCAAGACGTTGAATTATAATAACAATATACGAAAGTTATGGTTTAAAGATGTTCTTGATTTGACATGACGATTTTTTTTTCTCAGAATTTTCATCCTCATCTTCCTTATTTATGAACTTATCCAAGGTTGTGACTGTTATTATTATTATTATTTTGGAAAAGTTTTTTTTTGAATTATTTTTCCTTTCATTCTTATTCATTGAAAGTTCTGAAAATTCTGATGGTGTCTCAGAATCTTCACTATTCAGATAATATAAATAGTTTAAATCTTTTCAGAATTTGATTCTCAAGTCTTTAATTTATCAATCACCCAACTCTTTATTACAAACATGAGAAATCCTAAATCTAAATATTCAACAATCAACATTCAATATTGAATCAATAAATCAACAATACAGAATCTAAACTTTACTGTTTACTCTCACTTTTTTCTCACCTTTTCAGATTTTGGTCATTACATTTAATCGTTTTCTTGATTATTCAGAATATCATGTAATATATGTATGAATTCACCGAAAAGTTTCATTATTTAAATGATCAATTGAATTGATTTTCTTTCCATACCTTTGATTGATTTTATCATGTGAATCACATTCATGGGTTTGAAGAGAACATAAAAAAAACTGAATAATTGAACATCAATTGTTCAGTATGAATGAATATAAGTAGTAACCATATTGACTCCAAACCCTTTACGATAATTAATAATTTAAATCGTTCAATTTTTCTCATGATAATTTTGTTTTCTCTCATTTTATTTTCTCATCATCTGAAAGCCATGGAACTCGTTGTGCTGGTGAAGTATCAGCGAAACGAGACAATGGAATCTGTGGAGTGGGTGTCGCTTATGATTCTAAAGTTGCTGGTATTCGAATGTTAGATCAACCCTATATGACTGATCTAATCGAAGCAAATTCGATGGGCCATGAACCGAATCTAATTGATATTTACAGTGCAAGTTGGGGTCCAACTGATGATGGTAAAACTGTGGATGGACCTCGAAATGCTACTATGAGAGCGATCGTAAGAGGAGTTAATGAGGTAATTAACATTATCCTCGTGTAATCAATTAATAATCCTAAGAGATTGTTAATCAAGAGCAATTTTGTTACAAACAATTTTATATATGTTTATTAGGTTATTGATTTTCTTTGTTTACATTTGAATAATTATTCATCGTCACCTTGTATCACATTATATGTTTTGTACAGGGACGAAGAGGATTAGGTAATATTTACGTTTGGGCCTCAGGTGATGGTGGTCAAGATGATGATTGTAATTGTGATGGTTATGCTGCTTCTATGTGGACAATATCAATTAATTCAGCAATTAACAATGGCGAGAATGCTCATTACGATGAATCATGTTCATCAACATTAGCATCTACCTTTAGTAATGGAGCTAAAGATCCTCACACTGGAGTGGTAAGCGATAAATTAACAATATAAATAAACAATTAATTGTAATTGTCTTAATGAGATACAATCAAGAGGATTGAATAGTAACTTTATCCAATTTGGCAAGATTTAATTAATCAGTCATGTTTTTCATTTAATACAATTACCATTTTCATGTATGAATTTTTATCGTCCATTTTTTTTAATTGTTTCATTTTATCATTTACAATTAATTTATTAATTTTTCAACTGTTTCATGATGATGATGATGTTTCCTATTTCTATCAAGAACTCAACAGATTCTGATCAGTTGAAGAGAAGATAAAAAGTCATGATAGTATAAGAAGCATTCTGAACCATATGGAAAGAATTGGAATCACAATTTTACTAATTAATTGTAATTATTTTGCTTCACAGGCAACGACTGATCTGTATGGTAAATGTACCAAAACTCATTCAGGAACTTCAGCTGCTGCTCCTGAAGCCGCTGGTGTTTTTGCTTTGGCTCTTGAGGCCAATACCAATCTTACCTGGAGGGATATTCAACATTTAACTGTATTAACCTCCAAAAGGAACTCCCTGTATGATAGTAAGAATCGTTTCCATTGGAATATGAATGGAGTTGGACTTGAATTTAATCATCTCTTCGGATATGGTGTTCTGGATGCCGGTGCCATGGTTGCCTTGGCTTCAATATGGAAAACGGTTCCACCTCGTTACCATTGTGAAGCAGGTTCCATACAGAAAACAATTCCTATTCCAAGTAATGAGAGCATTTATCTTCATATTGACACCAATTCATGTGCTGGCAAAGAATCAGAAGTTAATTACATCGAACACATTCAAGCTGTTATTACACTAAATTCAACCCGCCGTGGAGATGTTACCCTATTCCTCATATCTCCAATGGGCACAAGGTATAAATACGATTAATTAGTTAATTTTTTTGCTCTACTTTTATAATTGAGATACTATTTTTCTTTTCTTTTATCTATTTGTTTTTAATAATCAGATCAATGATTTTGAGTCGACGTCCAAAAGATGACGATTCTCGTGATGGTTTTACAAAATGGCCCTTCATGACGACCCACACTTGGAGTGAAAATCCTCGAGGCCGATGGACTTTGGAAATTAAATTCGACGGTGAAAATCCACAGAAAGGTTTCTTTAAAGAGTGGACATTAATGGTACATGGAGCTAAAGAACCACCTTACAAGGATCTTCCAGTGTTAGATAAAAATTCAAAGCTCGCAATCGTTAAAAAAGCTCACGAATTGGCCTCAGCCCATTAGAGAGGCAAAAAGAACCAAAAGAAAACCATCAGAACATACAATCATCACAATTATCATTTTATCAACATCATCAGAATTACCGACATGATACCACAAAGATAAACCATTAAGCCCATTAGATCAACCTCACCCTCACCCTCACCCTCACCCTCTCTCTCTCTCTCCTTCTCTTTCTCTCTCATTAAAATCCACCACTCGGGAAATGTTGGCGGTGGGAAGGAGGAAAAAAAGACAAATCAAGAAATAATATAAAAATATGAAGACTACCACCCACCAGAAAACCCACCCTGATGAACAGAGGAAAAGATTTAATCTGATTGAGAATTAACTTAATCTTTTCAACGAAAATCCGTTTTTTTTCAATGGACAGAGTAACTTACGATTACGATCAAAAGTAAACCCACAAAATAATCTTCTAACTCCCACTCTTTCCGAACATCTCCCTCATCTTTTTATTTATTTTCTTATCCTCTTCATCACTTCCACATCTTCCTCTTCATCATTATCATCGTCATCATCATCTCTCCAATTATTAATATTCGATAAGATGAGATAAGAGAAGAAGAAAAGAAAAAAAAATTCTGTAAAAGGAAAAGGAAACACAAAAGAGAAAAAAACAATTGCAATCAACTCCTGATTCCAAATCTCGCCTATTCTTTATCATTAAGATTCTTCTTTCATTATTATAATTATGATGATTAATACGATTTCTTGATTATTTCCACGTTAATTATGTTCAACGAGGATAAAAAAAGAAGAAAATGAAAAAAATATATTTCATGATGTTTTCATTGTTGACCATTGATATTTTTCTTTCTCTGATCTCTAGTCTTTTGAATTAAAAACTCGAAAAAGAAAACACTTAATCCTTCAATTAATTGCACTCAAAGTTCGTATATTGACAAGTTGATTACCATGATTGATGTTTTCATTTTTCCATAATTACAAGATATTAAAATGGATAAACCTTTTCCCCAATTCTCTCAAGGGATTTGATACACTTTTCACCGTAAAGATTAGGGATTAACATGAAAAGCAAAGAGAAAGAGTCAAGAACAGTAAACATCTTAAAATCCATAGAGATTTTCTTATTGTTGCTAATCCATCAAGTTGCGAGTTTATTTTGTTGATGGTTGATACTTTTTTTTTATCGATTCTTCATTTTTAACTGGATCAGATTGTAAATTGGATTTAGATTTTCAATATAATTGTTTTTTAATCGAGTCTTTTAGTCAAGGTCTTCACTTGCTTGTGGAACTTGTCTTGGCGCTGTTACTGGTCTATTATTGGGATTATTGGTGTTATTAGAATTGTTTGATTGTAAGTTTTGAGAACCAGCTCTTCCTCCGTCACCAGATGAAGGATCATCTTCATCATTACTATCGTCTTCATTATCTTCCAAGAAAGATTGTAAAAAGTTACCCAGAAATCCTCCGAAACCACGATTACTAGGTGGTGGCCTTAAGCCGAAGTATAATTCACCAATTCGTTGAAGATACTCTCGATATGATGGATCACGACTCAATACTGGTCCATATTTTTCAAGAAGAACGTTGAATGTTGCTGTTTTACCGCTAATATTCAGAAGACAAAAAGAATATAAATTAGATAATATAACAATAATGGAGAATAGACTTACCTCTCAATAGCTATCAGAAGAAACCATAAGAAATTAATCAATGGAAGCAGAAAGGGTGGGTCATTTTTCATTATCTGCGGATGTTTAGCTATATAATATTGTAGCGTTATGTTGGCATAGGCGTGTTGATTTGATTTTGGACAGATATCGTTTAAGTTGAGACTATGGCTGTTATCACTGGAAGACGACAATGGTGTTGATGTGGCGGGTATTGTTGTTGTTGCGGTGGTGCTTGCGGGCGATTTTAATGGTAACTTGATTTCCTCGGTGTTTGCAGAATTACTACTTTTTATACACAATAATTGTAAAATAAATTGAGCTATAAATAGATCGGCTTCTGATTTGTAACCCGAATCGGTGTGATATTCAATCAACATGAGGGCACAATCTTCCCCACATGTGTAACTACAATGAAGAAAATGTCGACGAGAATCAGAGTAATTTCCCTCCTTCCATAGAATGAGAGCAAATTGACGACGAATATGTTGCATTGGGAAGATCTTTCCATTCAACCTTAAAGCTTCTGTGATGAACTTTATTCGTTCCGGTGTTTCAGCTGGAATACGAGATAGTAATTCGCCCAATCGATTGGAAAGCTTATTAACCTCTTGTTCATTTTTCATTGCTAAGAGAAAAAGAAGAAAAAAAGAGATAAATAAAATTACATGAAAAAAAACAATATAAAGGTTAATTTATGTAGACGACAGAATAAGCAGAAACTGTGAAAGTTAAAAATGTTAAGAGCAACATGAGATGATAAAGTTCAGCATGACATTAAATTGAATCAGGAAATTAGTTGATAAAATGACTAAGCACAATTAGACTCAGAAATGTTTGAAATTTTTTTTCCTTAACCAGAGACAATGAAAATCCATGTATGAAATCAGCACCACCAACAGCAACTCAATCGGAGTAACATGATAAAGAAAACAATTTAACACATGATGAACTTTCTGAAAAACTATTGAGAATGTAAAATAATCTTGGACGAAGAAGAGGAGAAAAAGAAAACGTTGAAAACAATTTGGATTACGCTTAATCCAAATCAAGAAAAATACCTTCTTTCATATCCATATCTTTGCTGAGAGTGTCAATGAAAAGAATGGCAAGATCAGCACCAGAATTGAATTGCTGTCGATCAAGTAGCAGGATAGCACCATCGAAAAGAAGATTCTCCAAATCTGTGAACCTTGAACAATTAATATAACGAAAGTGTAGCGTCCGATACAATTGGTGAGCCTCATAAAATTCATTGGATTCAATCAGCTTAGTCAGTTTGGATCGTATCCTTTCCGAACCATGAGTTGCTCTTAGCGAGGCCATCTTTCTTATATAGTACTAGTAATTAGATCAAAGACGAAATAATTCAACCAAAATATCGAAGAAAAAAAACCCAAAGGTATATATAAAGAGAGAAAAGAACAAAAAAACAATAGAATCAAGAGAAAAATCGAGATAGAAAACAAGCCGAAAATCTCAGACACTCTTCCAAAAATCGGAGAGGTGAATCCAAAGAAGATCAATAATGTGGAACAAACAAACACCGAAATTCCCAAACAATTGATCAAAGTAACTTGGAATAGAACAAAAAAAACAGACCACAATTAGTTAATTGACGAAATTAAGTGTAAACAAAATTAGGACAATTAAGGTAAACACCATGAAGAAAAAACCATTTCAGTTACTCAAGCTGATGGAAGGCGTAACCAGCCAGAGTTACGTCACCAAAATGCTTTTTATGCTTTTCCATTTTCGGCTCAACTTGTTTTCCTTTTCAAATTGAAAAAGAAAATCAATCAACAACAATTAACACTTGAGACTTTTAAATTTTGTTGATCGGTCTAACAAAATGATTAACTGACCTTTGAAGTAAAATCTCTGGTTAACTAATGGAAATTTGTACAATTTGAGAGAAAAAGAGAAGAGAATTTTTTTTTCTATTCTTTTCCATTTTGAATTTGACGCTTCTTTTTATTCTATTGACACTGTTACCATGGTGATTGGAATGAACAGTTTTCTCTTCTCTTTCTTTTTCTCTTTCTTTTCTCCCAATGAACATTAAATGTTTATCTTTTCTCACTGATTAACTTAATTACTCTCAGTTTGTGTATCTGTTTCTCTCTCTCTTGATTACTTGTTATTGATTCAATTGTTTAACTTTTTTACTTACATTTCATCCTCGGTTTTAGTGAATCAATTGATTACTCGAATTGGTGAATTTGTTGAGAAAAACAATTAACAAATTTAACTCTTTGTTCATTTTGGTCTCTCAAAAATCTGTTTACCGGAAAAATCATATTCCTCTTTTTTTTTGTTCTCTTTTTGCTTTTTCTTTTTTGACTTTTTTTCGGACTTTCTGGTTTTTCTTTCACTTTATTTGAATTTTAATTCCATTCAATTTACTTTAAATCTCGTTTTATACTCTTTGTTCTTCGGTGATTATTTAAATTCAGTGTCAACAAGATGCCCGGAGTTGTAAGTATAACGGTAGAAAAGCCAATGATCTGTATTCGGTTGCGGTCTTTTGCTTTACTAATTAATTTATTTTCTAATTGTTTTTTTTCCTCTTCTTTTACTAGGGTTCTGAGATTGGGTTCGCTACTCTTCCACACCATTTACATCGTAAATATGCTAAAAAAGGATTCGACTTTACCATCATGGTTGTTGGTATGTTCTTTTCTTTTTGTTTATCTTACCATTAAACAGCAATTCCAACCGAAAGAATGAAAAAAAGCAACTGATCAAATTCATATTGGCTTCATCCTTTTGTCTTATTAATTACTGACGTTGATCATCAATCAATCAATTTATTCCAAATTGTGATTGTAACATTCGCGATTCAAATTTAAATGTCTCTAGTCAAACTCATTCTTTTCTTAACAGTCTTTATCTTCCTTCTTATTTTCTGTATAATATTAGATTAGAATCAATTCTAATTAGTCTAATATTTCATATGTAACAAATCTAACTGATTAACTATCTTAACTTATGAGAGAGGAAAAAAAATCTCGTTACTTTTTCCTTACAATTTGATTGAATTGGCAATATTTTCTAATATTTTCTAATCTTTTCTCTATCTCTTTTTCCCCTTTTTCTTTCAGGTGAATCCGGTTTGGGTAAATCTACTTTAATCAATTGTCTCTTCTTGGCTGATTTATACAGAGATAGGGTCAATATACCTGTTGAACAATTGCTTAACCGAACCATGGCCGTTGAAAAGAAACAATTGGACATCATTGAGAAAGGAATTAAACTCAAAGTTACAATTGTCGATACTCCAGGTTTTGCCGATGCTCTTGACACCGAGAACAGTTTTGACGCTATCGAAGGTTTCATCGATGAACAATATGATCAATATTTCAAAGATGAATCAGGATTGAATCGTAAAAACATAATCGACAACCGTGTTCACTGTTGCTTGTACTTTATATCACCAATTGGTCGAGGGTGAGTTTTGATTAACTTATTTTAATCTCTAAAATCCTTAAAATCTTTGATATATCAAGAAAAGGCAAAAACTAAAATGGTTACAATCAAGATCACTGATCAAGTTTATCCAACAAAAAGTTACCCATAACTAATTGCGTTACCATAAATCACGTTTTCCTAAATCTTTTCATATCTATCATCATATTACCAGTTGATTTTTTCTTCTTTTTTCTCTTATATAACTCAATTTCCCAACCCATTGACATACATCTTGAAGACATTAATTATTATCATTATCTGAGTATATTTTCAATCTGGTATCATGATTTAATATATCATCAGCAATCAGCAGTGGAAATTAATTATTACTGCCATCAGCTAGGAAAGCAAGAAAAAAAACAAAATTAAGATTCCAATATCATTTCAGTTTTTTTTTAATTGGGTATTTAAAGGTTACAATTTTTTTCATGTAGATCATCAAATTATGAACTTAATTTGATCCGATTTCATCTTATTAATTGTATCACGAAAACAATTATACAAAACTGATTACAGTTGAAAACTTGACAATCAGGTAGCTAATGATGTTGATATACCATTAATAATGATTCCAATTTTGATTGCAAAATCAAAGTTGCCCTAATCCACAATTAAAGTAATTCCCTAAATTAATTATCCTCTAAATGATCAGTAAGACTCAAACATAAACAATTCAAAAATAAGGACAATATTTACAAAAAAAATTAATCTATTGAATTAACAGTTAATGATTACCATTGATGATGATCATCTAGTTACATTTACAACAAATTAAACTAAACTAACACAAATATTAAGCATTTGATTGATGATCAATAATCATCATGATTATGATGATTAACAAATCAAATCAAACAAACTTAATCATTAATCAATCCTATGAATAAATTAAGATGAAACTAATTGGCTTAACAACAACAACAACAATAATAAGAGAAACTTAAAAAAAGCTTAATTATAATCATCATAATCTATGAATTGATTGATATGTAATTAATTTCTTAATGAAGGTTTACCTTTTGATACATAACTCTTCAAATATTAATAATATGATTAATTTAAATCACTTTTAAACATTACCATTCATAAAATGAAAATGGCCAGAAAAGTGATGAAGTTAATTGTCTAATAATCAACAACAATTAGATACAATCAGTAATTACTTGAAGTAATATAATGATTAAGTGAAACAGAAAACCAAATCAAAACTTTTCTTGATTCATTCAACCACAAATAGTAAATTATTTCCTATTGAATCTCTCATGATTGTTAATTGTAACAGAAAAAAAATCCTTAAATTAAGGTCACCAATAAGTTACTTAGGTGTATATGCATTACCAAAGTAATTAAGTTTAATGTGTTATTTTAATCATCATTATCATCAGTTTCCTAATGTCTCATTCATTTTGATGAATCTACTTTAACTTTTACCTTACGGATGTTGTCATACATCATCATTTCCCCCCTTTTACCTGGTTCAGGTTTTTCAGCCTACCTGAGGAAAGCAAAAACCTTAACCTAATGATGATTTACTCACAAACCCACTTCCTAGATTAAGATTAATTTGTTGATGATTATACATTTAAACAAAATAAACTTAATCTCATTTCTAATTCAAACACAACCTTAACTTTTACCTGACATTTAAATCAATACATCTGATTAGATAAAAGCATATCCTATGAAAAAGAAAACTTAATTACCTTTTCTAAAATAACATAGTATACCTTTAATCATAATTTAATCGAAATCAAATCAATCATGTCAAATCAAATTGAATTAGAAAAAGGAATAAGTAACAATTTCCCCAATAGATGTCACTCATGTGTCGGTTAAAAACGTAAACACTTTTTTCATTATCTAATTTTTAACCGAATTTAATTAATTATATTTGATTTCAATATGTTCAACATTATCTGGTTAATAATAATTGCCTTTTCGTTTAATTAATTAAACCATTTCAATGGTCAATCAAGTGTCGAGTCTTTGTTGTAATTGAATCAAGAGAAGGACAAAAAATTGAATGATAACAATTAATAACTATTTCCGTAGCTACAATTAACTATCATTGAAATTTTGAACATTCAGTTTAACCAAAGTGTAAAATTATTGCAAATTTCAACTCATTCATAAAGAATGAATTGAAACGGATACAATGTTTTTTGATTGATTTCCTTTTCCTTTTTTTCTTCGTCTTGATTATTAATTTTCTTCTTCCATTATCATTAACATAATCATTATCATTATTTATCGAATTTATTCCCAAATCTAAATTATTATTAATACTATATTATGATAATATGATAATTCTCACCTCCCTGTTTCATTGATATAAAAATTACTCACTCAAAGTTAATCATATTCATTAAGAAAAAAGGAGAGAGAGAGAATTTCTTTTTGACTTGATTATTGTTACTTGAAAGAAAAGGAGATTATTCAAGTTTCCTTCCTTATAACATTGATAATACTCTCATTCATTGTTTTTATATCATCAATTGTGTATTTCCAACTTATCATCATCTTCATCAACACAATCAATCAAATTTCTCTGGATCGTTAATTGTGTATTTCTAAGTGTATCTCAAATTTGACTGATCAGTTTTCACTTGAAAATTAATCAAACTTTTCAATTCCCTCTCCCCAACTAATGAGACTATTCATTTTCATTGGTGATGTTTTATCATCATCATCAACAACAGCAACAATTCACTTAAACAATATAGCTATAAAAAAAATTGATTATCATGATCAATTGTTCAGTAACCTAGTTAATCATGATCCAATTTTTTTGTTTCCAAAAATTTATTACCAACCTGAAAAATAATAGTTACAAACAGAATTGATATTTATATAAGTCTTATGATAATGGTGAATGAAGGAAGTTAGGAAAAGCAATCACAATCAGAATAATATTACACCCTGATGAACAGTCATCTTGGACATGGAGTGAAAGTGGTAAAAAGTTTCAAATTTCGTGGTGATAAAATTCTGGTGGAAAACATTGAAATGCTTAACTCAGCTGATGATCATGAGAATCAGCAAAAGTAAACTCTAAATACAATATAATAACCATTCAATTTAATCGAGATCATAATTTAACTCCTTTCACCTTTTATCATCACCTACTCTTCATTTTCAATGGAATCTGAACTTTCTATTATGATGATAAGAAGAAGAGAAAAAAATTGTCATCTTTTCCATCATCTTAGCTCCCATTGTGATAAAATGACTTTGTGCTTATCATCTCATATCCTTTCTTTTGGCTCTCTCTCTCTCTCTCTCTCTCTCTCTCCCAATGTGTGTCCACCTAAATATGAACATTATTATGACCATCATTTGAAAAGGATATTTGATTTGCTCAACATAGAGGAAAAAGAAAAGAGAATGAGAAAACTAAGTATATTCAATTGAATAACCATTGGAAATGTCCATGTGATCGTAAAATGTTGATACTTTTTCTTCATCATGATGATCATGATGATCATCAGAATATAAATTGAACATTTTGTCAATTCGAAGCACATAATATCAACCAAATACACTTTTTTTTATCATTGTTATTGTTACTATTTCAACGTTAACTTCATTTTCACTTCGAAAATAGTTCTGTCAATTTCGTCACTCCCTGTGATTCTCTGAGTTTTTTTTAATATAATATTAAATAGTCTATCTCTTATCATTATCATCTATATATCATCTTTTGTTTTCTTTCTCATCTACTATTTCTCTAGTAGAAAAAAAATTCACTCTAATATCTGATACATCATTTCCTTATTTCCATTACAACTGAATTCCTTCAATATAACTTGGCGATGGTAATGATTATATAATGATTACAATATTTATATTGATTTAATATGATACTTTGTTACTATTATCATAATGATTGATTTTAAACTAATTGTCGATATCAAAATGAAAATCAATAATGATAATGAACTTGATCTTGGAAACTTTGTTTTCTCATTTGGATTTACTATTGATTAGATTTTTACCCTGAAAAAAGCTTCTCAAATATTAATCCCATTTCCATTAGTAAATCAACTAATTGAGATAATGAATACACCATAACTTTTACTGACCATTCATAATCAATGATTTGACAATTTGATTATCATTATGCTCAGTTTTCAATTTATTTATTACTTGCATGGTTATGATTATTATCGCTGATTATTACTATTATTCAGGTAACTTTAACATTGGTTTTTCCTTTATCTTCTTATTATTTCCTTTATTCACCAATTTAATGATGATTATAATTCTGATTCAAACGACAACCAGAATATTGAATCATTATTATTATCATCATCATCATCATCATCTCTTATTATTATTATATATACTGTTAAACAGTATTAGATTTTGTTATCATCATGTGTCGTTGAAGATGATAAAGTCAAGGTAGATGATGGTGATGTTCAACAATGAAAAGCTAATTCAAATATATTACATGTAATGATAATACATATAAATAAGATCCAATTATATTGAATAGTAAGGATCAGAAAATGTTCATCATTCAATTCAATTACAATTGATTCTTGTTCACTGTGTTATATATTAATCTGATTCTACACCATGATTATCATTCACGTTATTTATCATTGATGATCGTCATCCAATGAATACTAATATAAATGATTAAAAAAAACTACACACCAAAAAGATTATATCAAATGATGAGATGATCCGTAAAAATTAAGCCACAACCAATAATTTACATTAAATATTAACCATTTAATTGTGATTATGATTAAACTTTTATACTCTAACTTTTAGCTTAATCTGTTCAACATTTTCTTTACTTTCTTTCAGCTCGTTTAATCCGATAGGATTTAATTTTTCTTTACTAATCTCAAATGATTATAATACAAAATAAAATGCAATGAGAAACCAATGAAAAGTTTGATTAGTTTGAATTGTAAACCAAATGATCATAACTTGGTTTCTGTTTTAATTAGTCAACAGTGAACTAG